TAAAGAATTTAATATAAAATTATATTTATTAATATTAAGCAATTTATATAATTTTTACTAATTATACTTTTCTTGCTATATTTATATATTACTTTATAATAAAAAACTTAATATTTTTATAATATTTAAGTTATTATAAGTATTTAAAGCTATATTAACTTATTATTTAATATAAACTTTATATAGCTTTTTTATAACTTTTTAAATAGTTATTATTTTCTTAAAAGTTAAGGGAATTAATATAAAGTTTTTTATAAGTTTTAAATATATGCTAAAAATAAAAAATATTAAAATAATGCTATTAAAGCTAATTATATTATTTATTACTTTAATAGCTATTTATAAAATAGCTTTCTTAATATAAGTTTTTAAAAGTTTAATATAAAAAATATTAAAAGCTTATTAAAATAAAATATAATACCTTTTAACCTTATTAATAAATTAATATACCTTTATTAATATTTATTTATAAGTAATGCTTATAATTTATATAATGCTTTAAAATTTTATTAAAATAAAATTAATTTTAATATTATAAATAATATAATTTAAAGGTTTTAAATAAGTATTTATTTAATATTATTAAATAGCTTTTTATATATTCTTTATAAAAAGAGAAATTAAAAAATATTTAATTTAAAAAAAAGTTGCTAAATTAATAATTTATAAAATAAATAAAGTAAGTAAATATATAATATTTATAATAATCTTATAATTAAAATTAATATTATTTTAAAAGTTAAACTTAAAATATTATAATATTATAAAATAAAGTTAATAATAATAATAAAACTTAAAAATTACTTTTAAAATAAAAAAATTAATATTATTATAATTAGCATTAATAAAAAGGTATAAAAAATAATTAATTAAAAAGTATTTAAACTTATAATAAAGTTATTAAAGCTTTATTTTTATTAAGAATATTATTAATATATAATTACTTCTTATATTAAGGAAAATTTATTAATATCTTTATTTTTAAATAATTAAGAAGATTTTCTTTAAATATTTATCTTTTTATTAAATTACTTTATTAATAATATTTTAAAGAAAAAAAGAGTTTTTATTTATATTTTAAATATAAAATAAAAAGAAAATAAGCTTATTTATAATATAAAATATTAATAATTTTATTAAAGTATTAACTTATATTATATTAAATAACTTAATAAATAAACTTAAGTTAAATTATATTTATGCTTTATTAACTTATATAATATTTAAATATATAAAAAATACTTAATATTATAAAGCTTAAAATTATTTATATTTAATTATTAAAAATATTGCTATACTTATATTTAATATAATGCCTTAATATTGCTAATAAAAATATTAATCTTAAATAATAAATATCTTTATTATTAAATAATCTTTAAATTTAAAGTAAAGATTAAAGCTATTTATATTATTAAAAAAGTTATAAAAAAAAGCTTAATTTATTAAAAGAATATAATAAATACACTCCTTTTTATTATTATTAATAACTAAAGTTATTATAATGCTAATAACTTTAAAATTAAAATCTTTAAAGCTAATAAAAAATATATTAAATTTATTATTATTAACTTATTATTTAATATCCTTATATATATAAATATATATAGCTTTAATATATTATTAATTTTTAAATAAGTAATTTATTAATTAATATTCCTTTTTATAATATATAAAATACTTTTTCTTTTTATATTATATATTATTATTATTATTTTTATTAAGTTAATATTTATTATTATAATTATCTTTATAAAGTTTTTTATTATAATTATTACCTTTAAATTAATAAGGTTAACTTAAGCAAAAGTTTAATTAAAAGCCATTATCCTTAAAAAAAGTTAAAAATACCTTAAATATTAATTATTATTATTATATTACTTATTAAAATAATATTGCTTTTTAATATTTATAATAATTAAATTACTATTATTTTAATTATTATAATTATTAATATAATTTTATTTATAAGCTTATTAATTATTTTTTATAATTATATATTATAATATAAAGTTTTAAGCTTTTAATATCTTAATATATTATTATAAAATAAAATAAAGTTATTTAATATTTATTAATGCTATTAAAATAATATAATAAAACTTAAAAATGCCTTATATTATTTATAATATTATATTTTATAAAAAGCTATTCTTATAAATAATATATTTAAGTGCTTTATAATAAAGCTATATTTTATTAATAAATATTTAAAGAATATTTATATAATTCTTATTTAAATTCCTTTATTAAAAAATAAAAAAAGTTAAAATATTTTAATTTATAAAATAATTATAATAATTATTATTTATATTAAAGCAATTCTTAAATTTCTTATATATTTAAGTAAATAAGTTTTCTTAATTAATAACTTAAATATAATATATCTTTATTAATCCCTTAAGTATATATAAAAAAGCTACTTTAAATTATTAAGGTTATATTTATAAGTTATTATAAGCCTTATAAAAAAGAAAGATCTTATTATTAAGAATATTATATAATATTTTAATAAATATTTTATTTTTATAATAATATTTATTTAAATTAATTATTATATTTAAGTTAAATAAAAAGTTTTTTATCTTTATTAAAAGTAAAAAGGTATAATAATTATATATTATATAAAAGTTATTAACTAAAGAAAGATTATTACCTTTTCTTAATAAATTAAAAAATCTTAAAGGGCTATTATTATCTTTATTATTATTATTAAGTAAGTTAAGTAATTTAAATAATTTAAAATTAAGAAAATTATTATTATTAAGTAATTCCTTAGCTTTTATTAAGATATAATTAAAATTAAAAATAATATAAATATTTAAATTATAGCTTTAAATTTAATTAATTTTAAATATAATATAATATTCTTACTTTTAATTTATTAGCTATTTAAAATAATTTAATGCTTTAAGAATATATATTAATCCTCTTAAGGTATTTACTTTATAAGTATAAATATTCTTAATTTAAAAAGTTTTCTTAATAATATATAATAAGTCTTTATTAACTTATATAAATATTAACTTAATTTAATTATAAAAGTTTTTAATAAATACTTTATATGCTTTATTACTTAATATATATATTATAGCTTAAATTTAACCTTAAATATAAATATTTAAGTATTATTTACTATTAAGAAATCCTAAGGGATTTATTTATATTAAAGAATTAAATATCTTAATAATGCTTTTAAATATAAAAGTATAATCCATTATAATTAATATTAAGAAACCATTTTAATTAATAATATTGCTTATTATATTTATTATATTATTAATATTTCTTATTATTTTAATAAAATAATAATAAAAATGTATTTAATTTAAAAAAGGAAGTAATGAAAAGGGGAAATAAGTAATATTAAGGGAAAATAAAGAAGTTAAGGGTTACTTTTATAACTTAGCCATTAAGAAGCAAATTAATTCTTTTCTTTATATTTATTTATATAATAAAATATAAATAAATATATTATTAATAAAAATAAATATTAATTTAATTCTTTTAATTATAGCTATTAAATTTAAAAGTTATTATTAAGGTTATTTAAGGCATAATAAATATATATATATTAAAGGTAAAAAAGTTCATTATAATTTCTTATTATAATAACTACCTCTTTATATATTAAATATTATTATTATTATAAATTATGCTATATAAATTCGCAATATTAATAATGTTAATTAATATAACTAAAAAGTTATTTCTTTAAGCCTTATTAATTTATAATTACCCTTATAATCATTAATTAATATTAATTAAGTTATATATTATAATATAATATTTAATTAATATAGTAGTTAATCGTTATTAACTATAAAAAGAAGAAAGGCAAAAGGCTTAACTATGCTAGCTATTTTATATATAATGCCAGGACTGCTGCCTATCGGGCATCCTAACGGGCCAAAGCTGCCTAACCCTAAACAGTCCTCCATACAAACAACACCCATTATTCCCACAATTATAGGGTTATTAATAAAGCATAATTATAATTATTTTAAAAGAGTTTTATAGCTACCCCTTTATTTATAACTTAAAAGTTACTTTTACCCTTTTACCCTTTGCCCCCTTGGCGCCCTTAGCGCCCTTGCTCGCCCTCGTTGCCCTTGCCGCCCTTAGCACCCTTGCCCGCCCTTACCGCCCTTGCCGCCCTCGCCACCCTTGGCGCCCTCGCCGCCCTAGGCGCCCTCGCCGCTCTGGGCGCCCTAGGGCCCTCTGGGCGCTCTGGGGCCCTCTGGGCGCTCTGGGGGCTTTGGGCGCTTTGGGGGCTCTGGGGGCTTTGGGCGCTTTGGGGGCTCTGGGGGCCCTGGGGGCTTTGGGCGCTTTGGGGGCTTTGGGGGCTCTGGGCGCTCTGGGGGCTCTGGGGGCTTTGGGGGCTCTAGGCGCTCTAAGGGCTCTAGGGGCTTTAAAGGCTCTAGGCTTTTTAGGCTTATATTTTTAAAGTATTGCTTAAATTAAAAAATAGCTACTTTAACTTTTTATATATAAGGTAAACTGAAAAAAATACCTAGTTTTATTAATATAATACTAAGAAAAGGAAGTACTGGGTGGGCCAACGCTGGAAGCTAGGTGGGCGTACGCTAACTCGGGGAAACAGGGTCTCGGTGTAACAGCACACTTACACACAGCAACGATCCACAACACGCTGAATCCACCTCCATAATGACAACTAAAACATCCACCAGGGTTTACACCAGCAGCTCTTGGAGTAATTGTTTACGGTACTGACTTACCAGTCTCCTTTACGGACATTTGGAATCACCGAGAATCCTATGTCCCGTTCAGTGAATCGAGTCGCCCGGTCCTAGAATCAAGTTGCTTCTTGGCTACGAGCTTCACTTGCGCTCCCAGGCTACGAATCTGGACATGCCGATTTTGAGTTGGCTGGCTCAGATGTTTAGTCTCTCATCCTAACATGCAAAATTATTCTTTGTCCACTGTAGACCTTTAGTCCCAAGCAACACTTTCGTGGGAAACATCGCTGCCCGTTCACGATGACCGTCGTCGGTTCTCTCCCGACCGCCCAGTCCGCACTCAAGGTGGTCGGGTCTAATGACCTCGTGGTAACCAAGGACACTGCCCTACCCGTATTGGCCCGGTCCGAGTTGCTCGTGCGAGTGGCCTGCGTCTCTATCAACCAGGTCGACGGCAAATCAGCGGACATGTCACCCACTCCCGGGGGAACCAGCGGCACCGACTTTTCCGGCGTCGTGGTTGCCCTGGGCGCCGACGTCGACACTGGAAAATGGCGCATAGGCGACCGGGTGATGGGTGGGATCTTTGGCAACAACCCTCTTCGTCATGACAACGGTGCCTTTGCCGAGTACGCGGCAGTTCCAGACCGTCTGGTCTGGCACATACCCGCCAGTATGGACTTTGCCACAGCCGCCTCGCTGCCGGCGGCCCTGGCAACCGTTGGGCTGTCCTTTTTCCAATACCTCCAGATCCCCATGCCAGACCCGACAGGACCCCTGCAGCTCGAGATGGGGAAGGGGACAAACCCAACCTACGTGCTGGTCTACGGCGGTGGCACTGCGACAGGAGCCATGGCTATCCAAGTTCTGAGGCTGCTTGGCCTGACTCCCATCACCACTTGTTCAGAAGCATCGGCGGCACGGTCGATCGAGCTGGGAGCCTCCGCCACCTTTGACTACCGCTCTCCCAACTGCGGGACCGAGGTGCTCGACCACACGTCGGGCTCCCTGGCGCTTGCGCTGGACTGCATATCCAGCTCAGACTCGATGGCTGCCTGCTACAAGGCGCTGGGCCCCGCAGGCGGCCGCTACGTAGCCCTCGACCCGTTCCCCCTGCGCGGGCACACCAGGCGCAGCGTCGAGCCCGACTGGATCTGCGGCTACACGCAGTTTGGCCACGACGTGGCCTGGGCGCCGCCGTTCGACCTGGACGCGCGCCTCGACGACCGCGCGACCGCCGAGGCCTGGTACGTCCTCGCCCAGCGCCTGCTTGACGAGGGCATGGTCGTGCCGCAGCCGCTGGAGCTGCGCCGTGGGGGGTTGGCTGCCGTCGGCGAGGGGATGCATCAGGTGCGCAAGGGGCAGATAAAGGGGAAGAAGCTGGTCTATTCCATTGCTGAGCAGCTGTGTGTGGCTTGACCGATGGAAGAGGTTGTTTTTGTAATTGCTTTTGGTTTTTATCTGACATCACCACATTAATCACAAACAAAATTCCAAATTGAGCAAGCCATTCATAGTCCAACGAGAAGCTAATCCTTCTTGTCTCATCTGTTCTCTCCATTTCTGGTTGACATACCCCTTGGCGAAGCGGTAGGAAGATGGCCGTTGCAGTAAGACAAGTAGAATTACAGCTTGCGTAAGATTGCTTTAAGAAGTCAGAGAAAGGTATAGATGGTCGACGTTACATACAGGCTTGCACAAGGATGAATGGCAACGACGTTCCTGTAGAATAGAAATACATGAAAGTGTGTTTAATTAAGCTATCTAATATGATCAGGTGTTGCCTTGCACATGCTATGACAGTCAGATGAGTTTCATGTCTCCCCCATGTATGGAGAGATCATGGGCATCCCACTCTCCAACAAGGCCTCAATATACGCAGTGATCAAAGGGTCCAAGCCCTGCTGCCCAGCACGAACCAGCCATTCCTCCATGTCGACCTCGTCAAATGTCCCACCGTAGACCCTCTCCAAGTGCGCCCGAAACTCGCCCATGGGCGACTTGACACCACCAGAATGGTGCCGGGAACGGATTCCCGCCCGCCGCGGGTCCGGCGCACCCTGTGGCAACGCCAGCTCCAGAGCCGCAGCCGTTATCTGGCCGACGATGACGTCGAGCGGACCAAAGTCGAGATAGCCCTCCGCGCGCTTCAGCCGAGGCGCGCAGCGCATGGCCAGGGAGTATCGCAGGATGCCGTTCATGGCGTCCGAGTTGGGGGCCTGCTCGCTGACCAGCGTGCAGGGCCGGTGCACGGCGACGCTGAGCGACGAAGCAGTCCCCTGCAGGTCGGCGACCAGGTTCTCCAGGAAGACCTCGCCGGCCCACTTGCTCGCGGTGTAGCCGTCCTTGCCGCTCTTGGCCGGCGGGGACGCCTTCAGGGAGCCCGGCCTGGGCGCCGGGTTGCCCGACAGGAGCACGGCGCGGCTGCTGGAGAGGAAGAGGATCGGGACGGACCGCGGCAGCGCCAGGGACGCCAGGGTGTGCAGGGATTCGAGGTTGGGCGCGCGCAGGGAGTCGAAGTGGTTGAGGCAGTGGCCGTTGGCGCCGGCGTGCAACACCACGTGGATGGTCTGCTGGAGCTTCTTGCGCTCTGCGGGCGTGAGCCCCAGCATTGGCGAGAGCAAGCTGCCCGTGTAGCAAGAGATCTTGGTGTTCTGTGGGAGCGTAGCCTGGTCGTCGCCCGGTACGGCGATGCAGTGTACCTTGCTCACGGCTGCGGATTGCAATAGGGAGTCCAGAAGATGTCCGCCCAGGAAAGAAGTCGCCCCGGTCAGCAGGACCTCGATGCCCTCACCCTCCATTCGGATCAACTTGTTATCAGTCTCGAACAGATTCTGCGTCTGAAGTTGCTGTATCTGATCCCGCAGCCAGGCTGGCACAGCCGTCTCGGCCGCCCAGTCTATCTCGTCTTTGTCCTGCCCGGTGGAACCGGAGGCACGGTCAAAGACGCAGTGGGTCATGGCGCGCAGTGTGGTAGCCTCGTACAGCTGTTTCGTACTCACTGCCACCCCTGTGGTTTCCTTGATGGCCTTTTGGAGCTTCATGAGCAACAGCGAATTGCCGCCACACAGGAAGAAGTCAGACGATGGCCCGAGACGCCTGTCACCAATCGCGGGTAGCACGCGCTCCCAGAGGAGGCGCAGCTCGCCTTCGCGTACAGTCATCTTCTCGGTGCTCTTGGACACACTGTCTTTTGCTTCTGTTAATGGCAGAGCTGCGATGGCCTTGCGATCTAGCTTGCCGTTGGACGTCGTTGGCATTGTGCCTAAAATGTAGATGGAAGCTGGGACGAAAGCCTGCGGCAGCCTCACGCGGGCAAGCATTCGAGCGAGGTCGGACTCATCGAAAGGAGCATCAGGGTCTGAAAGTGTGGCGTGGGCTGCTAGCACATGGCTGCGAAGGGTGACTACTGCGGACGCGAGTGTTCCTTCCGAAGCCTGTAGCAGAGCCGATTCGACTTCTTGCAATTCTATGCGCTGTCCTCTCAGCTTGATCTGCGTGTCTCCATCCAAGCGTCCCAGACACAGCAAGGTGCCATCCGAGAGGAGGCGTCCTTTGTCGCCCGTCCGGTACATGACCCGGCGTCTGTTGGAGCCATCGGCCATGACATCCGACACGAACTTGGCCCTTGTTTGGTCAGGCTGGTCGAGATAGCCCAGGGCGACACCTGAACCGCCGATGCAAATCTCTCCGGTATACCCGACTGGCTGTGGGTGACCGCTGGCATCGACTATGCAGACGGAGTAGTTGGGCAGCGCCTTCCCAACTGCGTACTGGGCCCAAGTGCCATATGAGAGACACGAAGCGGCCTCGGCCCCCAACGGAATGGGCTGGAATGTGGCCGCCGCCGTGATCTCGGTCGGGCCGTAGCAGTTGGTGAGGCTCAAGCTGGGCAGTCCCAGGCGATGCAAGTCAGTCTTGAGCTGACGAGGGACCTGTTCGCCGCCCGAGAAGGCAAAACGCCAGGCGTGATTCCTCTGCAACACGTCGCCTGCCGAGTTGACCCAGGCCAGGTACTCGGTCGGCGTCGCGATGGTGAACGACACGCCCTCGCGCTGCATCAGCTTCGCCAGCTCGACCGGGTCGCGCCTGATGTCGCCCTGTGCGATGACGAGGTGGCCACCGTTGGCGAGCGCCGAGAACACCTGGATGAGGGACATGTCAAAGCCCAGAGAGCTTTGCTGCAGGACACACTCCTGCTTCAGGCCCATTTGGCGCGTTTTGAGTGCGACATGGTTGACAAAGTTGGCCTGTGTCAGGACGATTCCCTTAGGAGTGCCTGTCGAGCCGCTGGTGAATAGCAGAATGGCTGGTGCGTCTGGCTCAGCTGCAACTGGGACCGGCGATATGGTTTGATCTTCATCATAGGTACCTATCTGAAGTGCGAGGACTCCGGGAAACAATCGGAGCAGCTCCTGCACGCGCTTCTCTGTTCGCGCATGGCAGAGCAGGATTGCAGGCCGACACTCCCGTATCATGTCTGCATGGCGTGAAGCAGGAAGACTGGTGTCCAGAGGGACGTAAACTTTTCCCAGATGGAGGGTAGCGAGCAAAGACACGACGCCATCTATTGAAGGCTCGCACAGGACAGCAACTCGATCCCCGGAGACTCCCGCACATTCAATTCTCTGGGCCACCTGGTTGACCCTAGCCGCGAGCTGGTCGTACGAGAGTCTACCCCACGCGTCTGTGATGGCTGTTTGAGTCGGATATAAAAGCGAGATATCCTGTACGCGATGGGATAGAGTTGCTGGCCAGCCAAACTCTATCTCGGGACCCTTGCCCAACTGCAAAGCGTGACTCACTTGGGCAGCGTCGTGCAGCATAAGGTCAGCCACTGCCACCTGAGGATCACCGGCGACAGTTTCCAGCAGGCCAAGGTACGTGTCCAATAATGTGCGACATGCGTCCTGGCTATACAATTCCGCCAGGCAGAACATCTGGACTAGGCACCCAGTCTGGGTCTCGATGAAACCAAGGCTGACGTCGTAGGGGTTCTCTGCCTCCTTCGCCTCCTTTGTAGATAGCTGCATACGGCACTCGTCGCCAAGCGGCAGATTCCACATGTCCATACCACCCACCGCTGCGCGGTAGTTGATAGCGGCCTGAAACAGCGGGTTTGTCCCCGAGGCGCGTGGGGTCTTCGTCTGGTCGAGAATGCGATCGAACGGCACAGTACCGTGCGCAAAGACCCCCATCGCCTTCCGCGACGCCCCGAGGGCGACATCCGCAAAGGTGGCTTTTCTCGGGACGCTGTGCCTCAGGGGGAGCATGTTGACGAAGCAGCCCACGGTCTGCGTGAACCGCTCGTCTCGCCGGTTGGCATCGACGACGCCAACACAGACGTCCTCGATGTTGGCCAGCCGAGCTAACAGGACCTGCAGGAGGGCGAGGTGCAGATGGAAGGGACTTATTCGCAACTGCTTGCAGATCTTCTTCTGCGCCGCGAGCTGGGCCGGACTCAGCTCACGATCCAAATAGTGGCTTCCGCCCTCTTGCTGCTCTGGATTGGTCAATGTTGAACGGTCAAGCCCACGAGCCATGGGTAGAAGCGGAAGTGTGTCAGGCAGGGTGCCAAACTCAGCACGCCAGAAGGCGAGGTCCTGATCCAGCACACCGGTGCTTTCCTCGGCCAGCTGGTGGATGGAGTAGTCCACGTACGAGACTCCATCCACCTTGTCGAGTGGCTGCAGCCGGTACGCTCTGTCCACGTCGCGGAGGAATAGTGCCAAGCTCCAGCCATCCATGAGGATGTGGTGGTAGCCGAGGACGATATCATTCTCGGTGGCAGACCGGCCCAACACAGCTATCGCCATCGTCTGTCCTCTCTCGAGGTCCCACACACGGGTCGTGAACCGTGAAAGTGTCTCCCGGAGAGCGGTATCGTCGGCGTCATCGGTGTGTGTCAGCTCGAACGCAGACGTGGCCATGACGCCCTGCATGGGGTGCCCGTCCTCAAGCCGGGAGAAGAAGCAGGTGCGCAGGCACTCGTGATGGTTGACGACCAGCTGCAGCGCACGTCGTAGCCGAGCCATGCTGACGTGACCTTGCACGCGGTAGTGAAAGGCTGTGTTGTATGCTGCGGGATCTTCGAGATGTTTGGAGACGAACCAGATACGTGATTGCGCGGCAGACATTGGTGCTTCGCGGATTATGACTGGCTCGGCCACTTCCTCATCCTTCCCGTTCTCGTCCATGCTGTCAAAATTGTTGCCATTGCGGCCAGATTTCTCCGAGCTAAGGTCTTCATTGCTCACAGAGCCAGACACTGGTGTGATAGCAGACTCTGGAGTCCTAGAGCCCGATATGGGAGTGACTGCAGACGATGGTGTGACCACAGACAATGGCGTCGAAGACATGGATCTGTCTCCGAGTCTGCTGTGCTTTGCAGTAAAATAGCTACCATTCGGGGGCGACGAACTTGGTGGAGTAGGAGCAGCCTCCAAGGCAGGTGATGCTGCACTTCGAGCTGCGGGAGCAACAGGAGCGACAGGAGCGACAACCGCAGGAACAGGAACAGAGGCAACAGAAGTATTAGCAGGGTTAACAGTCGCGTTCGTGTTCTTGACTTCCTTCACTTCCTTCTCACGTGCTGTCTCGTTCACCTTGGCTTTGATGCGGTCAGCTAGGATCTTCTTGGTTGCCTGGACACATATCTGCAGCACGGTATCGCCGCCCAGGATCTTCACCACTGGCAGCTCGGTATCGAGGTCTTTGAGGAACCATGTCCGAATCTCGACGGCAACGAGAGAATCTATGCCCAGGTCTATCACGGGCCGCTCGAGGTCCTCCTGTACTGAGCCAGCCGGCAATTGCAGTATGGTCTCGAGCTTGGCCCCGAAAGCCGCTGCCACAACTGCCACTGCCTGCTCCTCGGACTCGGACTCGTTGACTTGTTCTCGAACGTTGCTGCCAGAGACACGGCCCGGAAGCTGCTGCTGCGATGCAGAAAGCGTGCTGTATGGTGCCAGCGACATGAGTTGTGGGTTTGAAACCCACAAGGCTTTGCTCTTCTGGTTGGGCTGCATGGGCTCGGTCGGTGGCTCAAGACCCATGGTGATATCGTGACTGCCTAGACTTGCTTCAGCCTCAGAGGACCGAGGCTTGCCCGCCCGCACGGCCTGAGCAAAGGCATCTTGTACGTCTGTCTCGGACAGCGGGATGAAGCGCATGCTGCGGAAATGGTCTTCTAGCAGGCGGTATCTGTCGGAGCGGGTGACATAGCCGGTGTCAGCCACCCATCCAATATGAATGACTGAGGTGGCCAGGCCGCGTGAGCGGCGCCGCTCTACGATGGCGGCCATGAACAAATTGGCGGCGTGATAGTTGGCTTGACCAACATTACCGACGGTGCTGGCTGTTGAAGACGTGAGGATGAAGAAGTCAAGCGGTGACTGGCTCGCGTCACTGAAGATGTCGTCGAGAATCTCGGTGCCGATGACCTTGGGATCCAGGGTGCCGTTGAGTTGTTGGGCGTTCATGTCGAGGACCATCTTGTCGTGGAGGACCATTGAGAAGTTGCACACACCTGAAATAGGCGGCATGGTCTGGCGGACCTTGTCTACTACCTCGAATACCTGGTCCTGCCGTGTAGCATCCATAGCCATCATTTTAACAGACGCTCCGGCGCGATGGGCTTCCTTTTGAAGACCAGCATCGACCTTAGGATTCCGGCTGGTGATGACAATGTGCCTGGCACCTTGACGTATCATCCATTGGCAGATAGAAAGCCCCAGACCCCCAGATCCGCCAACTATGAGATAGGTGCGGTCTGGTCTGAGCAATCCAAGTGGATCAAGAGGCTGCACAGTCAGGGGAAGCGCTTCCCGCTGGCGCCAGTCTGTTATGTACCGTTGGTGAGCGAGGGTGGAAGAGTCTGCTCCGGCCAGATCAGCTGCTGCTATGACATTGCACTGAGGCTCATCGATGTCCTTGAGGATTTCAGCCTCAAGCAAAATCGACAGAGAAGTATCGCTCTTCAGGGCGTTCTGCAGAAGCTCGGCATCCAATCTCCACACCTCACAGGTGGGTGGTAGACAAGCCTTTAGCTGCTCGCCCCCATGTGTGTCATGTCCAGGCTCTGAACAGTCGACGAATAGGTCGATGTTCCGAGGCATGACATGCCTGGCCGTTCGTCTCGACATGTTTGCGTGAATCTGGATCCAGCTTTCAGGGACGTCGCGCCCGGCCCTAGATGAGACACAGTAGACGCGTTGTCCAACCTGGGCCAATTCTGCTCCAACCTGTTCCGCCATTTCCAGCTCTGGATCAAGTAACAGCACAGAGCCGGCCTTGTTTGCATGTGCTCGAGTGATCAGAGCATGTTGCAGAAGGTTGTTGGCTATAGCTTCCAAGGCTGCTGGTGTACACAGGGCTGAATCAACAGCGACCACATCCTTGGGCTCTAATAGCAGTCTCGAGGCATTTGTGTGGCAAATGGAAACAACCGAATGGCCCTGCTGTTGTTGACCACAAAGCAAGTAGAGTTCTTGGCCGTGCTGACGTGGAATCTGGATGGAGTATTGGACCTGAACTTGTACGTGATCTCCTTCATCCAGTGTGAGTAGTTCATGTTCGGCAGCCTGCAACACCATCCTGGAGGACCCATTTGCGACGACAGCATGGACAGCGATATTGGTTGCGTCAGTGGCTTTGACGATCGGCCGTGTCTTGGCATTGTACCGTTCATCCAAGGCTGTATCTGGCATGACACGGGGGATCCTGACCATGCCGCCGGCCAGAATCTCAGACTCGGGCTCGATGGCCCACAGCAGATCCGACTTCTCCTCTGCTTCGAGCACGTCCATGTGTCTCAGACGCAACAAGGCCTCAACACAGTGCCGGGCGTCCAGAGCAGGTCTCTCACCGGCCCCAAGCCCAAGCACCTGCAGCTTGAGGTGTGGTAATTCCACAGGAGCCACGCGAGATATTCCGCGGATCATGCTGGCTCGCGGGGTATACGATGCGCCTGCACTGGTCACCCACAGCATGTTCCTGGCCGACATCAGTAGTTGCTGCAGCTTATTCAGCCGGCCCTCCTTCATGGGCAGCTTTGCGAATAGAGGCTCATCGATGTCGTGGAGGCACAAGACGTCCATTGCTGGAGTCAGGTGGGAATCTTTCAGCCCATCAACGCTCGGTACGATCCGCATCTGCGGCCGCCATGTGCGAGGAATGAGCTCCTCGATTTCGTCTATCACCTTACTGCAGCCAAGGCGGCGGCCTCCAATTACCAACAAGGGCGTCGCAGGAGCTGGGAGCTCGGACGCAAACGTTAGAGGCTGAAGAAGGCGCAGCAAGTTTTCGTCGACGGCTCGGCTCACGACGCACGAGGTGACGTGCTTGCTCTCGTCTTCATTGTCGTAGAAGACAGTATCGGCACCAGAGAAGCCCGAACGGCGCAGTAGCCTATGCCACTCCCCTGGCGAGACCGTCGGGCCAAGTCGCTCGTCGTCGCTTTGCCACCACCCAGGTAGACCACCGAACAGGAAGCCGCTGACCATACTTTGAACTCCGGTGTTGTCTGAAAGCACGAGATAGCCCCCCGGTCGTAATAGGGCTCGGGCATTCTGTAGGGTGCTCTCTAAGTCATGAGTGGCAGATAGCACGTTGGACGCGATGACGATGTCGTATGAGTTCAGACTGAACCCCTGATCATGCAAGTCTGCCTCAATGTCCAGTGTCTTGTATATTAACCTCTCAAACCCTGCAAGCCTGTCGGCTGCGTCGGGGAAAACACTCGACGAGGCGTCCGTGTACGTGTAAGAATCGTACAAATTGTCGATGGCATTGAGGATGCTCCATGCCGTGTTACCTGTGCCAGCACCGATCTCCACCATGGCGCAGCGTGGAAATTTGAAAGTGATCTGTTGAAGCAGTTGGCCGATAGCATGGTCGGTAACTACCGACGCTGACGGCGAGTACTGCTTCAGCAGGTCGTCCTGGCTGACGGTTTCCAGCAGCTGCTTCTGGCCCCGAATAACTTGGGCCAGGTCGGCGCCGATGGTGTGCACCAGCTTCAACTCGACGGAATCAGGGTCAGGATGCTCGTGGACCAGCCTCTTCAGGACATGTTGCGTGTCGTCCGCGAGCCACTCAGTGCTCAGGAGCGGCGACTCGCCCTCGCTCACTGCCCCGAGGTGATCCTCAAAGGCGTCCAACATTTTTCGATGGTGTGGCTGCAGTGATCTGCGCTCATCCGCCTTCACATCTTGCACAACCCTTTGCATGTAGAAGAGAGCGAGACGCTCGGTTGTCACATTGGCTTGCAACGCACGAGCGTCCAGTAGGGGGTCGCGCGGCGGGAGCACCAGGCCCATGGACGCGTCGTGGCCATGCACCGTTTTCAAAAAGACGCGTTTGTCCAGAGAGGCGTTCTGGCCACCAGCCGATCTCGTAGATAGACCCTCAACCTGGACAAAGGCTTGACCTGACTGGGCATCGTACACGTTCACGTCGCCATCCAGCGCAGCTCCCGTGGCCGAGACAACCCAAGCGTCAAAGGTGCATGTCGTGTCGTCGGTGCCATGCAGGACAGTCACGCCTGGGTCGATTATAACTCGGTCTATGTGCGAAGGCAACAGCGCCGACTTCAGCTGCTGGCTCGACGGGTGTGTGTGTGCAACAAACAGGGATTGGAAGGCGACGTCCAGGACGGCCGGGTGCAAGACATACTGGGCGCTCAGCGACTTGGCCGGCCAAACGCCCGTGGCTGCAGCATAGCCGAGACAGCGGTAGCTTTCCGTGATTGCCTGGAAATTCTCTGTGTAGTTCAAGCCGATGCCACGGAACATGTCGTAGACAGGCTCGCTCTCAACGTGGACGACGTTGTCTGGGACTGGTTCTCGAGGTGGGAGGACCGGGCCACAAGCCTGACCAAGCTCGATGGCCAGCCTGCCGCTGCATGTGTGTATCATTGCCCCTGTGAACTCATTCTGGCAGACATAATACGAGAATTGTGCTCGTATCACGCCATGGGCTTTGCTCTGGCCTGTTTCATGGAGCACCTGGACTGTAAATAAAGTCTCCACGCCGTGCTTGTTGTCAGGCACCACAACCGGCCGAAGGATATTGACGTCCTCTACCGAGAGCTGTCGAATCGGCCGTCCATTCACACCTGCAGTGGCTGCGGCAAGTGACTGGGCCGCCTGGGCCGCAATGGAGACGTAGGCGGCTCCTGGCAGCAACACTTCCTGGAGCACTTCGTGGCCGCGCAGCCATGGCATCTCACTCAGCCTGAGGACATTACGCCATCTCAGCTCGCGCTCGTTATCGTCCGGGACACGGCGTCCCAGCAGCTCGTGGCCGGTATCACGGCTGGTGCGGTATCGCATGGACGTGCGCGATTCCCGCCAGTAAACTTGGTCATGGTCCCAAGCATAGGTGGGCAAGCCTTTGGGTATCTTGGGCGCTGGCGGGGACGATTCGAAGAAGCTATTACGGTAGCCTGCGAAGTTGACATAGGAAGGCCCTAGCTGGGACCAAACCTGCCCGATGGCAGCTTGGAAGGCCTCGACATCACTGGTGTTGCGTTTGAGAAGGCCGGTGTATCGCGGGACTGCACCGTATGCCGCCTTGAGCGTTTGTTCAGTCGGGCCTTTCAACGCTGGATGTGGCCCGATCTCGATAGCGACGTCAAATGGACCTCCGTGCCAGATGGAAGATTCGATAGCCTGCGAGAACTTGACTGTCTGAACCATATTCGCAACCCAATAGGAGCCCCTGAGAGAGCCCAAGTCCCCACCCGGCTTGAGTAGACGTGTGTCGCCACGCACACTCGAGTTCCACACACAACGATCTGGTTTAGGTGGCGTGACTTGGATATCACATGCCAGGAGAGATTGCAGATACTGGTCTGCACAGGCATTCATGTGGTGGGAGTGATATGCCGTGTCGACCTGAAGCTGGCGCGCAAATGTGTTTGCTAGGTCGAGCTGCTTCTTGGCCTCAACAACGGCGTCCAAATCACCGGACAGAGTGGTGCTCTGCGGGCCGTTGCTGGCGGCCACTGCGAGGCGTCCGTTGAATGCAGGCTGGCGACAGAATTGCGACGCTGCTTCCATCGACAGCCCAACAGCTATCATGCCACCCTTCTGCCCGCTCTCTCCCTGGGAGAGATGCGCCCGCGAAGACGGCCCGTACGCGGTGGGTGGATCGCCGCGTCTGGAGCACCCAGCTCAAATCTTGAAGGTCCAAGTCGGCATGGTTTTGCAGATGGACCAGGTGCGCCTGCACGGTTCGCAGCAGTGATGGACCCGAGCTGGCCGAGAAGAGCAGTGGACCCACGACACCGCCGGGGACATCTACATCGGTCCCAGGAGGTGACCAGCTCTCAATGATTGCGTGGGCATTGGTGCCACCGAAACCAAAACTGTTGACGCTGGCTCGCATGGGGCTACCTGCTGGCGGCTGAGGCCATGGAAGCCGAGATGTTGGGATCTGGAGGGCTCCGGGTCCATAGTACTCAGAAATCTTTGGGTTCAATTCGTTAAAGTGCATATTGGGGGGTATTGTCCGATGCTTTAAGCTGAGGAGGACCTTGATTACGCCTGTTCAGATGGTCAGATTCGGACAGTAAACATCACCAAGATGAGAGAACAAGAGACAACGAACCTGCTAGGCCGGCGCAACCTTCCAAGTGGCCGATTATTGTCTTGACGGAACCGACATGGATGGTCTGGGGATCGGCCTTGGCTTCACCGGTTTCACCGTCGCGGTAGAAGGCCTCGTAGACAGCGCGCGCCTCCACCGGATCGCCAGCCTGGGTTCCTGTGCCATGGCACTCGAAATACTGCGGCGGATCCCGCATCGGGTCCAGGCCTGCGCGACGGTATGTCTGTCGTATCAGTGCCGCTTGCGCCGGCGCAAACGGCATTGTGATGCCAGGGCTCTGTCCATCAGAGTTCACCCCGGTCGCGCGAATGACCCCCTCGATTGGGTCACCGTCTCGAAGAGCTCGGCTGAGTGGCTTGAGCAGCAGCGCAGCGATCCCTTCACCGCGCGCATACCCGTTCGCGGTCTTGTCCCACATACGACTCTGCGAGTCGGGCGACAGCATATGCAGCTTTGACTCAGCGATATAGGGAGTAGGCTCAAGGATAAGGTTGGTGCCGCCAACAATGGCCGTATCACTGTCGCCGTTGCGGAGGCCCTGAACGGCGTGGTGGAGGGCTACCAGCGAGCTGGAGCAGGCCGTATCGATGGTCACAGAAGGACCCTTGAGGTCGAAGACGTAGGAGACACGGTTCGAGAGGATGCTGTTGGCAGAGCCTGTAGCGTTATACTTTGGTAAAGTCTCGGTGTCGCGGGCCTGGATGACCGAGTAGTCATTCGTCATGACCCCGACATGTACCGAGGTCGAAGACCCTCTCAGTTTCTCGAGTGGTACACCAGCCGTCTCACACGCCTCGTATGTCACCTCGAGCAGCAGCCGTTGTTGAGGGTCCATGCCGGCCGCCTCTACCGGGCTGATGGCGAAAAAGCCCGCATCGAAGACACGGTTGTCCTCCTCCAGAAGATACGACTTTGGTTTTACGTCTGTCGAACCATGTGTCTCTCCGTCCGGGTGATAGAAACGCTCTAGGTTGAAGCGTTTTGGGTCGAAATGCCTTACAACATCACGAGGCTCCCGTAGCAACTCCCAGAGCTTGGATGTGGAGCTGGAACCCCCTGGGAACCTGCAAGCCGACCCAATAATCGCGATTGGCTCTTCTGCGGCTCGATAAGTTGACGACATGGTGGCTGCTGGTCTTGGGCAAAAAAGGCAGGATCGATAGTACCCCAGGAAAGATTTATTAATGAGGAAGATAGAGAAGCATAAATTTCAATCATTGACACGATTTCTTGATGTGTTAGAAAAGAGTGTCATAGAGGAGCAGAAAGGTCTCGATGTGCCCTTTGCTTCGCTTGCCTGGATTGTGCGGGGCAGCTGGTACCGGATACCTTGACATTGGCCCTTTTATAACTATCAACCTCTGAGGATAACCAGTATCACGCGCTCGGGCGCTCAGGAAACCAATGTTGTGAACTTGAGCGCCGGCCCTTTCTGACTGTCAACTGCTGTCGTACCCCCATAGCATCTGTATCTCCACAAATACAGCACAAGTGCCATCCAAGGCCTCGTGAGAAGCATTCGGTAAAAGCTGCATGTAATTACAATGCACCACAACCGATCAACCGACTAGGGTCGGACAACGCCGTAGACAACCGTCGCACACGCATCTTCATGTGGAGAGTACGCAAGTGATCCCACCTGGTCGGCTGCTTGGCCCTAATGCCCGACAATAGACCTTGAGGTGGACAAGGTGACTCAGTAACGTCTCAAGGGGCCCCGCCCCTATAGAATAAGCTTCGAACCCCCCGGTGATAAAGCGGCTCCTGAAGTCCATTGTGGCCCTCGCCGGACTGCTAATACGCGGTGCAGCTGTGGGTACTGGAGTAGTATGGAGCAGCGGTACCAACTTGAGCCCATATATATATCAAAACCTTAAAAGTCTACCCCGTGCGATGCCAACAAGCACTGCGGGCCGGCCGTGTGAGTCGGTATGTGGGCCTCAGCCGAGTCATTTGAGTCTGACTAGGGCTGAACTGCTTGGCAATCAACTCGTATGCGTGGTGACTCGCGAGACGGTGTCTCAAGTGCAAGAACATGGTAGAAATGGTTGAGGTATCAGTTGCCCAGTCTACCATCGAACGGTTAACTTTTGCAGTAGAATTTCGGAAGATCTTCCCAGCGGTCGAGGGATGCCTCCTTGGGAACTCGCAGGGGCCATACCAAGTCACTGTACTTGGACCTAGATCTACTTCAGACGCAACTACTGCAGGCACGAAAGTATGCCTGCCTTTGCCAGCTCCACGAGGTTAACTATTCACTGGAACAATTCAGCTTTGTGACTCCCTATCTCTACCTACACGTCTACAAGAAACAATGAATGAAACGCAGCCAGTCATCAAGACTGCGGGTCCAGCCTGGGCTGCCGTTGAAGCTCTCATGCGCGGCAAGCTGTCTCAGGCCGGTGTAAGCCCAGTGATCTTCAGCTTTTCGGCGTTTCTCAGCTTGTTCATTGCATACTTTGTTAGCATCGCCATCTACCGAATTTTCTTTCACCCCCTCCGCAAATACCCAGGGCCACTGCTCGCCAAGTTAACCAGCTTGGTTTGGACATATCACTTCACAAAGGGAGACATCATCAGATGGAACGACGAGCTGCACCAAAAATACGGTGTGACAGTCCGTTCCGGGCCAAATCGCCTCAGCTTCATCACCCCGCGGGCCTGGAAGGACATCTATGGACACAAGCACGGGCAGTACAAGCCCAACGTGAAGAACCTGGAGCGGTTTGTCGGAAAGCTGACGAGCAATGTCCATCCAATGGCTACGGAGCCAACCATGGCCGGACATGCGGCTCAGAAGAAGCAATTCAACCACGCATTCAGCGACCGGGCTTTGACTGAGCAGGAAGGCCTGATAGGAAAGTACATCGACCAGCTCATACAGCTCGTAAAGAGGGAGATCGCCAACGAACCTACCGGGAAGTCAGAGGTAGACGTTGCCAAGCTGTACAACTTCACCACTTTCGATGTCATGGGCGACCTGACTTTTGGGGAAGGCCTTGGTCAGCTCGAGACTGGCGTCGAGTCTTCGTGGGTACAGGCAGTATTCGTCACATTCAAGTTTATGAGTACGTCAAAATCTCAGGTGACCCCCAGCACCGAACGCTAACTTTTGGCTATCCCCGCAGCTGTCAGGTCTGTCATGAAGGCATATCCCCTGGGTGGATTCTTGAACTCCGTCTTCGCGCCCAAAGGCGTCATGGAGGATTGCGCTAGACACATCCAGAATTCAAACGCCCTTGTGACCAAGCGGTTGGAAAAGGGCAACAACGGGCGGCCAGACATCTTCGGTTTCATCCTCAGGCAGCCGGGGGAGAAGATGTCGCGTCCACTGATGAATGCAAACGCGGGAATGTTCATGATGTCTGGCACTGAGACGACCGCTACTGCTCTGACCAGCATGACTTGGTGCCTCCTAAACAATCCTGAGAAATTGAAGAAGGTGGTCCAGGAGATCAGGGCTGTTCCCGAGGAATCCGGCTTGACCAGCAGCGCCCTGAAGAATATGAAGTACATGAACGCTGTCATTGAGGAAGGCATGAGAAGTAAGCATCCTTTGTTGGAAGTCTTGAACGTGCTTGTAGGTCCTGACCATCACATAGTGTACCCGAGCGGCCAGGTTGGCTTGGGCAGCCAGCGTGAGATTGCGCCCGGCGGCAATTGGGTGTGCGGAGAGTGGTTGCCCGAGAAGGTTTGTGCTCCATCTCAGACTGTCCACACGTATGCTGAGACTTGACTACAGACCCAGGTGACTGTCCCCAGTTGGACCGCCTTCAACCCGCCACTGCACTGGAAAGACCCTCTGAAGTTTGTTCCGGAGCGATGGCTCCCCGAGGAGGTCGAGTACTCCGAGTACCACAAATACGATGACCACGCCGCTTGGCTGCCATTTGGAACGGGTCCGAGGGCGTGTATTGGACAGAATGTGGCGCTGCACGAGATGCGAAGTATTTTGGCGAGGTTCTTGTACAACTTTGACTTGGAGTTGTCTCCCGAAACCATGGATTGGCACGAAAAGAAGGTCAAGGGCATATGGGCAAAGCCCTCTCTAAAGGTTCGTGCTACCCTCGCGAAGTAGGTACTGTTACAAAGTAGTTTGGTGGCATTCAGATGCTCTCATAGGACAAGCTTTTAAGGAGGGCACGAGGGAACTTCACTGAGTAAAGGAATGTGGTGGTGATAGATGATTCCTTTCGTATCGGAACATTGAACAGTACCGGGGAAATTGGGGAACACCAGTGGTTGGGCATGAAACATGATCAGATTTTGATGTCCTGCGGAATGTAACACCAGTAATCTCCAGAAAATAAAGGCCTCTCATGAATTCTCATTTATGACTTGATTTAATCCTATTAAAAGCTCGTGTGCGACCTGCAATAAGGCTCTTCTAGTTCTCGAGGCTAGAGGAAGGAGGTGCCTCACATGCGACTCAGAAATTGAACACATGAGAACAATGGATGTTCATCGCGGAAGGAAATAATTTACCGACGACCCATCTCGTGACCTACTGCCCAGATCGGATCCTTCTATCAACAGATTTTACGTATTTCATTCAGAAGTCAACAATTTATCCAGATTATGACTGGTTTGCTATTATTACGGAACTCTGTTCTGAAATACCCTTCCCTACAGCTCAGGGTGCGCCTCAAAGTAGCTCCGCAAGGAAGTAGGCTTCACGTTCGGAAAGCGTTTCGCGTCCACTGGCTCGTGGTCCCATGATCCTTTGAGCAGGTGCTCAGCATAGCCCAGACCAATATACTTCTCATGATCGATTGGATCTATTGTCGCCCTTGCCTTGGTGAGCATGGAGACAACATCGTCCAAGGTCCCTGCGCACTTCACATGCGCCTTGACTTTGCCGCCGCGTGCCTTCTCATACTCCTCGGCGAGCTGCGCCGGCGTGAACCGGAAGCTTTCGACGCGTATAAACCCTCCCTGCTCGGCCGTTGGGCTCGCAACCGCCTCGATCGTGTAGGCAGCGAGGTCGTCGGCCGTGGTGCAGATCCATTCCTTCTTGCCGTCTCCGAAGTACGACATGGTTTTCGTCTCTCGGTTCCAAATCTGATCGCGGCGGCCCGAGAAAAGCCACTCGGCTATAACCCCCGTGAACATGTAGAGTGGCTTAATGCGCGAACTGATGCGGACTTGAGCGGCGAAGGCGATGAACGGGTCATAAGACTCATGCTGTCCCAGATATCCCAGAGTCCAATCAGCATTCCACGAAGCGGCATGGTAGATCTATGTATACTCGTCAGATAATCAGGCTGTTCTTCAATAGTTGTTGCGACACGTGCCACATAATTATCAGGTTTACCAGCACTTGCCTTGACTCCGGCACGCTCGGCAGCTCTCAACAGCAACAGCTGCCCCTCAAGCACGACCTCAGGCGAGAACCCGTAGGCACAGACAATTGCGTCCACACCAGCAACGGCTTTATCGAGGGCCGGTATGTCGTAGATGCCCGAAGAGGTGACGAAACCCTCGAGCTTTTCGCGGATCGATGCGGGCACCTTGGCGGGATCACGCCCCATTCCCCTGACACGATGGCCCTTGGAAATGGCATACTCAGCGCAAGGCTGGCCCACCATTCCGGTGATTCCGGTAATTAAGATCAACATGGCGATGGACGGGAAAGGTGAGGATTGTGGGAAAGTCACTTATGCTTGATAGAGACTTGAACTAGAATGACACCTGGCTGTACTTTTAAGTGCTTGGTGATGGGCTTGGCGACATCACTCGACGTGCCTGATTATCAATACCCATACGGTACTATGGTATACGTCCGATGCTGATTGACAATCTTCGTGCCGGCTCCGGCCCGCGAAGACGCGAGACGGGCACGTAGGTACCACAATTACCGGCCCAAACAAAACACACCACGTGATGAAGCCAGCGCCCCAAAGAATCATTTTCTTAGACGATACAACTCAAAGCCCCGCCCACTGCGTGTGGTCCAATAGACCGTCAGCTATCGTGCGGAGACTTGTCATCGAGCCGTCTCGGACAGATTCGGACGTTCAACTGAGTGTTCGGCCGTGCGGAGAACGACACCCATCAGCTGATAGCTCCGCAAATATAGTCATACTCCTCGGAGACACGAGTGGCCAAGGTGTGCCTCTTGCTAGGTGGGTTCAGCGTCAAACATGATATCACGTTCAAGTCCACCTTTGCCCACTAGGGTCGAGCTAACCGCCCTCTGTGCTGGAGCTGATGGTAGGCCCAATTTTTTTGGGCATGGACGCTCGGGATCAGTCTCACATATCAAGAGAGAAAAAACATATTGGATGAGGGTTCTACCATCCATAGCCCGGCCGAGGACAATTCACATCAGATTCGTACATACTCTCAGATGTATTGGACGACGTAGTTACAGCCTCAAGTCTCCTGGACGCCAAGACCAGATTGAAGGGCACCCAACAACAGGGGGCCTCGCCCAGGCTTGCTAGACTCTGAGATAAGCCAGAAGAAGGCGGTCGTTCATCATAACAAAGAGAGCAAACGTTTCGCATCTGCAATCAACTCTGATATATTAAGCTCCCAAATGAGACACACCCCCGATTGTGTCCCATTTACGGTGCCACCTTGGATGAATGTCAGAGTGACTGGTGATGGGAGTCTCTAGTGAGGATTGAGATGCTGTTTGTTGATAGAGTGATCCGGACAGTTTCCAATGACCACTGATGATGTGGGCGATCTGGCTTTCTGTTTCATTTGAATTTGTCCCCTCACTACATATATGAGAACCTATCTTGAAGAAGTAACTTAACATTGAAGAATTCAACACTAGTCTTTAGTAATGCTTATAATACCAAGAAAGGGATTTTTGATTTTGATTTATACAGGTAGACAGTTGTAGCAAATTTGGGGGTGATGAAAATAGTTGTGAGAGGCATGAACATGTCATTGGATGAGAAAATGTCTCGATTAGGTTTGAAGATGCAAGTGGGTAAAATAAGAGCGTTGAAATCGAGCTAGTGAGCACACTCACTGAAGAGTGTCTAGACTTAACATCGAATGGCCTGCGACGACAACCTGGTTTAAGGCACCTGGTAATGACATTACTTCGGGAAAATAAAAAGTCGATAGCGGGTGGCACGGGCCAAATGTAACTCTAGATTAAAGTCAACATGTGGCACCCTTGCGACCAGTAGTAGCTTTGATATTCTCACTACACCTATCTGGGAAGGTGAACCGGGACTCCCTAGTCACCTACGTCCTTTCATATCGTCCGTGGCGATCTGCCATGAGCCCTGGAGCAAAAGAAGCTGCATCAAAGTGCAGAAAATGGCAGAGGCATTGTCAATTCAACAGTCTGAGACCTCAGCCGACAACAAAGGTTGGCCGAGTACAACACATGGCGAATACATACTTGAAGATTTTGCTTTCAGCTCCGGCGAAACGATCCCGCAATTGCGATTGCACTACCAAACCATCGGCACCCTAAAGACCTCAGAAGATGGCAAGACCACCAACGCCGTGCTCATAATGCACGGAACTGGCGGGTCCAGCGATCAATTCCTCAACGCCCAGTTCGCCGGGGAGCTCTTCAACCTGGGGCAGCCGCTCGACACGCAGAAGTACTTCATCATCCTCCGCGACGGCATCGGCCACGGGCGCTCCAGCAGGCCGAGCAGTGGCGGGCTGGGGGCGCGGTTTCCGAAATACCGATACGGCGACATGGTCCGCGCCGATTACCGCCTGCTGACGGAGCACCTCGGCGTCGCGCACCTGCGGCTGGCCATGGGCACTTCGATGGGTGGGATGCAGAGCTGGCTGTGGGGCGAGGCGTACCCGGGCTTCATGGACGCCCTGATGCCTCTCGCGTCGCTGCCCGTCCAGATCTCAGGCCGCAACCGCATGTGGCGCAAGATGGCTATGGACGCGATCAGGGCCGACCCCGCGTGGAAGGGAGGGGCATACGCGTCCGGCGAGCAGCCGCGCGCAGGGCTCACTACGGCCCTGGACATCTTGACGCTGATGTCGTCGAGCCCGCTGCAGTACCAGGCGGAGGCGCCCACGCGGGACGCGGCGGACTCGTTCCTCGACGGCAAGATCCGGTCCGGCCTCCGGTCGACGGACGCGAATGATCTGTTGTTTGCGCTGGACTCGTCGTTTGATTACGACCCTAGGCCTGACTTACACAAGATCACGGCGCCGCTGATCGCGGTCAACACAGCGGACGACCAGATCAATCCGCCTGAGCTGGGAATTCTGGAGAGGGAAGCACGGGCTGGGCTGAGAGACGGCCTGGGCAAGGTTGTCGTGTTGCCCATCACGGAGGAGACGAGGGGTCATGGATCGCATACAGCGGCTAAACTATGGAAGCATCTCCTTGAAGAACTATTGCTCAAGACTGAGAAGAGCTGACGTCGGGAAAAGGACTTTTGCAATTCTGATAGATCCATTGCGACGTAATTCTTTTGTGGACAGTTGGGTGTTGAATATTTAGAAACGGAAAGAGATTAATGTGCCGGGAGTTGTTGCAAGGATTCAACACCGAAGTATACCCATCTGCCAAGAAGGCAAATCGATGCTGTCAATGTCCTTGAGAAAATCGTGCCTGTTTCAAAACCTTGAGTGGCGCAGCCGCTTGGCCAGATATACAACGGCCGGTGCTAAGCTTTATTCAGACAGAAAACACATGTCTGCACGCGTGAAAAGGCCCACCTTTGGACAGGTTGACGGCCCTCAGTCCCGACTGGGCTCTCGGGCCCCCCTTACCAGGACTGCCAAATTTGAGGTTGATTCCCCGGCATTTGCTTTTTTACCCTCCTTCATGATAAGCACGCCAGTGCGGTGAGCGAAGAAGGAATGGCTGCGTACCAACCGCGGTCCCTGCTTTGGAAGGACGGATTTATTGGTCGAGCCGCACGTTGATACAATCTAAACTCGACATTTCTCCCGATAGGCATCAATGGCATAACCTAGCAGACGCGTAGGCCGCTCGTAATCACGACTTGCTGAGTACAACCCTGGCACTTGGATATCACCACACGATGACCAATACAGGCCCAAGACACTGGAAGGACGGCTCACCTAATTTATCGGTAACGACGGACAGCGAAGCCAAGGGCGCTGGCCAAGGCGCGATCAGACATTTCACAAAGCGCCTCACAGCGGAGCTACACACACTTGTTTTGTTTGGAGACGTACTCATTGTATTGACTCTCGACCACACTATGAATACAAGGCGAATACTGCTCTACAACAGAGGGACTGACCACTCCAACGCCATCTTGAGACCAAGCCCGAGGATGCCGCGGGTAGTGTCAGTATCCCCTTAGCTGTAGAACAACGCCCGAGAAATATTATACAAGAAATGTAAAAAAGGTCCAGTCAGAAAGACGGTGGAAAGCATGGTCTAGGTAACCCCTGGTATCAATCCGTCACTCCTCTATAGCAAAAAAAACGAGCCACAGTGAACCTCCCACTACTTCCCTAGGGGAAGCAGCAGTAGAAACCGTGAAGGCAGCTTAGGCCCTGACGTCACGGGCGTGGCGGCGCTTCTTGCAAGCAGCCTTGGTGGCGGCAGGGGCAGCGCTGGTGGTGGTAGCGGCAGCGGGCGTCTCAGCGGCGACCGGGGCGGCGGAGGAGGAAGCAGCCGCAGTGGGGGTAGCGGCAGCGGCGCTGGGAGCGACCGCGGAGGAGGCAGAGCCGGAGGAGGAGCCACCCTGGGAGGCACCAGAGGAGCTGAAGCCCAGAGCGGGACCAGGGATGGGGTACTCGGAGAAGTCCTGGTAGATGTTGAAGGCAATACCCTCCTCATCGGCGGTGTACAGGGCGGTACCCTTGGTTCCCTCAGGGAAGGAGCCGCTGCCACCAGTGACCTGGATGTTGACACACTGGGGGTAGTTCTGGGCACCGTTGGCCTGGTTGGCAGAGTGCAGGGCGATGATCTCGTGACGGAGAACGTAGTTACCCGCGGGGGTGCCCTCGGGGATGGTGATCTCCCAGGCGAGGTTGTTCTCGAGGATCTCGTCAGAAGCCCACTTGCCGGGGTTGGAGCCGGAGATGATACCAGCCTCCTGGATCTTGACGAAAGACAGAGTGGTCTTGTCGACGGAGGTGGGGTCGTCGGCGGGGGCGAGGTAGTCAACGACGGGGCCGTGGTGAGAGTCGGGCCAGGTGTTCCAGACGGCCTTGACGGTCTGGCCAGCGGCAACGGTGGCGTTGTTCAGGGCACCGTTGGTGGCATCACGGTGGCAGATGATGTCGGGGTCAGCGTAGGCATCAGGGGCGACGAAGCCGTTGTCAGAGGCGGAGGTGCTCCAGGCAATGAACTCGTTTCCGGTCTTGGTGCCCTGGCCGGTAGCCCACTGCTCGTCGAAGCCCTTGTAGGTGACTCCGCCGATCTCCCACGAGGAGACGTATCCGTGGGCGGAGACGAGGCTGGCGCCAGCGGCCAGAGCAAGAGCGAGGGGGGACTTGGCAGGCATTTTGAGTGGCGGGTTTGGTTTGGACTGAAGGGACCTGAACAAATCGATGTACAGAGTGGTGCGATGTGATGAATAACCGGCTGGCGGAATGAATGAATCTACTGCAGTCAATACAGCGACGAGCGAAAGAATGAAGCCCGAAGGGGTGTCTTCGAAAGAATGAATGTGGTGAGTTGATGACGAGAGAGTCTGGAGAGAAGGCAAGAAAGTCAGACCTCTTCTCGGCCGACGACGTGCCCTTCTTATGATGATCGCGGACGACGGGACCCCCGTCTGCCCATGTTCACGCCGGGGTCGATTCATGGGCCTTGATTGCCTCGTAGTAGCCTCGCTGCCTCGCTGCCTCCCCGCTGCAGTCGCACGCTGCATGGAAAGGGGAGGGGGGCTGCAATCGTGGACCCAGGCGAGGCCCCAGAAATTACCGATATGGTGTAAACAAGATGAACAGGACCAGGCTCGGCCGTCTTGGCAACAAGGTTGCCGACAAGGTTGAGGCTCTTGATGGAGTCGCACACGCTGACAGGGCTGTTCCCACCTATCGCTTATTCGTTTGACGGCAAGGCGGGACCCAGTCCTCCCAAGCTTGCAGAACATCGGTCCAGGGGGCGGCTCCAGCCAGACGCTCGTCGACCTTTGGGCGTTGTTTCATTTCCACGAGACTCGTGGTTGGCCGACCTAGGCAGCCCAGGCTGGCTGCTTGCGATGTCACCTTGAGGCTGCAGCTCTGGTCGCGCCGCACTTACCGCTCAGGGGCAAGCCGAGGGGCGTGGCAGACGACGTCGTCAGTGCCCCTGAATCCTTGACCGGAAAAAAACCCTCAAATTGGGATTGGGAGTTGTTTGGTCTGCTGAAGGGATTTTTGGGAAATTTCCGTATGGCCCCTCCTTATGTTTCAAGCAGAAAGCCTTGGCGCCTCGGTAGGCCTTTTGCAGGAACTCGTGCCCGTGGCCTAGCAGTCCACCTGTGCACAACGCGGCATCGCGTGCTAGAGGCATGGATCTGGTGCGAGCTAGCCAGTCATTAGCATGCGATGTGAACATTGAGGTTTATACTGCGGGAAGTGATGCACAAAACGATCGACTTTACCCGCGTGGCCGGGGTTCCATCATCGCGCCAAGTCCCAAGATCGACAGGATCTCCAGAGCTTGGCCGCCGGTCGTGGGCAATAGAGTTCAGAGGCTCAGCACTGACCATACTGTAATGTTCGATCTCTGTATTCCTTGACAAGCTTGGCTCACCGTAATGGCGCTATAATGAACAGCGCGCGAGCGAGGGCGGTTGAGACGATGGAACATTCCTTCCACGATGTTCACACCTGCTCACCTGCATCCGTCAAGTTTCATGGACCTGCACCGATCCCGAAAGAAAGCTCGGCCAGCCGCAATGTAGACAACCGAGATGAGAATGTCGAGTAACCGCTTAGGGCGGTCTTGGCGTTGACACCAACACCCGCCCCCTTTGGCGCCCACTCCACCAGATCCCTCGCCGTGCCGAAGCTGTGCACTGACGGCTTGAGAACACGGTGAGCCGATCTCTGGTCCAATGGATTTCTCACAAATTCTGGGTCTGAGATGAAAGATCTAGATTGTGGGTTACAAGGTCGATCAATTGACGGCCAGCCCGAGTAGGTCCCCAGCCATTTCTCACGACTGGTCGGGAGACCGCTGTCAACAACCACAACGGTGGCCGGCCAGGCCTTCCTCTCACAACAAGTTCCTTATCGAACGATGTCAATCTGCCCAAACGTCGCAGCAGAGGAATGCCGAAAATCACGCGGTGATGATGAATCCCGGTTTGACCTCGGTTGGTTGTCTTGTCGCTAAATCGTTGTATTTGAATTTTGAAATGTCTGTTGTTCTTTTATGTACTGTATAGATCCCGGATTGATTCCGGCTTCGCATCCTTGTATTTCGTTCAGGCTGTGCTCTTGGATGCTTCGGCGATCCAATGGTCCTTCTCCCTCTTCAACTCCCTCTTCACATACCAGATGGTAGCCAACGCCCAGACCCCAGCCCATCCGAAGGGGACCGACCAGCCGATGGCATAGGCTGCATCTTCGCTGACCGTGAAGATGAGGATGGTGCAAACAACCGCCATCGCTTGAGCGCCAACGGCCCAGAATACAGCCGCCGCAGCATGGTGCGGAAAATGTGGCTGGCTTCATATCTCCTGTTGAGAGCCTCTCGAAAGTCCGTTCCTCCAGACCCGTCCACGGCACAGATATCCTCGATCAGGGTGTACACACATGGTCGCAGCTGGGCGCCTTTGGGAATGGATGACAGGCGGAAGGGGGCTGGGACACGGAATACACGGAGAATATCGACGATGAGCATCTCGGTGCCAAAGGTGTAGAGCATGGTAGTCAAAGGCATGGCGACTAGTCGGATTGGCGGCCACTCCTGGACAGTGCCTCTGTTGAAAAGAACGTGGGTCAGCTTGGTGCAAACGCATGTAACAGGCGAGCAAGAACGCGGTAGGACTCACACTATCAACTCGACCATGATGATCAGCCAAGCCAGGGTGTAGTTCCAGTGGAACGCATCGAGATACCATCTATGGGCCCCGATGACCCGGCAAACACTGTCCTTCTTCCACAGCCTCCAGAACCGTACGAAGTACTCAAGGATACTAGCACCGCCTATGGCAGCGGTGACAACGGTATAGACTGTGTTGGCGGACATAGTCGGCTTTTCGCCCTCTCTTACACTCCCTGGGCCGACGCCGTACCACAACCCATAGTACAAGGCGATGGGCATGACGACGGAGTCGAAGATGATGAATAACCAGAAAATGAAGATGGCCCAGTAACGCGTGTGCAGGGTGTAGTTGAGCGGCGGTGGCCTAGGCTCGAGCAGCCGGGGCGCCGCGCCGGATGTGGCCGAGGCATCCGAGGACGGTTCGTGGCCCTCGACGGCTTCGACAACGTGCTCGGCATCGAGGCGGGCCTGTTGGGATGACTTCCGCCGTGCGATAGATATGCTGGGTCTTGCATAGGGTCCATCGAAGCGTCTGTCGAATTCAACGCTGGATCGTACTGCTCGCTGGCGCGAAGAGTTGGCATTGGTAGGGGCGTGGGTCGGCGGCGGCGACTGGGGCGACCGGGGCTGGTCATTGAGGGCCGGTAGACTGTGTGATCTCTCGTCTTTGGTTTGAATGGGTTCGTCGAGCTTCCTGCCGACATCCAGAGAGTGTCGTCCGAGTGGGCCCGGTTTCTGGTCCGAGTGCAGGCCGGTCCTTGGCTTCTCGTCAACGGCCTCGTCGTCTGCGGGCGGAATGCCCTCTCCCTTCTCCCTTCCTGCCGGGTCACGCTTGTCGTCCATGATGTTGCAATCGCGTGGGCAATTGCGGACGATGAGAGAAAGACTCAGTGTAAAGTTGAAAATGGGGATTATCACTTCATCAACATGTCTAGATGGGGCAGACGGTGTTTACTTTTGGGCCCAAGTGAAGTGCAGCACGTAATATGCGCAGGTAGGGTTTGTCTGCCAAAGTATGGGCCAGAGGTAGCATGCGCACACAGGGATCGTAGGTGAAGTGACGTGTGTATGGGACAAGCCAAGAGCTAGATCATCATCGAAGGGGCTATCAATAGCACTGCGAGCAGACAGAATGGAGCGGAGTCGATGATCCGGCCGTTCCTGCTCTGCTGTTGTGGTTCTGGCCGCGTGCTCGGGGAGCCGGGTCGTAGTTCTTCTGGTTTCGACGGGTTTGGGTTTGTGATATCATACCGTAGGGGCCGTGAGAGAGTGATGTCATAACGCTGGCGTGGACCCACCCGCCCCTTCCCGCAAACCGACCTCATACTGCTCTGCAGCCGCACGTCGTGCGACAATGCGAAACGTGGACACGGGCTCAGCATTGGGGAATTAGGAGGAATTAGAAGGAATTGGCCGGCAATGTATTGGACGGAGTCGAGTTGATACGGCATTGAATCGAAGCAATGGGAAGCAACGGTGCGCAGGCAAGAACAAGCAACTAGCCCACTGCTAAGCTGCCAATGTTCCTGCCAACCTTAATCCGCAGCCAGGCCAAGCAGCGCAAAGACAGCCGAAGCTATCCTGGGCAGCAATCAAGAGCAACACCAATGCAAGTACGGCCTAGGGTGCGGAAGCTTGGTGGTGTACCAGTCCCAAGGGTAACACCACGCGCGCACACAAGCGCGCACACACGCACGCATGCAGGCAGACTAATCTCAGGTCCCCAAGAGGGAGAAGTGCTGCTGGTGGTGGCCATCAAGGATTGAAATTTGCGCGCGCTCGGCGGCTGCCGCTCGACTACTGCGCCTAGGCACATAATACCAAGGGTACGTACCCTACCGCCCAGTGTCTAGAGCTTGCCGAGGAGTCTGATCTGCCCAGGCCAGGCCCCCCAAGGCTGGCCAGTGCTTACGAACGGGCATCTCGATTCCCTGCCCTTGGTCAACTCGCCGCCTGTCTCAACCCGGAAGGCCCTGTTCCAAAGCCCAACCGCCAAAATGCCAACTATCGATCCATCTTGACACCAGCGCTCACCGGCCGACCAGCTCTTGACCTAAAGTGGCTTGAGTCAATGGACTCTGCTAGCTCACTAGCAGGGCGAATGCTCTCAGCCCCTGAGGATCCGTCACAAGATCCCAGCCAAGGTTGCACCGTCGAGCTTCAGCCAACGGCAATGGTGCCGCAGCGAGTCCACTGTCAACACGCCGCGCCGCGCCGCTGTCCAGCTCTCGTTTGTCGTGGCGTTGGCTATCAGCCCTCATGACCACTAATTGATGCTGTCTCTCTCTCTCTCTTTGTGTGTGTGTGTGTGTGTGCCGTCGATCCCTCGACCCGGCCACCAATTGGCACCGTTTTGATTCCCCAATGCTGCCCTGATGCACGTCCCGGTGTCTGATGCACTACGGCTGGGCAACCCTAATGCAACCCCCCAAACCTGGACCTGTTGCTTGTCACTACGAAACAGGCAACTGCAATAATACGGAGTGTGGTACTTCTGTGCCAATATAATACTGCAGGGCCCGCCAATGCCACACTTGGAATTGCTGTTATGAGCATCAAACCAATTGACACCTGTCAGCCAACTCCATGTCAAGTCAATCGGCCCCAAGTGCCTTCAGACGTCCTGTTCTCCCGAGACCATCGTTCATCATGAATCCGAGACATGACCAAAGTTTCCAATATAAACCAAAGCGGATATTCATATGCTGTGATGGGACGTGGGTCAATTCTCTGGGCCCAAAGGACGAGCCTCCATCTAACGTGTGAGTTCACACATGTGTGGAATGTCATCAAACCTTTGCTCCCAAGGGCTGCTCATAAGGCCTATGCGAAGAATCTCGTCGTCCCAGCATGGCGCGGCCTGCCAATTCCTAGAAAACGCAGTGCTTCGGAGACGAGACCTTCTGGGGCCGTGCCCAACCCAACTGTCACATAGATATCTCGAAGGACTGCTAACACGAACGCTGCCTAGGACGAAACTCTCACGAAGCCTTAAGCGATTTTGTACAGATGGGGCCAGTCAGATCATTATGTACTCACCAGGTGTAGGAACCGGACCTTCCAAGCTTGACATGCTCACCGGTGGTGCATTTGGCGAAGGACTAGACCAAGTGAGCTCCAATGACCGAGAATAGCTTGCAGATAATCGGATGCATGTGATCTGACCAAGGCCAGGACATTCGCGAATGTTACAACTTCGCCTGCGCCAACTACATCGATGGAGACTCGATCATCCTAGTTGGATTCTCAAGAGGGGCTTTCACTGCTCGCTCAGTAGCAGACTTGATTGCCTCGGTCGGATTGCTGACTACGGAGGGAATGGACCAGTTCTTTCCGATATTCAGGGATTACGAGAACATAGGCGATGAGAAACGATGCGCAAGCGAGTTCCTGTTTCAAGACCTAATCCCTTACCAAGGTGAGAAGGGCAAGGCCAAGATCCTCTGGGAGAATCAACGCAAGGAGCAATACAAGCAATGGCTAAAATCAGTGAGTTGTGATTGTGCAACACATTGCGCCGCATCTCCAGGCTAACCCATGCGCAGAAATCGTGGACACGCGATACATATCAGGATAGCTCAACCGAAATCAGAATTAAAGCCGTTGCAGTCTGGGACACTGTTGGTTCACTAGGAATTCCGCCTGTGCCCATATTTGGCATCCGGGGCTCGGCCGACCAGTGGAAGTTCACGAGCACACACGTTTCCAGCAAGGTCGAGAATGCGTTTCAGGCCTTGTCACTGGATGAACCCAGGGCGGCCTTCCGTCCTGCCCTATGGGAGCGACTCGAAGACAACAAGGTGACCAACTTGAAGCAGGTGTGGTTCCCAGGAAACCACGGTGACGTCGGAGGTGGCTGGTACGACCAGCAGATGGCAAATATCTCTCTCGCTTGTAAGCTTTGCAAGTGCCTCAAGTGGCCACGAGGAAGGCAGGCTGACAGTTACCCACAGGGATTTGCGACCAGCTAAGCACTCTCGGCGTCGAGTTCAGCGCCCGTCGCCTCACAAGAACTTTCGTCGACGGCCTGCGCTACAATGCGGCTCACCCCTACCCTTATGTACCCCCACCATCATTCCTGATACCCAACTTCGTCTGGAAACCCCTCCTCCGACACGGACACCCACGCCCCAAGCCCTGGGCCTCCTCGCCAGCTCTCTGCCCGCCGCCAGCCAAGGACCAAACCATAGACACAGAAAACTGCACAGGCAAAGACCATCACCCAGACGGCAGCCCGCAGCGCCTATGGGAAGTTGGGCCGCCCCGCTCATGGGCGCTGGGGCAGACCCGCCACCCGGAGAGCCGGCTGCAGCTCGCGACGGGTACGATCGTCCGGCACCCGGGCTGCTTCACGCGAGCGGACCCGGACACCAACCACGACACGGACGAGCCCCTTGTTAATACGGACGAGCGCATCCATAGCTGCGTACGCGTGCGGCTCGTGTGCGGGGGAATGGGCATGGACGACCACGGCGTGTGGTCGTGCCCGTCGCTGCTGCGCGACGATAGCAACCGGGGCAGGCCGGTGTGGAGGCTCGAAAAGGCGGATGCCGCCGAGGTGGAGCGGGCGACTGGGCCGCAGGGGGCGTGGTGGGAGGAGGAGCTCGAGAGGACGGGGATGGGGTACGATGAGAACTGGCTTTACAGGTTTCAGAAGGGCGATGGGCACTGGCGGTGGGTGTTTGAGTCAGACGCCGTGGCTAAGAACGCGGCCGACTCTGCGGTGAACCCCCCTGTGAGGGTGCTTCCTGAGGAGCCTGTGACGGGCTACTGGGAGAGGCACCTGTTGGCTTTGACGAGGGGCCAGACGGACGTCTGGAGGTGGGCGGAGGTGAACTCGACTGAGTGGTCCGCGGCGGGCAACGGGATCGAGTCGGTTCAAAAACAGTAACTTGATTCGACTAGTTTCTGACGAAGTTGGGCCATGAAAATCTTCCCACATGCTAGGAAGGGTAATGTTTGGTAGACAGATGGAAGATGCCAATGGAACTTGTCTACTCGCCCAGGAGGACACAGAAGCCAGCGGCGTATCGAGGCTCACTTTGCGCTACCTTATGCCATGAGAAAATGAATCATCAATTCGCGTTGTGCTTAGTATTCAGTTTCGGGAAAAGAGATTTCTCCTGGTGCCGAATATCCTGGACTCAATGCTGCGATTTGTTGGGAGGATGAGTAGGTGGCGCACCAGTCCGCCACCAGCCAGCCGCCAACGCAATCAGTCTGCTGCTGTTCTCTGCATACCTGCAAACGAAACTTTTGTCCCAGATTTCCCAAGTTCACTCAAGAATTTGTATTCAACTCTGTGGCTTGGATTACAGATATCAGTCACATAGAAAACCATTGGGTCGCAGTGCGTGCAGGATCCAGTCGAGTGTGCGTTGTCACTTCTGGGCCAGGACAAATGTGATAATGGAATGAGTACTCCATGGTGAATAAGCAAGTTACGGCAAATGACATGAGACTTTACAATGACCTTCTCTATACAACAGGTTCCTAATCTTTCCTGTCACCTCTCCTAGCCTGTTTTGAGAACTTGAACCGCAGATTGAGGTCGTTTTCATGTCTAGATGATCCAGGGTACGTCAAGTAATAAGGCACCTTACTGAATGCACCACCGAGCAAGATTATTGACAAAATAAATCAGGACTCTGTAGCAGCCAGATTCATAGAGCAGGTGCCTCATCTTTCTATCACCCTTATTATTTCTTGCCACTTCCGTTCCGTGGGCTCTACAATCTCTTTTATCCCGGAAGTGACCGCGTCTTCCTGGCCTTTTTCTACTTCAAGAGAACATTTCCTGTACTCTAGACGCCCAACTTCGTGTTGCGACCTGATTTAGATTTACAACTCATCATGCGCGTCGTACTGCGACATGCACTCTCCGGGATTAGCAGCGCACCATTCGTCACAATAGGACCCTTCAAGCCTCACCCACATCCAAAACGCCGCGCCTCTCGCAGCAGCAAACGTGGGATCATCCGGAATGATGAGCTCCACCTCCGGTTGCCGTTCAGTGCCTTGTTGCCGGCGTATGTCACCCGTCTGCTCACCACCACTGGTGACGCGGACGTCTGGAATGCTCTTGACGACCTCTTGCAGGACATCTGTAAAGTCCGGCTCAGTGGCTGCCTCCCCGGCAACGAGCACGAGGAAAGGAAGGTCAGAGTGTACAGAATGACGCCTTGCGTGCTCGGCAACTTGTTCTAGAAGACGTTCGCGAACTGAGTCCCAGAAGTCTTGGGGGGGCTCCGACTCCTTTAACTTGTCCAGTCCATATCTGGGGTCGATGGTGCTGAGGTGATTGTCCCACGAATCGGAATAGAAGCAACGCGCAATCTGAAAAGACGTATGGAGAGATTGATTCGTGAAGCTGTTCAGCATATAAGCATGCGTATATAACACAACACATGCCCACTTCAAACTTGACGTACCTAATGAGAAAGGCGACTGCCCCTTGCTCGCTAAGACCTGATCCGACACCACACCAGCGGTCCACACACAGCCGGCGCTTATTCGCTGCGAGGAGGCTGTTGGTCTCGCCCAGGTATATGGGATGACTGTCCTCCCATGACACAGGCTCGATACCTACTAGCACGAGGACGTCATTGATGATGCTATTGGAAGCCACTTGACCGTCCCATGCGGCCATCCACGGCGCTGTGACGGCGGCCGAATCAATGGCACGGCCGTCGAGGGCAGCTTCAGACTCGGCTTTCAAGGCGGCAGCCACTCTGACCAAAACTGCGGCATCCTTGCTTGGTGGCATCCGGAGAGTCCGCATCAAAAGCCTCCATAAGCTCTGAAGGCGGCCAGGTCGATCCTGCGGAGCGGGCTGCCGGACCATTCGTTCCATAAGCGCTGTGTACTCGTCGCCCGCAGGGACCTTTGCCAGGTTGATGACGGTCCCATTTGAGAAGTGGGCGACGGATGTTCTACCAGGCGGTTGTTTCCGTTCATCAGCATGTTTTCTTTGCTGCGCACAAGGACAAACAAGACAAGATAAGGCGACCGAAACATGGCGTCCAACGTTCGAGGAACGGAGAGCGGACGAACCAAACTTACGCGTATGCCTGGCCGAGATGGAATCCTATTGCAACAGGGACGGCTTCCTGCGTCGTAGCATCACGATGGCGGCTCTCGGCGCCGACGCGGCACAGCGCAGACGGCAACAAGGCAAGGCCTAGGAGGCAGAGAAAGATGGTCGTCAGTCTTGGTCGATACGCTGTCTTGTAGCGACAACGGTCTGTGGTGTGGCAGGGCATGTCGGTCGCTCCCAGTCTGTGAATATAATGCTCCTGGCAAGCGTAAGGTATCCTCGCTGGCTACCTTATATCCATGGACCCAAATGCCTTATGTAGTGGCTGAAGTGAAAGGCGGTAATCAGGGTCCATGTGATAAAGCTGTAAGAGTGAGGTGATGTGATGGTTAACTGATTCTAGGCTCCACAGGTGTTACTGAGTTGTGATGGTGTAAGGTGAGTGTGGCAGGTGCAGCGGCGCGTCGGCCAGCTTGAGACCAAGTTGGGCCTTGCTAAATCGGGGAATCAGTGTAACACTTGAATGCAGGGGGGGGGGGGCTCGGCATGGCACTGAAGCAGCGAATGAGGTGCCTTAGTCGCTAATATCAACGTAAATGCCCCCACGCATTTAAGAGCGAGTTAGAAAGCCGAGTAAATAACTTTGAGGTACTGTGACACAACAGGGTATGCAAAAAGGGACGTGTGTTTCACCGAACTTGGTCTAGTTAAGCTCAAGGTAAGATATGTTAATTCATCCCGACAATATCCTAGCAGGATTCACGGCACAGCTCTTCTCGGCATTAAACATCTCCAACAGGGTCACCTATTGGAACTTCAGGTAGCTACAAATAAGTGACATCCCAGGTCTCGTACTCCCCCTATCCTAGAGAATCACTCACAAGTAAGTACCTTTTAGTCTTTCTAGAGTAGCAGCTCTACTCCCTTAGCAACATCATTAAAAACAGCTTTTACTAATCCAAGACAGAGGCTCCCAATTCAACTTACTCCCTAGCTGACACTTGCACTAAGAAATGGCCAGCTAGGGCGAAGGGATGAGCGTAAGTAAGAGGCTGGTTAGCCATGCCTGGGTTCCCAGAGATCCAACCTAGTACCCTTAATGTTCCCCAAAATTAAGAAGATATTTTGTAATTTGGGATAACAAGTTGGACGGAGGTGCTGTTCCTAGATAGTCACAGCGAGAGATTCTTGGGGACGGGGAGTACAAGATCTGGGACTTCAGGATGTCAGCAAATAGGCGCCGGGGGGCATATTGCACCCAACAAGGCAACATTGTTACTGTAAACATATTCTTAAACCAGGTAAGATCTGCAGTGATCCAATAGTACTATGTCTGACTCAGACAAGTTTCACGACCCTACGAGGAGGAACAGGAACCTGGATAACGAGGTCTGAATTGTTTTTTTACTATCGCGAACGCGGCGCAGCAGATGCCTACTTTTGTCTCCTTCAGGAACACACCGAGGCTTTTTACGGAACCGCAACGATGCTTCCCAGTCAGAGCAATCTAAGGCGGATTTGACTGTGTCCATCAGCAACAGGGGCTAGGTACCTTGGATCAGTAGTAAGTCAAACGCAATGATACAAAGTATTTAAGATGCCCTTTGGATTGGGAGAGCTTTATGTTAGTCTCGATTGCTTATGGTAGTTAGACTGAGTATCCCGTAGAAGATGCTCCTCCGACTGGCCCAACTCGCCTCCCTCGCCCTTATTACCGTCAACCCAGCTACGGCGGGCGGACCCGGCAACTCAGTCTTCTTCTCGGGTGAGCCTCCCTGCCCAAGCCTCTGTGATGATGCCGGACCAGATCCCGCCAACTGGACTGTTTATCACTCTGTTGATCGGCTGGACTACTGCGACGCGCCGCTTGTGCTCTCCTTTGCCATTTTTAACCTCCTCGACGATCCGGAGACTGGAAAGAGCATTGGGGCATGCGCTCTGACCGCCTCCTCTACGGGAACTGAGTCCTCCCCCCGCGAGCACGAGTCTGAGAAGCGCGACGCTCGGCCAGGAGGGTTTCAGTTTCGAGATACCTGGCGAGCAATCGTCCGCCGCCAGTCTGACAACTCCAGCAAGAGTGAACCACTCGAACAGGAGCAGCCTATCCAGGCTGCCTGGAAGAATTATGGGACCAAGTCTGCCAGCAGCGTGGACATCGTGTCTCAGGCTGAGCAGCTCAAGTCGTTCCTCGACTCGCCCAAGATCAAGTCTTCTGCCCAGGAACCGACGCTGTACTTCCTATACAACTCCGATACGCCCGCCACCCTCGGTGTTTACGCTGGCTCGGGAGTTCCAACGTCACCCCTATTGGAGGCGTTTAACGACGTGATCAAGTCCCGAGACTACCCAGGTTACGTTCTGGTGCAAGGCTGCGGATTAGCAGCGCCGAATGTTGGAGTTGTGGCCGCTTCGGGATCAGATAGTCTTATTGCTGCACAGCGTGCTGTGAGACAATGGGCGAACTCGACGTGCGTTTCGATGGATGGATTCGAGTCGGACACTCTATCGACCCGCGTGAAGACGGTCAATATCGGTTCCGTGGATTCTACTAAAGAATCCAGGGATACTCGTACCACTTTCAATCAGCTTCACCGACGTGCCGACTGCCGCACAGAGAAGGTGAAATCAGGCGATCTCTGTGCTGACCTCGCCTCCCGCTGCGGTATATCCGTCAGCAATCTGCTCAAGTTCAACCCGAAAAAGGACTTTTGCACGACCCTCAAGGTCCCTCAGCTCGTCTGCTGCTCCCAGGGTGATTTTCCAGTGCCGAAGCCTGGTTCCAACGGCAACTGTGCCACCTACAAGATCGGCTCCGGCGACAGCTGCTGGGCCATCACCGACAAGTACTCGGGGCTCATCACGACCGACGACCTGGAGAAATACAACAAGAAGACGTGGGGCTGGGGTGGCTGTGGTAACTTGCAGCTTAATACCCGCATCTGCATCAGTTCTGGAAACCCGCCGTTGCCGGAGCCAGTGAAAGATGCTGCTTGCGGACCGGTCAAGCCGGGCACGACCATGCCGGGGCCGGGGACCGATCTGGCGAGTCTGAATCCTTGTCCCCTGAACTCCTGTTGCTCCGTATACGGCTTCTGCGGCACCACCGAGGAGTTCTGTCGCCCTGTTCCGAAGGGACAGGCGCCGGGAGCTCCGCAGCCGCCCGGGGGCCCTAACTGCATCTCGAACTGTGGCATGGATATCGTCAACAACAAGGAGCCGCCCAAAGAGTTCGTCAAGGTCGGCTACTTTGAAGGGTACGGCGTATCGCGCCCGTGCAACCGGGTCAGTATACGCACCGTCGACATGTCCAAGTACACGCACATCCACTTTGCATTTGCCACTGTCACCAAGGACAGCTACCAAGTCGACATGGGCCCTACTATCAACCAGTTCTCCGAATTCAAGAAGATCAAAGGCACTAAGAAAATCCTGTCCTTTGGAGGCTGGGCTTTCTCTACTGAGTATGTGATCGATCTCCTTGTTTTGCACCATAGGTGTTCTCTTGTCTCACAATTATACACTATCGTAGGCCAGGGACCTACCAGATCTTCCGCGCCGGAGTTCGAAGTGCGAATCGAGATAAGATGGCCCAGAACATCGCCAAGTTCATCCAAGACAACAGTCTCGACGGAGTAGACATCGACTGGGAATATCCAGCGGCACCTGACTTGCCCGACATTCCTCGCGGAGACCCGGCTGAAGGCGACGACTATCTCAAGTTCCTTGCTAAACTGAGAGATCTTTTGTCAAAGGACAAGTACTCGATCTCCTTCGCCGCGCCGGCCTCCTTCTGGTACCTCAAGGGGTTCCCCATCAATAAGATCATGAAGGTTGTCGACTATGTCATCTACATGACATACGACCTACACGGCCAGGTAATTCTATCACGAATACCCTGTAGTCTAGAGTATATCCCTGGGCGTAACTGATGACCGTGTTAGTGGGACTACGACAACCGATGGGCAACCCCTGGATGCCCGTCTGGAAACTGTCTTCGGTCGCATGTCAACATGACGGAGACGATGAATGCTCTCGCCATGATCACCAAAGCCGGAGCGCCGTCGAACAAGGTCGTCGTCGGCGTCACCAGCTACGGGCGCTCCTTCAAGATGACAAAGCCTGGCTGCACGGGGCCCATGTGCAACTTTGTCGGTCCCGGGTCCGGGGCGGCCAAGGGACGATGCACAGGCACCGCAGGCTACATCGCCAACTCGGAGATCCGCGAGATCATTGCTACGAACCCCAGTGCCAAGGTCTTCACCGACAGGAGTGAGAGTACGATCCTGGTCTACAACGAGACAGAGTGGGTGGCGTACATGAGCGACGAGGAGAAGAAGAGGCGCACCAAGAAGTTCAAGGATCTCAACTTCATGGGGACGACGGACTGGGCTATCACGTTGGATACGGAGGGCTTGGTCGAGCCGCCCAAAAGCGAGATTGGGGGTGATGATGACTTCATCTGGCCCGAAGCTGCCGTCGACCCTAAAATTCATTCCTCGTGCACGAAGCCCCACAAGGCCAAGATCTTGGAGGCTTGGAACGAGGCGGGTGAGATCACCAAGACTGGGTGGGAGTGGACGCGATGGAACAAGTACCAAAACGCGCTGGATACGTACATTGGTAAAAAGTCAGGGCAGGTCCCGTTGCTCGGTGTCGACCACATCTGGGGTGAGGATCTCTCCGAGTCTCTTACTACTTGTTGTCCAGTCGCTCACACTGATATCAGGTAACCTCAAGAACCACTATCATGCACACAACGGTGGTGGCCAGCGGGGCATCTACGCGTACTTCTACTGTGACGCAGAGAAAATGCCGAAGAAGGTACAGGATACGTTCCGTAGGAAGCCGTGCATGTATTCCCCTAGAAAGAAGGCTGGCACAGCAGCCAAGACGTGGCGCTTCCCGGGGAACTTGTGGTCCGAGTACTACGTCCTGCTATGTCCATGGTGGCTGGGCGATATCCCAGACGCCCCCGCGTTCGAGAGCCTCCACGCGATAAAGGAGGAAGCGGACGGGTTCCCGACCCTGCAGAAGCAGATCGACAGGTGGGGGAAGGTGGTGCGTGCGGCGACCATCTACCACGAAACGGCGCACTGGCAGGATATTTCGTGGCCGCATTGCGATGGCAACGAGATGTATAAGCCGGAGGATATCGTCTCCAAGTCCAAGAACGGCGGTGACAGCGGCTATGAATTCAATCTCCGGAACGCCCACTCGTGGACCCTCGCCGCCCTGGCCATGTGGATCATGCAGCAGTTCAACCTAAAAGAACCCCCTATGCCGTCCAAGCCCATCCCCTCGAAGCCACCGACGGACTGGTCGATCAACCCCGATGATCCCGATAGCTTGGATAAGGAAATCTGGGTCAACCCCGTCGACGAGGACTGGTTCGACCCCGCGCGCGTCGACCCCGATGAATTCTCGCGCCTGAGCCAAGTCGGCCAAGGCGGAAGCAGCGTGAGCGACTGCGTCGAGAACAGCGAGTTCCAATCCGAGGAACAGTGCAAGCCCCTATGTAGGCTCGGCAACAACAGCAAGTGCAGCAAGAGCGGCGATCGCTGGAGGTGTACGGGCTGTCGTAAGGCGCCTACGGAGTGTAAGGAAGGTCTCCACAACGACTGGGATGATTGCTATGAGAATTGTAAGAATGGGCTTTGCGGGCAGAACGCGGGGGAACATGGTATTCGCTGTGGGTTTTGTCCTTAGAAGCTTGCCCTCATATGCGCAAGCCCACACAGAAAGCAAAGCGCCTTTTCCTTAGGTCAGTGGCACTTCATGTCTTTTTATTCGAGAATAGAGTTGGAAAACTCACAAGCTGGAATTGACCTAGTTCGCTTCATGATTTGCGCACATCATCGGACGTAACCATGAAGGCGGCCCATTTCACACAATTTGAAGCGAGCGTAAAAGCCGATCCAAAATTCTCGAGCCCAAGAAAAATCCGAATTTGCTCCCCTTTGAACTCAAACACTGGCCCATGGTCTCCTCGCTCAACTTTCTCATGACTCCTGAGGGCTCCGAGCCAAGTGCAACTTCAGAACTTCGAAGACTGGACACACATGCGTGTTGCTTGTGCTTTGCAGATAAACTCTTGGATTGATTTCCATAGATAACTGGTTTCAGGATCGCGACTGTGGCTGGTGGTGTACCTTGAGAAGGAAGTTAGCTTGCTAGGTATGCTCGAGTGCGGATGAGATGCTCAATCACAAAGGACGGCCTGATTCGCCCTGGCTGAGATGGGTTTGCACCATCAGAATGTGAAGTCCCACTGTCAATATCGCAGGGTTCAATATTGTGAGGATTCTTGGAGCGTTAAAGTCTGGGTGAGTGAGTAAGAGATAACTTCTTCCTCGTATCAACAGCAAGTTGATGGCTGCAACGAAAATGAGTAAAGTCGTCTGAAGGACGAGTGGTTCCAAAAATTGAAAATTGACCGCCACGAGTATCTTGGTCGCCATGATCCGAAAACAGAGGGACGGCTGAGCCGCCCTTGGCTGAAGTGCCAGGCATTTGTTCTCACAGGACCAGCTGTTTCTCGCCAGCAGCCCAGTGTCTTCCCCCACGGACCCTTGAAGCAGGGAGAAACCCAACATGGCACGGCTTTGCAGGGCTCAGGACAGGTACGCAGGCTGTGAGGAATCACCCTCTCGCCAGTGTAAGCGCGTAGCAAGTCCAGGGGAGCTGTGATCGATCGCGAGCTCCTGATCAACAGGCTCCGAGCCAAGCGCCAGGCCCCAGCTACCGACCCGATGAGCACCGCGTGCTGCCGTGTTGAACGGCAGTCGCTGCTGTGGCGTGTGGGAGTTGGACCCTCCGCCACGGATGCCCCGCAAATGGCCGCAGAGGTGAAGTATGGCTTTGTGAAAAGTGAGGCCCAAACTCGCATGCGTCGCCAAATCGGCGTGTCACACCAAGAAAAACTCCCCAGCAGCCTTGTGGATGGTGCGGCAGTGTTCTGATGGTCCCAATCGGACGCGCCCCACCGGGCACGCCCGACTTCAAGCGTGGACGCGTTAAGAAGTGATGATATCGTCTTTGCAAGCAGTGAGCCTCAATCAGAGCACCTCAAAGGGGTGGTCGGTCATGACCAGACCCACCACGAAAGGAGTGGATCTGGTCGCGCCCTCGATATGGAAGGGGAAGAAACAAGCAAACAGTCAAGCTCCCCGAAAGTGAACGCCAGATAGGTAGTGGGCAGCCCCCCCCCCCAGTCCAGACAGCTTAGCTCTCGTCCAATCGTATCATCTCCCCTCCAGGTGGTCAAGGAAAGGGTGACTGAGTTGGGTCCTGGGCCCTTCCTCCTGCCGACGCCGCATCCCTTTTCGACGGACTCACCTCTCGACGGACTCCTTTCCACGATAGCCAGCAAGTGAAAATCCAAAGTAAATTAATGGCGCAGAGCTAAAATGAATGCAGGCCACAAGCAATTAAGTGACTGGCGATACTGTTTGTCCTTGACGCAAAGTGCGGTCACAAGCAATTGAGTGACTGACCATACCGTTTGCCTTTGAAGCGATGTGAGTATTTAAAGCAAGTGAAGAGACTCTTTGGTGAACCTGAACTAGCAAAACGTTCAACTTTCTTGGCGCTAGCGAGAAGTGAATAGCTTCAATTCTGCCAGCACTAGTATAAATACGTCCTTAGGCCTTCCTCGCATCTCAAATCTGATTCTATCTTTCAACCGACCAACCTTCCGTCTGCTTTCTACAGACTCAGATCGGCACCTCTAGTCCTGTTGTCTCAACAACACACAACTCAACCTTCCCCTCTTCGTCATCTAATTAAAAAACTACCCACTACATCAACAACGACGACAATGTCTTACCGTGGCATTTCAAACCTTCCCAAGCTTCCCCAGGAGGACATCTGGGTCCCGAAGAAGCTTTCCTCTTCTCGTTCGGCTCCTAGTGGGATGGAGGACCAGGCAATGGCCATTAGCACGCCTTCCGACGAGAAGACGACCACCCCGGCAACCAACGGCCTTGCGAGCTCCCGTTGGGCTGCTGTCCCCGCCGAACCGAGCCAGGTTGGCAACAAGAAGGCTGCCAAGGCCGACCAGGAGAACAAGAACAAGAAGAACCACCAGATGAAGCCTCGGAACTCGACCCTCAACCAACCTCGCCCAGACAACAAGACCCGCGGGACTCCTGCCATTACGACGCCGGCGACCGCGCGCCGAATCATCGGTCCCCTCTCGGCAGAGGAGAAGGAGGTCAAGATGGAGAATCCTTTCTTCGACCCGACCAAGCACAAGGGCCTCGGCAGCTCTCGCTGGGCGAACGAGTGATAGAATCCGGGGTGTGAAAGGCGGTGGCAATACTCTTTTAGCCGGAGGCATCCTAGACTGAACACAGATCAACGGGTGGAGAGACAATAGACAACCGGGTACTCAATAAGAATGTACTGGTGACCAAGAATTAGATATCCCTACCGTGAATGCTTGATGTGGAGCAAAACCATCCATATAGTTGGAGCTCATCAGAACTCCTTCTCCTAGTATTTGCAAGGCAGACTACACTCCCGTTGGACGATCTAAATGTTCACCTAGAGAAAGGTACGAGTCCCTTCGGATGGCCTCTATTGAGAGTAGAGACCAACTGAAACTTGGCATGCCATTGTTTTAATTTGTTCTCCTGAGTAAATGGCCAGCCCTGGATATCCTTCTTATCTGATACTGAGAGAAGGCATGTCCAAGTATTCGCTTACATATGGAAATTGTGGTGCCTAGATGAAGGAGTTAATCAGAAGCTCACTTTTTGAGAGGCGATCCCTAAGTCCAGGTGAGGATGTCTTGGTGCTCTACACTCGTGTTATGGAAATTTTGAGCTTTATAGAATGACAGCGTCTCGAAGAAGCACTTGGAAGCAGATTCCAACATTCTAGAAGAGCGACGTGGGTATTCAAGGCAAGTGAAGAGACTCTCTAGTGAATGTGGTCTAGCTGATAGTTTCAAAAACCCTGGGTGCCGGCGAGAAGTGAATAGCTTCACCTCTGCCAGGACCAGCTTAAATATCCCCCTAAATAGATCTTGCCCCCGTCCCAATTCTGGTTCTGTCCCTCAACCGAGCAACCTTCCATCTGCTCTCTACAAACTGAGATCGTCCTCTAGTTCTGTGGTCACAATACCTCACTTTTCCCCTCTTCGTCATCTATCTATAAGCTACCCACCATTAACCACAACCTCAGAATGTCTGCTCATGGCGACATTTCGGCCTATGCCAACCTCTCTCAGGACACCCGGGCTTCGAAGGGACTCGCCGCTTCTCGCTGGGCTACTGGTACCATCGACGATCAGAAGCCGAATCATCGCTTGGTGACCGTCAAGGCGGCAACCGACAACGCATCCATGACGACGACCAACAGCCTCGCAAACTCTCGTTGGGCTCCTGGTGCCATTGATGACCAGGAGATGGCGAACCAGCAGATGAACAACATTCAGGCGTCAACCTACAAGGCGCCCAAGCCGACGACCAACGGTCTTGTCAACTCACGATGGGCCGCAGACGCAGCCGAGCCGTATCAGTCTCGCAACTACAACAAGGATACCAAGGCCCAGCAGAAGAAATACACGAACTCGATGCTCAAGAAGCCTTTCCGAGACTATCACGACCACAAGACTACTCCCACTACCAACATGACAAACGCCATGCCTCGTCGCATCATCGGCCCTCTCTCAGAGGAGGAGAAGACGGTGAAGATGGAGAACCCCTTCTTCAACCCGGAGAAGCACAAGGGTCTCTCAAGCTCTCGCTGGGCGGACTAGTAAGATCATACATAAGCACCAGGAGGTGATTCCCAGCTGACATTCCGCTTCCAGGCTAGAGAGAGAGAGAGGAAGGCACAGGGACAGTGAAGGATGGCGGACCACAGTAATACTGGTGGGACAGACCCTCGACATAATCACAGATCGAGGGGTCGACAGCACAAGTAGCTTTATAATGAGAATGTGCCGGCGACCAACAGTTGCCTGTCCCAATCGTGAACATCCTGTATGTGAGAAGAGCTGTCCTGATAGTAAGACATGGTCAGGAAACCTCACAAGTATATGCAAGGCAGGCCCAGCTAGACTACCTGGAGAAAGCCACGAGTCTTGCGGAGTGCCACTTGTACGGGTTGAAAATTGTTCCCAACTGAGATGCGACGTGTCCTTGTCTGGACTTGACCTACTAAGTAGTTGACTAGTCCTGGACATCCCTCGCGCGTGATGTTTGAGAAAGAGACATGTTGGAGTATTTGGTTCAGATATTGACGTCGGGCGTGCTTGGACAAATGGGTCTACAAGATTTTATCACATCATTGTCCACAGATCCGGCTAGGGATGTCGTCATGCGCGCTAGAATGACTGTGAAAATCTACCGTCCGGAGCAGAATGCCTCCTTGCAAAGTACTACGTAGCGTAGCGCAGCACTCTGGAATAGAAGTAAAATATATTTTATCTACCGCCCACCAATGGGCAATTCTATTCTAAAGTCTATATTTCCAAGCTCGCCCGACTCTTACCCATGCTCCGCCTTATCTCAGCATCCTCGTCCTGCTTCTTCACGTTGTCCCACCCAGGAAGCTTGACGGCGTGATCCAACGCGACGGGCAGGCCCCTGTGCCTCCCACGGATCATCATCGCGATCATGACGAGCTTCGACCCAGTGTACCAGCCTCCGGAGAAACTGTACGAGTGGTCCGGCAGCCCTATCGACAAGCCGATGTTTGTATACCCGGACACAATCTCAAACATGAAGTTGAACACGCTGTAAGAGCGTGGGTCCGCGATCGAGTGGGACGTCTCGATGAGGGTAATAAGGAACAGCGAGAAAGCGATGGCCCAGATGTCGTGCGACAGCTGGCCGCGGAGGTGCTGCGACACGAGGCTCACGTGGCCCTCGGGCGTCGAGGTGGAGGCCGCCCCGGCCGCCCCGGGCTTCTCGTCGAAGTTGATCTCCTCGGAGCGCTTGAGCCGCGGCCTGGTCGTCACGCCCACGCCCTGGAAGTTGTTCATCCGGTTCTGGATCTGCTTGCCCACGAAGGAGGTGCCCCGCCTGCCGACGGCGGCCAGCTTCTTGACGGACTTGGTGGACATGCGGGATTTTGCTTGTGATACGCCCGACGCAGACACGGCTGTCCGCTCCGGGCCAAGGGCAACGCCAAACGTGGGTGGGGATAGGAGGGGTCCAGAGGTTGGTAGGAGCTCATCTGTCGACTCGTTGATTGTCGAGTCACCGTCCTCGCTCTTTTCGGGTTCGGTGGTGTAAATTCCCAGCGACCGTTCTTCGTACACCTGGATAATGTTAGTGAGAGGTGCTCACGGTTTGTAGGAGGTGGGTGGCCGGAGACCACAAATACAGTTCAGACAAAAGGAAGAAGTCCGGCAGGAACAAGGGAGCTAAAAAGAGATGCCACTTACATTTGAATTACGCATAACAATAATCTCTGGATAGGCAGAGATGTACATCACGATGACCCACAACACCAGAACGTCGAAATAGAGACTCGATACCGGAACAACAGCGAAACCTCCCGAGGGAATGGCTAAAGGCATAAAAGTTAGCGAAAGTGTCTCCACGAGGCAATTCATTTGCGTTTGGAGCGGGATCCAGCGGCGTGTGGTAACTTACTCAGTGCCTGAAAGACAGCCAGCCCTACTCGTTTCGCAACTGGGTATGCCTCGATGGCAGAGTTGCCGATGCTGAGAACCAGCAATAAAACCCAGTCCATGACCGCGATAGTGGAGAACATGGTGACGAAGACAAAGTTGGCCTTGGCAGGGAACATCATCATGTACAGACGACGCGGGTACTTCAGAATGAAATCGAAGGCTTCCTTCCAGACAGTATAGTCCTCGTCATCAACCGACATCTTCAACACGATGCTGCAGAAGTAGACGGTCGCCCTGAGGAACGCAGGGAACGCAGCATTTCCAGCAAGAGACAGGATTGTCACGATGGTCAAGACGAAGGCATCGTTGTCAAAGGCAGCCACGCCTGCGTCGAGTAGTGTCATTCCGGCATTGTTGAACGAAGAGATGGCCAGGAAGATTCCGGCCCACCACGAGTTCTGGGTATTGACGGCCGTGATGCTTTGGCTGTGCACATAGAGCCATGCGCCGAGCGCGATGGCCCCGAGGAGCTGCCAGAGGACGAAGTAGACGCAGACAATGGTGAAGAGAATCTTCAAGGCCCGATACTCGACGCCCCCCAAGTACTCGCGCTGTTCCTCCGTGAGGTCGAAGAACTGGCCGTTCCTACCGACAGACTTCTTGTTCTCGTGGATAAAGGTCCTGAAGTCAAAGCCCTCTGACATGGACTGGCGACCGTCGTCACGACTTAAGGGCCTCCGCCTGGTGGTGGTGTTTGACTTGGGCGAGAGCGGCTCGGCGGAGCTGGTGGAGACGTCGAGCTTCTGGCCTTCCTGGATGGGACCCAGCATGCCGGATCCTGGTGCAGCATCATGACTCTCGTTACGGGAATGGTCCAGGTTTTTATCGCGGGATTTAAAACCGGACAGATGGAACGCGTCTGCCTCGGCGCGCCGCTCGTGTCTGCCTTTCTTGGCCTTCCGTTTGGAAGCTTTGAATGATGACATGACGGGCAGACCAATCATTGCGCCAGCCATACCGACAATGGCGCCCGTCTTCTTCATCCTCCTGTTCCGCTCGGCCTCCACAATGTCCTCAAATCGCTTCTCAAAGACGCGGGCGCGGAGCCAGATTGTAAAGATGGAGACAAATACGGGACTTCCCAAGACCATCATCAAGGCAATTATGACCTGCTGGGCGGTTGAGAGCTGGCTGATGTCGACTGTATTGAGGCCGGACGTGGTGAAGGCAGACAAGACGAGGAAAAGGCTGTCGACGAAGCTGACGCTATGGGTCGGGTTTGACAGGCCGTAGAAGATGCCGGCAAAGATGAGCCCCACAAAGATGAAGTAGGCGTAGTGCATGGTGATGAAGTTGACCGGAGGCAGGTAAGGCCGTACGGCGGCCCATGAATCAACCATGCGGTCCGCCGTGGCGGGGTGGTCGGCCTTGAACTTCTCCCATGGTTGCCATGCCATCGCTGCCGGTGCTCAGCCCAGCGGTGGTGAGAATGAGCGAAGCGGGCAAGGGGGCGGGCACGGGCAGATTCTTGCCCCAGGGTCGGTCGGTTGGTCAGTCTAACCGCCTGTTTGTCTGCCTGTCTTTGAGGTAGATGGACGGAGGAAACAAAGGATTAACCTTGGAGGAGGAGAGAAGCTTGGACAGGAGGTCAGATCATCATATTGCCAATGCCCAGAGGCAACCAACGCCCTGAGGGTGAGTCGTGCAGTCGACAACTGAGGTAGCGATATGCTCGCCCCTGATCGACTCGCTTCGGCATCTCAAGGGCTAGAAATCTAAGCAGGGCTCGCCAGGGCGCGCTGAGGGTGGATTGGAATCGAATCCGGTTGGCAGTCTGCAGGGACGGCCTGTCCCGGGCCCACATGTTCTAATGACAGCTCATTACCCGTCGACAGGGGCATGGGCCGTATTGGACCTCAGGGCATCCCGCCGTTTCAGCCCCCATCGCCCTCAATCGGTCCCCGGGCCCACGGGAGCCAACGGGCGCCGAAGCTAAAGTTATGGGCCTCTCAATTCAACATCAAATAACATTGCCTCTCGCGTATCGACGACGTGGCCGGGCCCACGGTGGCCTCATCGACGCCGGCGCCACACCAGACTTTGGATCGTAATCTTTCAAAAGCTTCGTCGCGTCCTCTTCCACCCATCAGGTGCTCACTGCCCAGGCACCGCTAATACTTAAGCCTGTGCCAGCACCACCAGCCAAGTCCGCCGTCCTCACCGCCAAAACTCATCTGGTCACTCAATGCATCAAAGCACCACCGCAAACCTGAAGTAGCATGACCAGCTTTTCGAAATTTATAGCGTCTTGATTGTGTGGACCCCAGGAACGCAGCTTGGCGACCTCGAGCCCTCGTTCAACAGCGCGATAAATCCCTCAGTGGAGCCAGGTCCAGTCATCACCACACCCACGAGCAGCATCAATTGCCCCAAGGACAACGACTCTAGACCTAGCCCATATGCTCCGTTGCATTCTCTAACACCTGCAAGTACAGAATTGCTGAGCATGTCTTTGTTCGTTGAAGGGAGAGAGCCCAATCTGTCCCTGGCTTTGCGCAACCGATGAACACCATCGAGACAATAATCACCGACAATTGCGAGAACCTGACCACCCTCAGACACCAAAATTTCTATCAATTTTTTATTTGCACCTCTACATACATTTCGACTTTTCTTATGAAACATTTCAGCAGATTTGTGGCACAGTTGCCGACGACTCATTGGCCGGTATCGGTGTCCGAAGCCGAGTATTCCTTGAATTGTGCCCAAATTCTTAGGAAGTCCCAGCAACTCAAGTGATGAGTGTGAATCAGCCTGGTACGTGTATCTCCAGGACTTCGGAGCTTGTGCGAGGCTGGAAGGATCGCACCAGCCCGTAAAACAGAGTCGACATCCACGAAAGCAGCAAATACCAACCACACGTTTCAAAACCCGAGAGATGTTGGATACCAAGGACCACAATTACTGGTCATCCCACTCGATAGCTTTCCACGTCTATGCGCTTTCCGAAGTTGCGGTATTCTTTCCTACACCAGCTCCAAATGCAGCTTGATGACCGGAAGGAAACTTGTTTGTTCGTGTTAGATGGTGTGAAGAGGAAATACCCACACATCACTTGGATCATCATCAAGCCAGTGCTTAGATGCTTCAGCACCAAATCTACTATCACATCAAACTTTCCGTCTTCCCATTTCATGGCACATTCTTCATCACGGTCGTTGCACCTTAACTTACACTGCATGCAAACCTGTAGGCTGTCATATCCACAGGCAGAGGATTGGAAGCCTGGAGTGGAACGGATGCCAGGCAACCAATGTGTACCACATCTTGGAGCATGGTGGCGATATGTGACTATCACTGTCCATGCCTTGTCATATGCTGGTCTGGAATAGTTGCTTTTAAACTGCCCTACTACTCAACTTTTCTTGTCTTCATGGTTTCAAGCATGTGATCTCAGTTACTACACTTCAAATTTGGCCAATCCCTGGTGACTTTGCCTGGTCGTTCAGCCTTTGAGTTGTGGGGCAAATCAGCCCTCGCAGGCAGCAGCCTGCAGCTATCCATAGTGTTTCACGACGATCCAACCTCGTTGGACCTAGTGCTGATGCTGCACCCATGTCTTAGCTTTTCTTGACGTGAATGCCGTAAACCTATGGATGTGCAGCTGTTGCCTTGCCAGCATGCTTGACGAGTTGGATGCTGCAAGCTGCAGTCAAAGGATCACTGAGGCCAACTCAGAAACGAGGCAGGTGTGCTAAAATGTGGCTCGCTGCAAATATAAATACCAGGTGAAGGAGGGGCGTTGGGGAGCTTGACATCTGGGGAGACTTAGCAGCCGGCTTTCGGGTTGCACCTTCCCTCGACTCGGGCCTGAAAGAGCAACCCTCGACTTGTGACTTTCAACTTGTCACTCAAACTTCATTCTCCTGCCATAGTCAGCCTTGATTTCGCAACCATGGCAGACACGAAGCCGAAAGTTGCTGTTTACTACAGCAAGGATGGGTCTCCCAGTATGCTCAGCCTCGAGAAACTGTCCGCATTGATGAAAACGACCGACGTCAACGAGGAGGTCGAGGAGAGCTCAGAAGGCGAGGACAGTGCCGTCGACACGCCTGAGGAATATGAAAAGGATAAGGACAAGGAGACGACAAACGCTCCAGTGGGATCGGTCAGCGAGGTCAAGAACATCTACAAGTCGTCGAAAGACAAAGACGGCGTCTGGACCTGGGTCAACAAGTACCCCGAGGACGTCGCGGAGCCGGCAGAGAACGCCGTGACGGACACTTATGCGGTGCTCGTGCGCAACGTCAAGAGCCAGGACGGTCGCAAGAAGCTCGAGGCCCACTCCATCGTCGTGCAGAGCCCCTGGCTGCAGAAGGCCCTCGGCGACGTCGTCTTGAAGGATTATCCTGGCGTAGCATGCGAGCTGAAGCGATTGACTTTTGAGGCCCCCTTCAAGCCGTTCATCCACCGCTGGTTTGAGCTTCTGGAGTACATGAAGCGCCCTGACCTGGACACAACAACCAAGGAGCATCTTGTCGTTCTTCACGACATCCTCCAATATGAGATCGGTGACAGCATCAAGGCTTATGAGGACTACGTTCTCAACGGCGTCATCACTTTTGAGCATCTCTGGTGAGTCATTCTGGTCATTCGCCAGAATCCATCTTACTAACTGACAACGCAGGATGATCTTCCAGCCCGGCTCCGTCATCCTCGCCGCCCACAAGGGACCTCTCTCCGCTTTCGAGCTGGGCGAAGCGCAGTACATGGAGAACAAGTGCGGCAAGTTCATGGGCCTCTTTTGCGACTGCGTCGATTACAGCGGAAAGGAGTTCGGTCGTGTGACGGAGCGGATCGATGTCCCTGAGTTCATCGGTGCCAAGAAGATCACTGGCTTGAATGCCTTCCCTCTGACTTTCCACGAAGACGAGAGAGCGGTTGCGGCAAGTCTGATAGAGAGGGGTAAGCTCTTTGAAAAGCTAGCCGGTCACCATTACAAAGCGTAAGTAATTGCACGTTCGGTGAGACGGTTTATGAAACTCATGCTGACCCGATATCTTATTTGGCAGATACGATGGCACCGCGATCACCTGGGATCAGCAAGGAAACGAAGTCCCGATCCAGCTCAGTGGCCGCATCGTCGTAGACATCCATTCTTTCAACCGCAGCAACATGTGGCGCCGACGTCGGCTAAGGGATTGGAAGGCCAAGGACCTGGAGCGTCTGCACGAGCATCGACGGAAGCACGGCCTTTCTGAGCATGGTCAACTCAGACTTACACCATACTACCAGATGCTCGCACGGTCCCGGACCCGTGGATATTCCCTTAAGCGCAAAGAGTGGCTCGAGTTCTACGTCGAGCAGGTCGACGAGATCACGTGGAACCGAGATGCATTCGAGAAGCTCGTTCTTCCAGCTGATCAGAAGGAGCTGATCATGGCCTTCTCGGAGTCGCAGCTGGACGGGGGAGACACTTTCGATGATGTTATCTCCGGCAAGGGCCGAGGCATAATATGCCTGCTATCCGGCCCGCCAGGTGTGGGCAAGACGCTAACAGCAGAGGCAGTAGCAGAGAACCTTCGCGTGCCGCTGCACACGCTCAGCTCGGGCGACCTGGGCTCGAAGCCTTGGGAAGTTGAGCAGGGCTTGTCGCAGATCCTCGAGCTGGTCGCGCGGTGGAACGCCATCCTGCTGCTGGACGAGTGCGATGTGTTCCTCGAGGCGCGGTCGACGCACGACCTCGAGCGCAACAAGGTCGTCTCCATCTTCCTGCGCACGCTCGAGTACTACGAGGGCATCCTGTTCATGACCACCAACCGCGTGGACAACATCGACCAGGCGTTCCAGTCCCGCATCCACGTCTCGCTCGAGTACCCAGATCTCACAGCCGAGTCGCGGGCTCACATCTGGCGCAACTTCCTCTCTGCCGCCAAGCAGAAGCCCGAGATCACGGATCAGGATGTGGAGGAGCTAGCCAAGCTGGAGCTCAACGGACGGCAGATCAAGAACATACTCAAGACGGCTCAGCTTTTGGCGAGACGGAAGAAGAGTGTGCTCAAGCGCAGCTTCATCGAGACGGTCTTGGGGATTGAGAAGCGCCGCCCCGTTGCCAATGGCACTGCCGACTGGATTGGAAAGGCGGGTGTCAAGACTCTGGGAAATTAGAATCAGCCCTGCAAGTGGCCTGACATGGTTGTGAAATCCGCTCGTAGATTATGCCCGTACATAGCTCCACAACCTTGAATTCAACTTTGCACAGGATGGTACAGTTAAGTGATCTGGCCGCGTGCTGTATATCCCTTCGCTGTGCTGTACTGATACCACAGTGCCTCGTTCCCCAATATTCACAAAGGCTCAACGGAATCATCTGCACAAGTGCTTGTGCTATCTTCAACTTGGGAGGAACAAGTCGACCTGGACGTTTCGTCTCAAAGGGTTGAAATTCGCCGTCCCGGCCCAACACACGTCCCCTTGGGTCAGGATGAACACAATGATTCTTTCAAGATTGTCGGATGCAGACGGGAAGATAACACATGACACATCCATAACAATACCATAGTGGCCTCAGAGCCATGCCATCTCAAAATTGGGGTTGCTTCAAAACTGGATGTAATATCTATTTAATCCCTTGTCCACCCCCGACGCAGGAGATCCATCAGTCTCCTAGCATCTGTCGCCCGCCAACCTAGTTCCCAGGCCATGCTTCAGGACAGACAAACGTCTCCCCAGAGGCATCACCGAACAAGGCCTCGTCGTCAAAGTAGGCCTGGTTGTAAGGCACATCGACGCACTTGCCTCCTCCATTGGGGCCGACGTGTGCGCAGTGAACCTGGCAAAACAGGTCAGTAGCACGCTCATGCCAAGATGCGTTTTCCTTTTCTTTGTTCTGCTTGAGGCTTGGCAGAGAAAATCTATCCGACTTACATCAGGTCGAAGCGGAGTGAGTCGGACGTGCAGGGCTCTGCACCAGACGTTGTCGCCCCACAGGTTATCAAACGTGCCCATGGGCTTCTGGGTCAGACCGGTGACGCACTCGTCGGCAGAGTCCCACTGCTTGTTGGCTCCGGTGCACTGTCGGAGGAATGCGTCAGCCCTCTGCGTTGTCTCCCGGTAAGGCACTGTGGAACGAGACCCATCGTTTGACGATGGCAGCGGGCAGGGGGCGACTCACCGTGGCCTGGGTAGCCTGACAAAGCTGGGCGCGGACCAAAGCCTCGTCGACCGGGAAGTGCGCGACATCGTGGGTCGTGTTCCACCACTGCTGCAGGGTCGGGATCCAGGCGTCGAACTTGAGCACGGCGCCGTCGTCGTCGAACTGCCAGAACGCGACCTGCTTGATGGTCGAGACCCGCTTCTGGTACGTCGCCGGGGCCGAGGCGTTCACGCCCATCGTCTTGCCGTACACCACCGACGCCGCGACCTCGGGGCACTCGGACACGAAGTGGATGACGGTGGCGTTGGTCCAGGTGGCGTAGGTCGGGGGTGCCGGGTCGGGGGTCAGGGCGAAGAAGTACTCTTCCGTGTCATTGACTGGGATTTGTTTGTTAGACTTTCAACCGATACACATGGCATACGTTAGTACTTAGAATGGACGTACTACCACTGAAGTTGCCGATAGGGGTGATTCGGCCGACGACATCTTCTGCGAAGAGGCCAGCAGGTATAGCATCTACACCATTCTGCAGGAAGACCAGGTTGCTTGGATAAGTGGTGAGGTTGTAGATCTTGTTGATGGTGTCGAGGTTTCGCTGCTGGAAAGCAGATGCATTTCGAGGCAGCTGGTAGGGAGCCAAGCCCGTGGCTGCTGAGAGCAGGAGGAAAAGAGAGATGAGTTTGGTGATCATTGTTGATGTATGATTGTCCTTTAGTAAGGTCGTCAGTCAGGGAAAAATCGTGCTCAATAGTGGGGGTGTTGGTTGTGATGTTGGAGAAAAGGTAGGTTGGAATCTGGGAGATCAAATCTCGTTAATTGATGCTAGAAGAGGAGAGATACGGGGCCGACCTGCACAGTGAATACATTGGGGATTGAAGAACCAATGGGTATGATGAGATTGTTACTCAAGTCACAGCCACCTTCACTGGTATACAAGCACATCGCAAAAAGCAAACAGCGCAGAAAAGCAGAGTAACTTGAAATCCCTCCGTCAGTAGCGGCTTATTACACATTAAATCCGGCTCCCGACTTTTACAGAGCGCAAAGCTCACGACACTTCTGACCATATAGAAAGTGTATATCGGTAGATCGATTGGATATGACTCCTGGCCCAGAACTCGCTCTCTCCCAAGGTTGGCTGGCCTTCTTCTCGAACTGTGACCACTCAACTGGAACCTGTCAGCGGTCCCGGAGATATCTGACAGATACAAACACCTGCAAGCCGGGAGGCCTTTCATTACACATTGACCGCTCTTATTCACTTATATCGGCCGTATACTTGGAAAGGCTCAGTGAATCATGGGTCCCCTGGGTACACATACGGGACATGCGATTGTCCCAGCAGCATCGAAGCAATTGCACTCCATCTAGTCCTCACCTGCAGCGCCAATGATCATTGCATTTCTATAACGGCACCCAGGACTGTCAAGGTCAGGAATGACACGCCTACGCCTGCTTCAAGTCAAGCGTGAGTGCACAGGTAATTCGTGCCTAGATTTCTTGGAGTACACTGAGTGTGCAAGTGTCTAGGCGCATTCCCGCTGCGATGAGAAACGACCTCGCGCTTGTATATAATCCAAGTGGAGATCGTGACGTGCGACTGGGTGAGCATTTCACATAAATGCGACACTCTCAGAAGTATGTTGAAGAGTCACCACTGGACTGAAGCCCCATTAACATATTGGCCTCGACATCTCAGGCTGATTTTCGACACTAGATTATTCGGCGAAGCTGATTTCTGATGCCGTCCGCGAGAATGCTAGAGCTTGATCTTTTAAGCATTTACATTAATCAGTCGAGGTTCTATTTTTGACAGCCGACGGCTATTCCTGGCCTCCCCTGTCCCTGGCCGAAGTGGTGTGGCACAACACGATGCGTGCCCGCTTTTACGGCCTCCTCCACTGTTCTTTCACGGCTCACCTGCGAGACTAGCAGGGGTCAGGAAAGGGGCTCACCTAGCGGCCCATGGACAGCTTGGCGACTCAGTTAAGCATGGGACGACGGTCTTGGGCCGCACCGGCTCCGGGCAGTTGGACGCAACGCAACGCTGCATCCAAACTGTGCTCGTACGAAACTATACGAAGAGCCCAGCTCAGCCTTCCCTCTGGTTTCCCTCCGCCGGCGAGGACGCAATGATTGGCGACTTGAGGAGTGGTTGTGCAGGGTGGGTTGCAGAGCATAACTGTCAGAAGAAGCTTTTGATTAAGGTTACTAACAAAGAAGAGAAGATCGACCTCGGCCCGGCATAACCGACAAATCTGGTAAAGACTCTTCTCGAGCGAGAAGGTGAGCAGGCCCACTGCTTGACACTCACCTCGTATTCCAGGCCGGATGCTACCTGCCGCTATCTGTTGATGTCAGTGTGAGAATACCAGACTTCCAACAAGACATGCAAGTGGGGGATTCATTCTACTACATAAATGAGATGGGTCCTGTCAGTCCGAGGGCCTCTTTTTGTGCAGCCCACCACGCACTCGCTTGTTCCCTTGGTAGTCGTCACTCGTTTTAATCGACTCGTCCAAGATGAAGACCGGGCTGATGGTCATGTCGGTTGGCGCGGCAGTCGCCCAGACTGTGCCGACCGTACACATTCCTCTCAACCTCCGGTTCGGGGCCAACCACAAGACCTCAACCGATGTGTTCATCCCCTCGCTCAACACCACACTTGAGGTGGTCTACGACCAGGGCAGCGAGAACTTCTTCGTGTTTGGGCCTGACTCCATTGCAAACTGGGGCCTGACCTGCCTTAGCTGCCAAGGGCCTTGCAACGCCTCGGTCCCAGCCGGTGACTACTTGGACTACCCACATTCATCCACAGCGTCGGAGCCGGTGCCATTCAGCTCCTTCTACGCGTATGGTGGTTTTGACAAGATCTACGTTGGCAATGTTGCCGTCAACGAGACTTTCGATTTCGTCAACAACGCCGGACAGTCCACAAAGAGCCCCGATACCACAGTGGCGATTGTGAACTACCTGCAACAACGCATCGGCAGCACCGGCACCTGCAGCCCTGTGCCCATCTATGATCTCGGCATCCTGGGCGTCTCGCCCTACTACCACAGCAACAACGAGACGGGGCGCAACACGACTGGTCCATCCTTCCGCCAGGACCTGCTTGAAAGTGGACGTATTAACGCGCCCGTCCAGTCGCTGTGGTTCGACGAGGCCCCGGCCGACGTGCGTGGCACCTACACCGGAGGCGGCCTGCAGGGCGGCATCGACACCTCCAAGTACACGGGCGAGCTGGTCAAGGTCCCCAACGCCTGGGAGCAGGGCCGCGTCGGCTACTACGTGCCCACCCCCAAGCTGTCGTCCAACGGCATCCCCATCACCACGGGCAGCGTCGGCGGGGAGGTGACGTCCTGCCTCGTCGACTCGGGCACGCACAGCGACGACCTCCCCATCGCCGACGAGGCCGCCTTCTTCAACGCGACCGGCATCCGCCGCAGCCCCGCTGGCCACGTCTCGTGGCCGGGCGCCTGCGACTCCATCCCCGCCGACGAGACCATCGACCTGACCTTTGCCGGCGTCAACGAGGGCGAGTCCGTCACCGTCAAGGTGCCGATCCGCTCCTACGTGAGGGTCGGCCTCGAGAGCGACGAGGACGCGGGATACTGCACCCTCAGCCTCGAGCCCAGCGGCTGCATTCTCGGCTCGCCGTTCGCTACCGCTGCGTTCTTCGCGGCTGATGATGAGCGTGGCGAGATTGCCTTTGCTCAGGGTGCAGTGTCCAAGGCCGGCAGTGCTGTTGATGAGGCGAGCGTCATCGCTAGAATTCCGTAAATAGCTCAAGACAAGATTCATTCTGTATATATGAAGCAAAGATGAACATTTCTCCACGGTCTCTTCAACCCCAACCATTCAGCTACCCTACCTACATTCATGTGACAATTTGTACTGTACATCCACGCTCTGTGAAGTTTCATGTGCAACGCAGATGTCCATGTCAACAGGTGAAACGAATCCTGGATGTGACTCGGTGATTTGCCGGAAGTCAGCAATTGAAACGTTGCCATCGATCCCTCACAGATTGGTAGCAAGAGATTGCGGTATTAATGTCTTTGTTCAATTGTTGAATGCCACCTCTGGCTTTCTTTCACTTTGTTTTATTGTCAGGCAACTCAAAAGTTCCGCGATACATTTATGTCGCGGTAATCCAAGGCACGTACACAATTGCGATAGTTAATAAATACAATGGTCCTTTGTCACAGCCGGACTGATACCACTGATTTTAGACATGCTCCGTAATTGTGGATTGGATTGTGAATTGTTGTAAAAATGTATCTACTAAGTCACCCGGCACAAGCACAGTAATTATATAAACATGTAGAGATCATCATCCCGGAAATCCAAAGTTGTCAATACCATCACAACCTTTTTTTTAGCCCAGAAACGCCATCTACACACCGATCTTAAGCTACTTCAAATCAGAGGCAAAGCTTCACTTCTAGGCAAATTTTCACCAAAACCACCATTTCAATCGGAAACACGGAGTCTTGAATAGACCATGAATCCATCGCAACTCGCATTTCTGTTGGGCATCGCCACTGTGGCCACGGGCCATGGGGTCATGATTGAGCCCCACCCGTATAACCTCGAGACGGCGCCTCTACTGCAGGTGTCACCGCTTAGTGCTACGCTTCCCTTCCCTTGTCAGGGACGTTCGGAACACGTTGAGAAGAGGACAACTCTGACTGCCGGCACGACCCAGGCTGTCAAGTTCAGGATAGCTGCCGTCCACGGCGGTGGAAGTTGCCAGTTCAGCGTCACTTATGACTATCCGCCGCCGGCCGACCCTACCAAGTGGAAAACCATCTATACTATCATCGGGGACTGCCCTGCCAAGGCGGCCGGCAACCTGCCGACGGTCGAGAAGGACAAAGACGGGAGGGAGAACGGGCCGCAGTGCGGCAACGACAGTGGCAGCGAGTGCGTGCGGTCATTCGATATCCCTATCCCAGCCGGCATTCAGAACTCCGAGAACGCAACTTTTGCGTTCACCTGGTTCAACAAGATCGGCAACAGGGAAATGTACATGAATTGTGCTCCCGTAAGTATTGTCGGCGGAACCGACGACAAGGAGTTCATGGACTCGCTGCCCCCAGTGTTTCAAGCGAACATCCCAGGGACCTGTACAACAGGCGAGAGCGGACAGCTGCTGAACATCCCCAACCCCGGCAGATTCGGCAAAGTCAACGCGGAGCCCAGTCCCAGCGGCAACGGCCAGTGCCCAAAGGCGGATCCCCCATCCTTTGTTGAGAGCCCACAGGGCAGCGGGAACACGGCCAGTCTGGGTGTCACTCCCACCAGCGTCCCGGCCACGAGCGTCCCGCAGTCTTCTTCGAGCTCGTTCATGACCGTGACAACCTCTGCGCGGGCCGTCACCAGCGGGCAGCCCAAGTACGGTAGCAGCGCTATGCCTTCAACTGGCACTGCGACATCTGAGGCGGCCCCTGCTGAGACCAGCCAGCCTTCATGGGCACATGGTATGAAAGCCTGTCCAGCGGCCGACGGAAGCATATTCTGTTACGAAGACAACACTTTTGGGTTATGCACAGAAGGCTGGGCGGATCCGATGCCCTTGAATGAAAATCAGGTCTGCTCGAATGGCGAAATCCGATACAAGTTTATCTCCAGCTCCAGCGTCTAATCACATCCAGCATACTCTTGAGGGGCGAGGTGAGTAAGATGAGAAAGGTGAGTTGGGCAGCAAGTATGCTTTTTCTTATTTTTTCAAAAGCTATATGGAAGGCCCGAGCGGCTACCAGCGTAGCTTGGAAATGCGTCATGGAGTCAGCAAAGCCCCCGGTGGGCTGTAAAGATTCACAATGTCAAGATTGTTTCGGGTTGTAATACCACGTGTGGTTCTGAATGCAATGCTCTGTATGTATTCCTGTTTTTAAATGAAATACTTTTGCTAGGCGATAGTATTCGCATGTGCTCCAAAGAACATATCCACAGTCTCATCACAGTCCTCCATTCTCTTGCTCCCGTCTCTCGGAACCGGCCGTGATGTCTTGTGGCGTCCAAAATAATCCCTCATCACGGCACTAGACTTCAGTGAAAGAGCGGAATGCAGCTCTAAATGATCTCAACACAGACTAAAAAGCAAAGTAGTATTTTGCAAACAAAGCCATCGCCACTCACAGTGGTCTCGTATTTCTTTTTAACCATGTGATGGAAAAAGACTTGGCTTAAGAATGGAAATTGGTGAGATGGATGAGGAGCTTGACAAATAACCGACCAACTGAACCTTGTGTCTCGATAGTGGGCTCCCTTGCCAAGTACGCGAGGGATTGGGCGTTGTTCAGGCTACAATTGTCTTATAGGGCATCAGCATACTGCTCACGAGGAGTGATTATGGCGTCCAATGAGTATGGACAGTCTGGAAGGCTACCGCCACGTCGGGTCCTTGGCGTCAACTGCGCCAGGGTCTGGTTCCTTGCCCCGGCTTACATCCCAGACATCAATCCGGCCAGAACTTCAGCCTCACTGAACGCCCTTGCTTCCACGTCGCGGTGGGGACGCCAACAAGAAGCGAGGCTTGTTGTACCAGAAGCGGCCGAGAGCAGTCAACACCTAGCGAGTCTACAGATATATAAGAATATTCTCCAAGCCGAAGCCGATGCTTGTGTAGAGAGAGAGATAGACACAAATTCAACAAGTTCATCTTCACCCATTCATTTCGCACCTCCAAACTATATGCAAAATGTATGAGACAATGAGGCTCATAGGCACTGCCATTTACATGGCTGTGGCCGTGACAGCTCACGGCCATGTCACCAACATTGTTGTCAATGGTGTATTCTACCGCAATTTCCTCCCAGACACGGACCCCTACAACCCAAATCCACCCAAGGTCATGGGCTGGACGGCTGGGAATACCGACAATGGCTACGTGGCACCCGACGCCTTCCAGTCTCCCGATATCATATGTCATAGATCGGCCACTCCAGGCAAGGCTCATGCTGCGGTACGAGCGGGTGACTCGATCTCGATCCAGTGGGATACATGGCCTGAGTCTCATCATGGCCCTGTCATCGACTACTTGGCTAATTGCAACGGGCCTTGCGAAACGGTGGACAAGACGTCGCTTAAGTTCTTTAAGATCGATGGCTTTGGGCTGGTATCAGGCTCTGACCCTGGCTACTGGGCCGACGACGCGCTCATCGCCAACGGCCTGTCCTGGCTGGTCAAGATCCCAGAGGACATCGCCCCGGGAAACTATGTTCTCCGCCACGAGATCATCGCCTTGCACGGAGCGAACCAGGCCAACGGGGCTCAGGCATACCCGCAGTGCTTCAACCTCGAGATCTCCGGAACGGGCACTTCTCAGCCTTCAGGTGTCTACGGCACTGACTTATATAGGGCCAATGACCCGGGCATACTATTCAATCTTTACACCAAGTTCACGACATACCCTGTTCCAGGTCCAACCCTAATTCCTGGTGCGGTGAGCTCCGTGGCACAGAGCAAGTCGAGTGCCACTGCCACGTCCACTGCCACGACACCGGGTCAGACAGTAGTGTCACCTACAACCTCCAGGACCTCAACCTTGTCACCGACTACAGTTCTGCCCACGACCTCAGCTGGCAATGCCTTGCCAACGTCCACGTCTCCTACAAGTCCGGCCTCCACAACAATGACGACAGTGACAACGGCGACTGCACCAGCCACCACAAACCCTCCTGCGACGGTGGGCCAAACACAGTGGTGAGTCTCCCATTCCCACGCTGAAAACCACGAAGTGGAATCGTATGCTGACTCGCCATCAATAAAGGGGTCAATGTGGCGGGTCCAACTACGCCGGCCCAACATCGTGCTATGGATCTAATTATTGTTCGACCGCCAACCCTTACTACGCCCAGTGCGTCCCGGGTCCGGTCGCGGATGGTGACGGGCAGACTCTCTACGGCCAGTGTGGGGGTCAGAACTGGAGCGGGAAGACTTCGTGCCAGCCGCCTGCTACGTGCTCTGTTTTCCACCGGTACTATGCGCAGTGTCTATACTAGGTCCATGTTTATGCCAGCCGGGGAGGTCTGGAGTCATATATGAGTAGCGCTCTACAGGCCACAATGTCTTGCATTTCGTTGCTTTCTACATCTCGTTACGTGTTCACTTGCATCTGGTGACATGTTCTTAACCGAGACTTCCAAAGATACCGTTTCCCTGTGTCATGACTGATGGATGCTCAACGTGGTTTAAATTAACACGCGGGTATCTACGCCCCTTAGATGCAAGTCGAGAATAATGCAAATAGGTACAAGAAAACAATATCGCACGCCGGGCGACTAACGAATCGGGCATCTCAAACAGCCCGAGCAGCTCGGCCACCTCTAAGCCGGAAAGCACGTCAACATGTCCCCGATCTTGTCCACAATGGCCTGCTGCACATCCGCCGCCGCAGTGGTCTTGTCGCTGCAGTCCCCAACGCTGACGCTGACATAGCACCCGCCCGAGGAGTGCACGACCTCCGTCTCCTGCGGGAGCTTGTCCCGCCCGCACAGCTGCACGTCGTCGGACGAGATGAGCGGCGTGCTGGGGTTGATGCGCGTCAGCACCCACTGGTACGCGGCCGGGTCGGCGCACTCCCCGACGGGCGCGGCCATGTTGACGTTGAGGTACGTGTCGTTGGGCAGGTACGGCGCGCCCGACTCGACGATGCGCGAGGTCAGGTTGAGCGCCAGCTCCGCGAAGACGGCGCTGCTCTCGGGCGCCGGGTCCGCGTTCCAGGCCGCGTTGCCGCCCAGGAGCCCCAGGCTCGAGTTGCTCAGCCCGCTGAAGGCGATGGCGGGGACGCCCGCCTCGTGTGCCGCGTAGCAGGCGGAGCCGATGGTGCCGGAGAAGGGCACCTGCGCCCACAGGTTGGAGCCCACGTTGGGTCCGGTGACGGCCAGCTCGGCCTCCTGGCCGTCGCCCCACACGCCCGGGCCGATGGTGCTGAGGCCGAGGCGCATCGACGTCGCCGGGAACGAGTTGACCCAGTTGAGCGTCGGGTCTGTCGCGTTGCTGGCGAAGGTAGCGTTGGTCCCCGCTGCGCAGCTGTCGTATTCGCAGGCGTCGGTGCGAGGCTTTGGGTCTTCGTCGCTGGAGCCTATGAGATGGTGGGTCAGCATCGTAGTGCGATGGGGCCAAGTCGACAGTCCAATATAAAAGGGGTCAAAATTACCTTTACCGGACATGTTCTCAGCCGGCGCCGAGACAACGGCTTCGTGACCAGCGTTGATGAGCATATCGTGGAACTGGCGAATATTCAGTTCGGCCCAGCCGTCGTCATTGGACTGAATAATCCGGATGCCATGGCTGCCTCCAACCGCAAGGGCGAGCAGCGCCGACTGCTTGACAAATGACCGGACACCCATCGTGGGCTTGGAAAAAAAGAGTACCGAAGAAAATAGGCTGAGAAACGAAAAACCGCAAGGGAGTGGAAGTCTGATCTTTGTGTGAACTGAACGAGGAAGGACGAGGTCGCCAACTCTCTCACGATCCGGCGGCACCCTCAGGTATAAAGAAGGCACGGTGATGATGATTTCCCACGGAACCGAGCGCTCCCCTCGCATTCAATATCCGAGGGCTCCCATGATCTTCAACCCCCCCCCCCAAGAGCACAGCCATGCGCCGACCCCTGACCATGAAGCACGCGGAGGCCCACTGGCTTGTTTCGACCGTCCCAAACCAGCCTCCAGCCAATGGCACGCTCATGCACGTGTCAGCATCGCTGCTTGGTGCCCACATAGGGGTGGGTTGACGGCTCATGTTTAATGGTAGAGACGTAAATCTCCGCCGGCTTGATCCTGGATAATCTGGACTCACCGTCCAATGGCACGCCGGTGAGGCTCAAGTCGCTCACTTTGCCAAGTCGGATCCTGCCGTAGATCCTATATGCACTTGCAACTACAGCACCCTTTTCAGCTGTGCATCGTTGCCCGCAGTTGTCTATTTGAGGAGTGGCGGACCAGTCCCGTGCCTTACCAGTGGTTTATTTATGGCTTTGTTGCCAAGGGTAGACAAGGTGCACAATGCAACGCTCAACTCAACTGCAATATTGTGTGTGCCGGAGCTCCGGCACCAGTGCACCCTTCCACCGCAGTTCAGATCAAATGACGAGCTCAAGTCTTGTGACCAATCATTCGTTTCTGTATCGCACGCGCGACTGTACAAATAGTCCTACATGTACGTGCAATTCGAGCCTGACGCTCCTGGGCGCCAATCAAGGCGCCGACCCAGTCGCCCTGGGATCATTCCGTTACGCCTGGCATGGTCCTTTTATCACCAACGCCACCCCAGATGCTCTAAGAAGCACCCACCGCAAACGCCAAAATAGCCAGTTGTCCATCAAAACTCCGTGAACCAATGCCTGAACCGTTGTCTCCCTGCCCCAGTCTTGCCGAAACCATCGGGGACCATAAACCACAGCCGCATGTCTCGCGCCTGGGTTCAGTTGCAACCGCTTTACTTTCATGCAGCCCTCGCTTGAAACATTCACCTTCACCGAAACCGCCTGAACGCTAAGGGTTCATGGCTGATGGAGATTCTCCGAGCCCATGCAGCTTACCGTCAATAGCGCTTTGGCTCGCCCTCCTAAGGTCCAACATCATCTTCTCGACAAAGGCCTTGTTGTCGGCTGCCATTTCGGGGAACTCGCGCACTGCGACACCATTGGCAGCAAGTTCCGAAGGTGTTGTGGCCTGTGTCGATCCAGACGAGGCCCTGCGTTCGTCCTGCAGGCTCGTGTCTGGAGTCTCAGTAGGAGTCTGTAGTCTTGGAAGCTGATTCACGCTAGAGCGTGGAGTATGGCCTCGACTCCGAGGCAGACGAAATGGTGACGCCTGAGGGTCGGAGATGCGTCGCAACTGCTGCTTCAACTGCTGCGCAGGCGATTCGTTGGTCTCAGGATCCACGTCCATTGGGACTGTTGTACTTGTCGCCGGGGCAGCCTGCACAGTTGGTTGCGGCGATGTGTTCAGAAATGTCGGCTGTTGCGAGGGGATCCCAGCTGGTGATATGGGAGGCATCGATGCCTTTGAGGCTTGCGCATCCATCGAGCTGGCCCCTCCCTGGCGGCCCATGCTGTTGGAACAACTATTAGGCGAGCCCGCTACATTTCCCTTGCCCGGTCTGGCCTGCATTAGAATTCATCTGCGATGACGAGGCGTACTGCGGTCTCATTGCAGGATGGAGTGGAGTGGAGGGGACGGACGGTGTGCGTTGGTGACCCCGAGAGGGGACCGGTGGCGGCGACATGGCCGACGCAAATGACGAGGTGGGAGAGGCCGCGCCGGACTGTGACCTGGCGCGTGGGCCGCTAAAAGGCGACGACCGTGAAGAACCGGTCGAGTTGGAGTAACGATGGGATGGTGGCCGGGTGAGACCCTGAAGGCCTCCACCCAGATTGAAGCTCAATCGGCGGTTGTTGAATGGCGCTGAGTCCGGTTTCTTCATCAGGTGCTTCCGGAGATCGCCCTCATACCCGTTGGTGAAGCCACCCCAGAGAGCGTATGGGGTCCTGTACCTAGAAGGTTCCCTTCAAAACTTGGCGTTAGTGTCTCATATCGTAACGCTGGTATGAACTCTTCTTACCTGTTGTGGTAGGCCTGGAAGAAAGAAAACTTTTGCCAGGCATGCTGAGGAACAGGGGTTGGGACATGCTGTAGAGGTGGTCGTGATGCATGGCCCTGCGCCTGAGGTGGTTGTTGCATAGACGCCGTGTGCTGCTGCATTGGGAAGTTTGGTGGTTGACCAAGAGCAGCAGGGATAGCCGGGACACTCTGCTGCCTCGAAGACGGAGGTGCCTGGAAATGTATGGCCTGTGGCCGAGGGCTGTTGTTGGCTTGGCCCTGGGACAACCAGGCCGGGTTGATAGACTGAGGCTGTTGGTGTTGCGGGAGTTGCTGGGGTTGGCGCGGTGGTGGCACGGGCGTAAATTGGGCGCTGCCATGACGCTGGACCTGAGGCTGCGGACTGCTCGCCGGTATTGGCGCAAATTGATTCGTAGAGTACAGCCCAGTCGAGAATCGAGGATCCGTACCAAACGACAGCGGCGGAACCCCGGCTGCTCCTGAAGTATTACTTGGCGCAAATTTTTGTGTGGTGAAAGGAGCACCGACTGAAGCATCGACCGGCTTCCTCGGTTTGTAGACGTATGGCTTCTCGGGTTTCGTAGACATTGGGCCCCTCGCCTGCGATGGGTGGGTGGCACCATACGGCGGCTGATGCTGGGGCCTGGGTGGTGGCGGTGGTTTGGGGATGCTATCAAGGAAGTTGCATTTCGGATTGTGCTGAGGTTTCCGAGGGTCTTCTGTGTACTGAGCCTTTGCCTCGGTTGATGTCTTGCCCAAATAGTGCCAGACCTGATTCTCCTTGGAGAGGTCGATCTTTGTCTGGGCTTTGTTCTTGCACTCGGACGCTTCGCATGTGTGGAACTCTGACCAGACAAAGTCCTTGCCCGGTGCAGGACCTTCGACGAAAATATCACCTGCCCTCGGAGGTTCGTCCGCGGATCGCTTCGCATTGATTTCCTCCTTGGCCTTTCTGGATGTTGGCATTGGCAAGGCGTTGGCTGAGGCCTTGGGAAGCTTGAAATCTTCAGGGTCGGGTAGAAGCAGCCACTTCCATTCGACTTCGATCCGGGCACTGCGCACGGTTAGTATGCCTCTCGCGTTTTTAGGATGTTTGCTGGTATCATACCCGTTCGGAATGACGTCCAAAAGGAGAGTCTGCTCATCTGAGCGGTTCTCAACCACAATGCCCGCAAAAATCTCCTTCTTGTAATATTGCATCTGTACGATCTCGTTCTTCTTGATGCCCTTGGCGGCTTCCCTGATGCGGTTGTTTTCCTCCAGTGCATCGCCGTCCAGGCGTCTGTCCCGTTTTGTCCTGTGGAACCGGCAACTGAACTCGAAGGCTTCCTCCTTGTACTCAGTGCCGTCCTTGTCGAAGACTGGGACGTCACCCTGCTCAACAAATACGCCAGCAGCAGCAGCGCAAGTGGCATGGTACGAGCGTGGGCACTTCTTTTGCGAACACTGGAAGCAAGCGCCGCGCTTCGACCGACAGTAGAGGCATTTGAGCTCGAGGCGGGCCTTTTCGATGTTCTCGACATTAAAGACAGTCTCGTTGCCGTCGACTGTCTCAATGTAAGTCTCTGGAAGATACAACGCACAAAGGCGGTGTGCCTTTCGGCCGTCGTTGGTTTGCAGGATCTCGGCCCCAGGAATATCGTTTGGACACAGGCAACAAGGTGGCTCGACGTGGGCCTTGACCCGCAGACGAAGCTTCTTGGCTTTCTCTTTCTTGTCCTTGCTGATCTTCGCTTGCTTCCTTTTACGAGCAGGGGCTTTGGTGCGAACGGCGTGGCTGCCAGGAGGCGAGGGAAGACCTGCCATTTCTTCGTCCTCGTCATCATCTTCATCCGAATCTTCCTCATCTTCCTCCTCGGTCCAGTATTCTGGTGTGGGCTCTCCGCGGAGCTTTCTCTCAATCTCGTACACGTCGACCCACACGCTGTCCTGGGCCTGTGCACATTCGCATTTCTTGGCTATCTTGCCCATGGGCAACCAGGAATCCAGAGCGAAATTGACGGCCTCGGCACAGTTGTAGCCCAGGTTGTAGCCAGAATGGTAGCCGTATGGATAAGTAACAACAAACTCTCCGGGGTACGACAGACATTTGTTGACCTTGATATTGTAGTGCTGCAGGAGATGCGAAGGTGAGATGAGGAAAGCCTTGTGACGCAGGAATTGGTCACAAGCCTTTGCCTCCGTAGGCCAGATACTCTTCATGGCTGCCTCGAACCGTCGAGCGTCAGCCTGCGAGATGCTGTACCACTGCTTTGGGGCACCAAAATGCAGGTAGTTGATGCTGTACAGATCAACATCTTCCAAGTGCCAGGCAAATGTGGCCTTCCACATTCCGAGGTAGAGGTAGGCTGTGTTGACACCGGGAACCTTTGTACCCAAAACATCCAAGAGATTGGGCAGCTTGTTCAGATTCCACATTTCGGTATCTTCATGAAACAGCGTGCCCATGAGATCAGCGCCGTACAATGGTGTTGCGTATGTCAGGGTCTTCCAGTAGGTCCGCTCCAGCTCCTCGCACCGCTCGGGAGTGTAGTCGGAGATGTCCATCTTGTAATCAAAGTCCTTGAATGCCTCCTCATCAATCATGGCGGATCCCTCGCGTTTGCTGAATTTCCGACGAGCTGACGTCGATTGAACCTTGGGCTTTGCCTGGCGACTGAACCCCATGCGTCGAGGGGTTTCTTCGTCACATTCATCGTCTTCAACCTTGACACCAGGGTCTTGCTCGATAGAATCTACCACAGCATCGCCCTTCTTCTCGTCATCTGCAGGCCTTGGGGACTCGGGCGTCATCGGCCGGTCTTCCACATCGGTGTCGTCCTGTGCGGTGGGTTTCTTGCCCTTGCCTCGGGCGCCTCCTCGGCCTCGACCTCGCCGTCCGCGACCACCACCAGTACGCCGGGCGGGGCTGGAAGTGGCAGGTGTGCTCGACTTGGTTGTCGCAGCTGAAGCTCGAGACCGGGTCGCGGGTTTTGGTTTGTCGGCATTGGCGCGGCGTTCACCACGCCTTGCAGGTGGCTGGTGCTCGCTCTGGTCGCAAAGCTGCCTCCACTGAGGCAAGTTGTAGGACCGCTGGTGGAGGATATTGACCTGGCGGTAGGTACCGTTGGAGCCCATGATGTCCTGCTTGATCGGCTCTCTTACCCGGACCGGCTTCACAAGCTCGCTGAGATCTGGGAGCGAGTCCTTCCACTCTTCCGGAGGTACAATCTTTATGATGCCGGATTTCATACCGTAGGAATCAACAGCTCTCATCTGTAGCAAGGTGGTGTTAGCATGCGCCGTGGTGTTCAGCACAAGGGGCGGTTCGGGGAGGGGGCGCGACGCACGAATTTCTTGAAGTCCTTGAACTGGTCCATGTTGGGCTTGAAGACAGGCACAGTACCAGACCAATGATCGGGGAAGACCTCGCCAATGTCCTCGTCATCCTGTTCTGGAGTTGGGACTTGCTCAGGCTGGGCGGGCTCCGAGCCAGCACCGGAGGCTGGTGCATCGTCGGGGCCGGGCCTTGGAGCGGTCTGCCGCGGTGTCGCAGTTATGGCTGGTGGCGAGTCGGCGTCGGCAATTGCCTCGTCGAGGTCGCTCAATTCGGAATCGGTGGCGTCGACATTGTTGGAGTCCGGGGGCGAGTGCAGGCCGATGGGCTTGGGGGACTTTGTGTCGGCGGGGGGGTTGACGACGGCGATGGTGGACTCGTCACGGTCGTGGAGGTTTGAATTGTGGATGCCAGGCGCCGCAGCGCCGGTCGCTTCGGTCGACATGGTGGATTTGTGACCTACATGCGATCGGCCCCGGCCAAGGGCGGGAAAGGCGACTCGACTCGTAATGTCGTCAATCAGGCGTTGTCCGCTCGGTCGCAGGCGAAGGGGAAAGTCGAGGTTCGGAGGTCTGAGAGGGGCGGGAAATGTCGTGGCGGCAGGGTCGAGTTTGACGCGGCGACGTCGAGATTGACTTCGATTTGGTAGGGGAAAGGGCTGTGAGTGCGAGTGGTGAGGTTTGCGGTGCGACAGCAGCTCAAGTGTCGGCAAGCGCAGATGCGAGTGCAAGCGCAAGTAGCCAGGCAGGCAGATGGGTAGGTAGTGCGAGCGCCCAGTGTCCAATGTGAATGGTAGACTACCCCCCCCCCCTCTGTCTGGTGGCCTAACTACTTCCCGATGAGCCAGCTAGCAGAGCACGGCACCGCAAAAGCACACAGGTAAATGCAATGCAGGGCAAGGCACGGCAAGGGCAGGACAGGGCAGGCAGGATGATCAGCCGTCGTCGGCCTTGGACTGGGGAGATCAAAATCGATTAGATAAAAGTGGAGGCCGGCCGACCGGGCTGCAGATGATGTCCTCACTAACAAGTTTAGATGGGGGCTCGCACGGAGGATGGTTAGGGACTCCGACGGGGGAACTTGAAAATGCGGCTTTTGATCAGGGCCCAGGCACGCTGCGGAGGCCGGTACCTTGGTATACTCACAGAATCTGCGGTGTGGCGCGGTACCTGGGTGGTGCTCGGAGTGCTGCAGAAATATGGGTCGATATCGATTGATTCCGCCTGAATCTGGGCTGATAGTGCAATGTTAGCGCCCTCTTAGCTCGACGGTGCTTGGAGACTTTTGGGAAGGCTCGATGCACTCTGGGGCAGGATCTCACTCTCCGTTTCGTATGCACCGTCTGACCATGCGCCTATCCCCTCCACGCTCACAGTGTGGCGTCCGTGGCCCTGCAACAGTTACCTACCGTCCAGCATTCCACAAGCAGTCGCCTCCGTCACGGTCCACAGCTGATTTATTCCAGGCTACCGGCTAACAACCAAACAACAATGACTCGTTTTTTTCCATAGTCATGTGATCATGATCTCTGAGGGAACTTCCTGGCGTTGACCAGTCTCTGCGCTGGCTGTGCTCGTTCACAACTGCTGAGTCCACCGTCTGTTGCTGCATCAGAAGAGAGGGGAAGGACGTCCGGGAATCCCAAAAATACACTAGTCCTATTATGGCCATCGTGGTGGACCGGCCGCTACGTCACAGAATTCCACATGTAAGGGCCCCCTCTCCCAGTCGATCCCTTCCTCGGGCGAGGCCAGAGCCTCTAGTCTATCAGTGTTGCGCTCCGACAAGCCATTCTCAAAGATGAACGGCCTTCGGAGGACTCACGAGGCCATTCAAACGCTCCAAATCTTGCTTCTAGTCCTCATGTTCTGAGTCCCCTAGCTACCTAGGCAGAATACATGCGGGTACACATCATGTTTCAGTCTCAGGCTAGGGTTGTTGCTGGTCTCATAATTAGGCAGGACATTTCACCCATTCTTGCTTATCTTGCCAAGCACTCAACCTACGCTTCCGACTCTCACTGATAAGCCCAATTTAAGGACTTACATCTGAATGATCTTCCATTATAAAGACCAGACTGGCCGGTGCTTGCACGCCTTCACTCGTACGGACGGCATAACAGTCCATGAAGCACCTAGTGCCACTGGTGTATAGCCATCTCTTCCCAGACCCCGATAAGCGCCTCCGGCACCTTTTTTACGACATCTGTCGAGGCATGCTGCTACGGTCCGCCAGCTCCACAGATGAAGGTATTATCAGTGACGTACGTTAGTAGGCTCAGAAATCCGTGTGTATTTCTACATAGCAGGACTTTATAAATACAACCTTGGCATCCGGCCTGCACGTGGCCTTTGATTATGCTTGCAGGTCACGACGTCACGGCGTCACCCGCGGACGGCCTTGCGGTAAACAAGAGACATCTCACGACAGCCCCATAAGATTAAAAACAAAATCTCAGGTATTTCTAATGTTCAAGAATGAATTAGAGCCCACGAAACAATGCCGCCGGGCTCCAACGAGGAAAAGCATTCCAACACGTAAGGGGGCTGAGGCCATGAGAAGCAGAACATTGTAGGGAAAGCCAGAAACCAAGCAGCGGTGAACTTGAACATAAGACCATGCGTGTTCGAATTCCTACTGATCATGAAGTACGTGAAGAGATGCCTAACAAATTTGCCCACCTTTCCCCAGGTCAAAAGAAACCGATGTATACCCACTTCGTGCGTCTACGTACTTACAAGTGTGCGCTAGAAACTCAATCCAGCCCAGTGAGTAAGTTTGAAACGGGTGATACTCCCTATACCATCGCTAAATACCCGAATCCTCTTGATCAATCGGATGCTTCGCATTATACTCATTCCAATTCTGGCACACACGCTCGGTCTCCGCAAGGGCAGACGGCCCACCCAAAGCGTCAACGATATCGTTCTGACGCTCGAGGATCTGCATGCCGAGTCCTAGTTGGCGAGGTCATCAGCATGTAGTTCATAGCGCGCTCACACAAATGGCGGGGATAGATTAATCCAACGAGCTCGAGCAGGACTTACCAGCACTGGCGTGCCATGCGATGTGACAGTGCATCAGCCAGGCGCCCGGGTTGTCGGGCTTGAAGGCGATAGCGATATACCCGTTCGCCGGCAACAGCACGACGTCCCGCCTGGGTGGGTTTGTAAAATTGAACGTGGAGAAGCTCGCGGCTGGGTCGAACGTCGTGTTGCTCTGGGCCAGGAGCACGATGTCCATGCCGTGCCAATGGAGAGGGTGTGCGACTTGGTAACGTGTTCATATCAGAAATTGTCCCTTGGTTTGGTTGGGGCCATCATTTTGGTCGAGACGAGGGCTCACTTACTTGGAATGATGCTAGTGTTCACCGGCAGAGGGATGGTAGTGTCGTTCGAGGATTCGATAACCATAAAGATGTAGCCGGAGTCGAAATCATCTGGTAGCAAGCATTTTATCAGTCAGGTTAATCCCCAGTATTTCCTTAAACGAGGGGACTTGGACTGACCTTGGACGATGTGGAAGTTCGGATTCTGTTCATATGTCTCATTATCCAGGTTCAGAATAGTCGGGTTGCCAAACTCAAGCCATAGGAAGTCAGGCGTCAGCATCCAGTGCCGATAGCCACCTGTCTCGTTCGAGCTGAAATCGTTCTGATGGGCCACCGCAAACCTGCTCTCGCTGAGTTCATTCGCCGGGTGGTGGTCGATGACCCAGGGAATGATGGGCTGGAGTTTCTCGTAAGGCTCGTCGGCACAGTCACGGCTGTAATCCCAGGGTTCGCTAGTGGGGAGGTTGTCGTCCGGCCCCGAGGAGGTGTTGTAGCGGATGATACCGGTCCTCACGTCGAAGGGGGAGCACGTATCGTTGAATATTCCAACACAGGGAAGAGACGCGTTAAAGCCATTGCATCCCGTAGCAGGGTGTGTCCTAATCCAGTAGTCTCCGGGCTCCTGGTCGGCCTCAACAACGACCACGTAGCGCTGGCCTATTCCAATGCTCAATGCGGTCGTCTGGTATGGCGCGATGGGCACCAAGTCCGTTTCGATAACGGTCATAGTATGGTTGTCAATCGTGAAAATGAAATGTGTGCCCGCTGAGCCGTTGATTAGCCTCAAGACGTGCTTCTTCTTGGGCGCAAATGTTGTCTCGAAATATGTCCCGGTCCCAGTTGACGGGTTATGGCCGTGGCCGTTGACGACAACAGAATCGCCCCGGGCGAAAGAACGAGGGTCGGGATCGACCTCCTGTCGGAAGCGCACAAAGGATGAATCGTGTACATAGTCCTGTATGAGCAGTGGGCCGAGGTCTATTTCCCAGTTGCTGCTGGAAGGACCGTGGATGACTAGTGGTCCCGCGAGGCCGTCCGGATACTGTTTGAGTTTAGCCAGGGAAACCACAGCTTATTACCCAGGCACGAGAGACATTACCTGCAATGAGTAGTGGGAGTGATACCAGGTGTGGCCATACTGAGTCGCCCGGAACTTATAAGTAAACACATCTCCCTTAGCAATAGGGCACTGTGTAACGCCATTGACTCCGTCCATATGATTTGTGTTCAACTGGCGGATTCCGTGCCAGTGGACAGTCGTGCCATTCTTGTCATAATTATTTCGCACATGTATCACCAGCTCGTCGCCCCAGCATGCCTCAATCAGCGGGCCAGGAAATGTTTTGTTAAAGACCTTCCCGCTGGTCTTCTCAAACCCATCAGCGAACAGGGTCACATCCCCGTCGACCTCGAGGAAGTACTCCCGAGTGATGCCTGCTGGTACGGCGTCGGGATTCTCGTCTATAAGATGTGTAAGAAGGAGGAGTCGAGAACGCAGTACATGGTCACTCACAATTAGTGTTAATGTCAATTTGCGAATACAATGAGAACCCATCCCCTGATTGAGTGTCCTGTAGCCAGCAGTCTCGCGTCTCCGCAGTGTTGCAGTTCTTCCACCTGCTAGGGTACACACACTTGAAATCAGGAGACGCGAGCTCAGGTTGGATGATAGTGTCGCCAGCCGACGGGATGATGGGATGCTGCGCAGTGTCTTCGGACCCCAAGAGAGGCTGTTGGAGAAGGTCCTCGAAAGGGTTGAAGGGCGCCAGGGCAGCAAGCCTGACGAGCTGCTCCAGGCACGATTTGAGGAAGCCCATGGTGACAAAAACGAGCTGGCGATCTTGGCTTCTCGCACAAGCTTTTCCCAAGACGGGTGAGACGCCAAGGTTGGGCGACGGCGACGGTCCTCGTCCCAGTGGCGCATCTTACTTATACCTCCCAAGAGCCACCTTGGCTTTGTTCTCCCCCCCCCCCCGGGGGGGCATTAGTGTGCAAGCGGTATGGCTTGCCAGGATGGCACGTGGAGCTCTATCTAGGTAGGCCATCATGGAAATGGGTATAAGTATCGTGATCGGCCCTTCGCAGTCTCACCTCAGATCATGTGGCTGAACACTAGAAGCTGGGTCCTTTGTCGTGACTTCACATGCATCCAGACCGGTTGGTTCGGATGGGTGTGGGACGACGCAGGGATAGCATCGGTCCGGTGAGATTCGTTAGTGCTGCCATACGAGCATGCTCCTGGGGAGCTGAACACAGTCAGGCAAAGATGACACAGCCCTACCCGCACGCGTTCCCAAGAATCCGGGTTCGGTAACAGTATCTGAGACATACCGCCCAATGGCAAATGGGAAGAGAAATGCAACGTACGATCTTGCCCACTTGCATTCCAGTTGTGGTTGTGCAACATTGACGGGTGTCGGGATAGAAGAAGACATTTGAATTAAAATAAAGCCGTATGTCCCTGCACAGGGCTATGCAGTACCCAGGTGGCTCACATGCTCTGCTGTTGCCAAGTGTTTGGACCGCCTGCAAACCGACTTGGGAACCACGAAGCATTCGACGACATACGTAGGCAGACTTCCAACTATTAATCTGACCATCGTCATTGTGAGCGACGGCGCAAAACGCTTGTGCGTTCAAGTCATGATCGCGGGGGATGATGATGGAGGGCGGACAGCGCACCAATGCAGCCAACCTCCCAAGCTGACAGAGCATGGAAGAGGAGTCGAGTTATTCTTGGGACCATTACACACCACACCAGCCATGCGGCTGGAAATATGTGTAAAGCAGGTTATAATGGCGGTCTTGCTTATCCTCACACGCAATAATTCCTGATCCGCATCCGAAATGGTCCGCTACCCGACACCGGTAAGGCAGCGGGATCGAGGCTGAGATGACGTGCAACAGAAGTGGCTGCACAGCATTCAATAGATACATGAGAGACTGCACTTCCAAAATAACACTGCGGCTCGTTACAGGCCAATGAACGTGGAAACCTTTGCGTCAAAGGTCTGTGGTACCAACCGGGCCATGCCCCCCCCCCGGAGCACGGCGGCGGAAGGTAGGCAAGAGAGGACAATTCGCGAAAGTCAACGCAATTCTAGAGTCGAGGTTCGATTCTAGATAGACCACACAACAGGATGATCGATGCTAAAAGATTCTTAGACTTCGTGACCATTTGAAAGCGGAACAACTAGGTTGAAAAAGATGGGCGAATCGGAGGCCCAAATACTGTAAGACGGCGAAGAACGGCCAACGTATCAGCCCTAGATGCTCAGCTGGCCGGCTGACGAGTTTACGAAACGAGGAACATCCTGGACGAGTAGAATGCTTTAGGACCGAATGAACCGAGGTTGTGACCCTTCATGACGTCTTCTTGTTAGCTGGCTTCTTGTCATCATCAACGGCCAACCTGTGGTGGATGAGTTGTGCTGCACGGCTGCCTGAATATAGTCGTCGATTAACAAAGACTCTGTATCACCCGTGGCCTAAGATAAGGGAACAGATGCGCCTCCACCATACCTGATGCTCAATGTCCCTCCGTCTCGTTCCATTACTGTTGACAGGTTCCAAAATTGTGCTGCTCGCCAACATCATACCAATTGCCTAACAAGGATTATGCCACAATCATGCAGAGGTATTCATTCAATATCCCTAGCTACAAGGAGACATAACAATGGCATTCAATGGTGTGGATGTTCAAAAGTCAAGGCCGCCCAGTCGCTGATCTGGGAACGTTCTCATAACGGATACAGAGCTCCAGTTGTCGAGCCCCGCGGGACGTCCGTAGCCCAATATCAGGTCGCAGTGGCAGGCCTGTTGCGGAGCAGCGCGGAAAAGGTAATGACGGGCTCAGCCAGAAGCACGTGCAGTCAGCATGGGAACTGATCGCCTTCTGGGATCGTCTCGTGACTGCCAAGTATGAGTCGAGAAGGCGCATGTCCCGACGTCTGAGGTCGCACGTAAACTCGCGCGTCTCATGAGCGACTTGGCGCTCTTTATTGAGCTTGGAGAGTTGGCAGAAGGCAGAAGCTTGATGGTAATGTCCGGGGTGCCCGAGCTAGATGCCTCGTTTCCGGTCGAAGAGAAGTGACTGAGAGGTGTGGCGTATCTTTCTACCGTGGAGCCGGTTGACTCCTTCGCTCGTGTCGTGTCTGGGTAGCGAATTTGAAGAGCAGGGGTCTCCGGTGATCGAATCTGCACGAAGCTGGCCTTTTCCTCAACAAAACTGCCGGTGTCACTTGCTTGAGAAAGTTCAGGTTCTGAGCACCCATCATGCTGGAGCATGACGGTAGCCATTTGTTCAGCCAAGCTTAGTTTGGGTTGTGAGGTGGCGGAGTTGTCAGGAGTTGATCGTGTCTTTGTGTCCATGATTCCCTTCATCTCATGGATCTCGGATTCCAGGGCACGAAGCTCTCGGTACCCACCCGCTGTTGGCAGAATCTCAAGCTCTGGATACTCCAGGTCGCCAGCAATCTGAATGCTGCTCCTTCGCTCTCCACGAATCGACCTGTCTCTGGATGGTGTCCGTGGACGACCAGGAATGAGCTTGTTCAGATGTGACTTGAAAGTATGAGAGAACTTGTCTGAGAAGGTGCGGGCAATACCTTTTTGACATGGCGGGCCATCTTCTATTCTGTCCGTAGCCCAAGCGATATTTCCTGACGCTGAAATGTTTCTCACGGCAAAGTCCCTCGGCTTGACCTTGTCGTTGACCCCAGCAGCTGCATTACGCTCGTCGCGGTTGAATGAAGGGAACTTTGCCCAAGATGCAGGTGGCATGTTCATCGTCTTGTAGCGGGAAAAGGATGCAGAAGCGCGTTCTTCTCCCTTTTGTTGGATTTCACGCTCTTGGGTTTCGATTTGGTAAGCCCATTCTTCCAGGATAGTCGTAGATCTTCTGAGCGACTCCTTGACAGCCGCTTCGCCGCCATGTTCTGGATGTGCTTTGCAGAGTGGAGAATGCATATCAGACCTAGATGAGCTGAGACTTCCGGCTCCTGAAGGTTGTGGGGCTTTAGGTACTACGGCATGGTCGCTGACCGCTGGAGACAAGCAACTGGCAGGTAAGTTGGATGATGTACTGCCTCTCGGTGATCTGAATTCTGATTCTGCCCTCACTGCTCGCTTCCACAACTCAGCCGTATCATCGCCTTCCCTCGAAGACGAGAAGCCGCGGAGCCGCCGAGATCTCACGCTACCGGTTGCAAGCACATGACTTGTGTCACTGGCCTTCGTCCCGCTCTTGCCGTGGACAACATCAGGCACCTGAAGATGCCCGCAATCCAAGCCGGTCTGCAAAGAAGCCTTGTTATGCAGAGCGGACGTGCGTAAGGTGCGTGTGCCGGCAAGAGCATGTCTAGAACTGTTGCCGTCCAACGTCTCAATTATTGCGACTTTTCCTCTCTTAGGTGCGTTCAAATGGAGCTTTGATAGCAGAGACAACCTGTTGTTTGAACTTGGATCACTATCGTGGTCGAAGATCTCCCGAAATTTACTCTCTACGGGATTGAAGGATCCCTTCCTGAGATGAGAGTTTCGGAATCGCTCTTCCACGTTTTGAAGAACAGCCTCTCTTCGTAGGAAGCTCGAGGTTTCAGAGCCAGCCTCGATGGTCGCTCGTCGGGAATCAAGGTTTGCGAAACACGTGGGTGAGCCTCCCAAAGGAGGAGCAATTGGGCTGTTTGGCTCGTCGGTATCTTGACTCCTGCCCGCCAGACCAGTCCCTGTTGATGGAATTCAGTATATACCTCGCACGCGGTGGAAAGAGAGCACCCACATTTGAAGGATGGAAGCCTCAGTCCAGTGATACCCCTGCGATGAGGATGCGGCGGTATGGCTTCACCCGGGTCGGTTTGAGCGTCGTCGACCGCCGGTGGCGTTACCGACCGCCGTTGAAGGTTTGGCTCAGGGCTGACCAATCTGGGACCCGAAGGCCGCGCGGAGCAGATGGCATACAGAGGGTGAGATTGGCCTTCGTCCTCCTGCGTCGAGTCCCGGCTTTCGTGGACAGGACGCATTGCAGTTTCTAACGACTGTCTTGTCGTATCGGCACTGTCATGTGAGTCCGACGGCGAGCCAGTGAGACTCAGAGGTTGATTCGTATCAGCATTACGAAGCCGGCCTGGCTTGGTTGGCGTCTCAGTGAGCTGATTCTCGGGCTCATCTTGAGGGCTTGTCGTGTACATGCAATTGTGCTCCTCGGATCCGATCTCACTTTGGGGCTGGGATGTGGTAGAGGCGCGAAACGGCATACTCTGAGTGCGAAGCCACAAACCAACTGGCGATTCGTCTCGAATCAAGGACTTTGAGGCCGGTATTCGACTGTAAAGAGAAGAGTCGAGCGAGGGCTGGCGCGAATGAGGTATCAGCTTGGTATTCGAGTCGCGAACGCCCAAAGGCGAGGACTTGCTCCTTGGACGCGGGAGGGAAACGTCGTCCTTGAGATCTGCCGTGGAACGAGTGGCGGGAGTGTTGGCAAGGGGCCGGAAGAGCGTAAGTCTCTTGTCAGGGGTGAAGAGATCGGCCAGCTTGTCCGCACTCAGTGAGAGCCGCCAAGACGCAAGTGACGAGGCGTCATGGAACACTGAGCTTCGGACTGGGAGGAGAATCGGGGAGTTGGGTATTTCAGGTAGGGAACTGCGCTCGCGAATACCAACGTGACATTCAATGTGAGAGGCCCTCGAGTCGGCTTCCATCCAGTCAGGCTCACTGGCCACAAGGCTTGTCGGACGGTGATTCTCATTTTCGAATGACCTGCATGTTGTCGATACCCTTCTGGATGATAATTTTGACGCAGGACGCCCTTCCACCTCGCCCGTCTCCACCACACGAGCCGCATTGATCGGGGTCAGCTCCTTTGATTTGTGACTTTCATCCACAGTGAATTCGATGGTGTCCCGGGGACCGTTGCCTGGAAGAGCGGCCGGGCCAGGCCCATGCCGCTGAGGGGTGGATAAACGGCTGGGAACATTGTCGACCTCGCTCTGGAGCTCCTCCTGGATCCTCTTTCTCATGAGCCGCTTCACCTCTGCCCTGTGGGCGATCTGTTCCTCGGTCTCACTCTGCCGCTGGAGGGAGTCCTGTGACAGATGGCGACGGATGCGTGACTTGACGGCCTGCAATGTGCTGGTGCTTCTGTTTCTGCTTTCGTGAGCGGGGTCCTCATCGACATTGTCGTCGTCAGACTCGTCGACCACGAGTTCACCCAGATGTACTGAGGCGTCTGTGGCGGCTCCAGGCAGGGGGTTGGTCAAAGATGACCTGGCGAGCGTGGAGCCCGGCGAAATGGCAGAGGGGTGCAAGGCCGGGGCCGGGAGCTTAGCAGGCGGAGGAGGGACGGGCAGGCCAGCGTCATCTTCAGCCTGGGGCCGCTTCCGTGACCGAAGCTTGCCACAACAACAGAGAATGGCCATTTCTGACCGCCAGAGCTGGGACCGGAGCAATGATGCTTGTGGAGTTGGAGTCAATCTGAAGACAACCCGGATAGGAGCCGGCCAGCAGAGGCACAATGCGATGAATTCGGCCCAAGCAAGGGGCAAAAGAGTGTCGAGCCCGATGCACCAGGGCCAAGGGACGTGGGACTGTTTACACTGAGACAGCAGAGAGTGAAGCTCGTTGAGCAGGCCATAGGTAGTGGGAGACGAGCCTCCCCCCGGTCTGAGGGAAGGCACAAGCCCGAGAAGAGGCAGGCAGAAACAGCTGCGCGCTTTCCAGCACTTGTGGAAGGCACAACCCCAGCACACGTATTCACCCACCTTCTCGAGCCATTGTGGAATGCCTCGCCGTTTCCCACGGCATCTTCATCGCCGCTCTGGACCATGGATTCATGCGTCTGAAGCCATCACCAGCGCGGCATCCACGCGCCATCCGAAGGCGAACTGAGGTGGAATTGTCCCGGCCATATTGTTCCTTTGCCAGCAAGAGGTACTGGCCGCACCTGCCACGCCACTGGCATCAGGTCCAAAAAAGGAAAATGAACAAGCGGCTGGTGGTCAGGAGATGGTGGGCTCGGTATCGTGAGTTCCCTTCATTTCAGGCGGTCCTTGATCTTAGCGGCAGCCCGTATATACGGGTAACCCCCCATACCATTCTCTGAGCGCGGAGCGCGATCCAATCTCTGAGCGAAGCGGAGCGTCACTCCCCACGACCATTTTCTCCCCGCTTACGTACATATCGCGCCTGGAAGCTTCGTTGTAGGTGGACTCTAGTTTGCATCTTTGACGCTGCAATTGCAGTCGACATGCACCCGCTTGGCTGTCTCGATCGAGAAGTGACTGCTAACTGTCGATGCTGGAAGCTGGAAGCACACACCACCGTGCGAAAATGTGACAGTCGTCAATTTCCACTATCCTTCATCAAGCTGGCTCTTGGTCATCTTGATCGCGGCAGTCGACGCGTCAGGCCGTACACTCCACGACTTGCTTCCTCGTAGCTGTTCAGATCGGATTTATGTCCAAATACGCTTGCATACGCGTACTGTACATGCATAGACTGTCGAAAAGCACTGATAATTCGCAGCGCCAGATCTGGTGGTTGTGGTGACCAAGTGCTTGAGTCTCGGAAACCGACCTAATCGCCGAGCCTTGGCATTCCTTGGACGCTATTTGGTTCTGGGATCGCTAGCAATGCTCGCACTGACAGCACACGCAGCATTGTAGCCACAATTTTAGCAAGTTGAGAATTGAATGCTTCTCGAAACATTTCCTTGAAACGACAGTAGTCCCGGCCAAAAAGACCGACCGGCTGTGTCATCGCAGCCCCAACGCGTCAGCCAAAGGGCGTGCACAATCGACGATCCAAACGATGACGGCAGGCCACAGTTCAAGTCTGGTAGCGCAGGGCGGCCTTGGCCTCCAGCACCCAAGTACTTAATGACCAGCTCGCAGCTCCGAGTGGTCCGAGCAGAGCGTGGGCTGGCTCCGCTCCAAACTGCTCGCACCGATGCCACAGCCTTCCAGAGAGGGCGTGGTCCATCCCGACTTTTCTCCCAAATCTCAGTCGAGGCCAGAGCCTAGACGATGACATCTTTCCTGCTGGTGGCCAGACTGCAAAGCCCCAGCCTGTGTGATAAGCCTATCACGTCCTCGCGCATCAATCCTCTGCGCACTCTGAAGGCCCGCTCAATCGGTGGATGAGGCCCGCTTGCCTGATTCCAGGCACTGTCTCGGGGCGCCGGATGGGTGGCTAGAGCCACCGTGCGAGCACTAAGCCTTGACTGCGTCGTACCACTGCCCGCCTGAGTTGAACCTTGGGCCATCTCGGTTTCCGCGTAAACACCTCTCGGCTCGCCGACACGCCCGACCAGCCCACACCCAACAATGTCCGAGTCTGCCAGAGCTGACTCCGAGGCTGCCCACGGAGACGATCACTCAACACCCAGCTCTCCCGGCGGCGACGGGGACCACTCCGAGGACAAGAACGGCGACCAGCCGCCGCGCAAGAGACAGCGAGTCCGTCTCTCCTGCCTGGAATGTCGCCGGAGGAAGTTGTCGTGTGACCGCGGCTACCCGTGCGAGAGATGTCTCAAGTCAGGCACGCCCGACCGCTGCACCTACGAGACCCGGCCAGGTGTCGCGCCGCCCCCAAAGCCCGCCGGCCTCCAGCTCTCTCAGTATGATGGCCGCCTGTCCTTGTCCAACGACAACCTCGTCCGCAAGGACAGCGCCCGGGACTTTGACCGCATACGGCGGCTGGAGATCGAGGTCTCCCAGCTCAAGAACCTGCTGTCGAAGCAGCTGAGCAATGATGGCAGCCTCACCGTCGACGCCAACTCCCAGGCCGCTACGAGGCCCGATCCAGATCTGGTGCCGGAGCACAAGCTCCCCGAGTTCATGCAGTATGGCCACGACGCCGGCGACGAGATGCGCTTCTTCCGAGGCAAGGAGTTCCGGACTCGGTACTTTGGACCCCACAACGCCTCCATGGCCTTCAGCCAGTTGACGGGACTGTCGCCGTTCATGAAGGAGACGGCCGAAGAATGGCTCAAGCCGCTGCATGTGGCTGCCCGGACCAAGGACCGGGACCAGAGGAAGGTGGCACGAGAGGCCAAGTTCAAGGCCGCCGACCTCGAGCTCGAACAGCTCTTGCCGTCCAAGATGGAGACGGACATGCTCACCTCGCTATACCTAGACCAGTTCGAGCAACTCCACCGTGTCGTCCACATCCCCAGCTTCAGGCGCCAGTACGAAAGGTTCTGGATACCCACCGAGGTACGACCCGCGGCGCATACCGCCCTCGTCCTCGCCATGATGGCCGTTTCAGCCTGTATGCACAGCAACTCTTCGTCACCGCCCAAGTTCACCGGGATGGTGTCGTGCGCTCATCAGACAGCCGAAAAATGGATCTGGGCATGTGAAGAATGGCACAGGAAGCAGAGCCATAAGCACCGCCGCCTCATTCACTACCAGATAGCGCTCCTCTTGTACCTTGCGAAGAGGGTCAACAATGTGAAGAAGAAGCGCTTCTGGACAAATTCTGGCATCCTGACACGTGAGGGCATATCTTTGGGCTTGCATCGCGACCCCGACGCGATGATCGGTGCGAGCCGAAACATCTCTGTCTTCAATCAAGAGATGCGAAGGAGGCTGTGGGCAACAATACAGGAGTTTGACTTTCAGGCTTCGTTCGACCATGGTTTACCTACCATCGTCAGTTCGCTTCATCTAGACGTCAAACCGCCCAGGAACATCAACGACGACGAGTTCGACGTGGACGTGACTGAGCTGCCACCGTCTAGGCCGGTCTCCGAATACACTGGCTCGTCCTTCCAGCACCTATGCCGGCAGAGCCTGCCCCTTCGGCTAGAGCTGAGCAAGCTTTTGTCAGGCCCGCCCGACGATCTCGACTACGAGCAAGTAATTCGCTACACGAATGAGATAACACAGGAGATCGACGCGCTTCCGTCGTGGGATACATCGGCCAGCATGGACGAACAGGAGTCACCGAAACCACTCCTTGCATATACACTCCTCCACGTGCAGTTGCGACAGTACATCATGCCGCTGCATCAGCCATTCCTGCGGATGCGCAAGGTCAACTCGAAGTACCAGTTCTCGGAAGTCATGTTCTACAATGCGGCACGGGATATGGTCCTCTTGCACGACAAGCTGACCGAGTTTGGCGTGCGCACACTGAATTTCTTGCGCGAAGACGCGCTCACCCTTGCTCTGAACTTGACGAGCGTCACGATGCTTCAGTCTCGCGGGAGCACAAACATGATTATGGTCAACAGCCCACATACTCTCAAGCTGCTAGACCAGTGCCTCCAGATGAAAGAGGACAGAATACTACGGTGTGGGAACAACGAGCCCTGGGGTTACAGCATCATGTGCGCGGCCTACGGACTGCTGGAGACGCACCTGGGGATCAAGGACAGCCAGACGGCCAAGAGCTCGAGCGCGGAGAGGTTCATCAACCTGCACTACCGCCTGCTTGCAGGCCAGGAGCCGCCGGTGCTGGGACCCCAGCAGCAGCAGCAGATCGCCGCCGCCCAGGCGCAACACTCCCAGCAGGGCGGCGGGTCCAACCTGCAGGTGCGGGCAGAAGGGCCGAGCCTGCTAGAGAGGGCCAAGACCATCACGCCCTACCTGCATCCGGGGGTGTCTGCTGCCGCTGCTTCTGCCTCTTCTGGGGCCGGAGGAGGAGGAGGAGGTGGAGGGGTGGCAGTCAGTGGAGGGGGAGACGTGGCCGGGCTGCCGAGCACACCTTGGTGGCTGGCCGCGGCGGATCCCACCGTAAGTCTACCTCCCGATGGGCCCGGGTCTTTGGCCGGGCCTTCTCCGGAACGTCGTAGTAACCGCGACCCCTCACAAATGCAGATGCAGCCCCAAGCGCCGCTCAACCCCGAGTTCAACATGGAGATGCTTGGCTTCAACTTGAATGAGCTGTGGGCGGTGGATACTTGGGACGCATATTAGATGAGACAGCTGTTCTGTCATGTACTACGTCAAGCGCTTGAGCTTCTGACGACGAACTAATGGGTGGATATAAGGCAGTGGGAGAAGGCAAAACAGGGTTATCGAGTATATAAGTTGAGCACATTGTCCAGATACCCTCCTCTCTACAGTATTTGGTCTGGCTCAGTCGGCCTGTGGGCGGCATGAGCAATCTCCAGAGCAAATTTATGAATATTCTACAATCTTAAAAGCATGTATCATTCTGCCTAGTAGCGTAACAATGCAGCCGAATCTAGAAGGGTGTCGCAGAGTGTTCGAAGGCAAAGCCTTGAACAAGGAATTGTGATAGTCACAGGACGCGGAGCCTTCCGAACGAACGAGGGCCGTGGTCTGCAAGGTCGATGCAGGGGAGAGGCCAGCAGCCGTGGGGATCCGCCTGGGCAATCCGGGGTACTGCATAGTGGTGGGTCGACCCGAAGTGGGACCGTTGGCCAAGGCAAGCAGCATGGGATCAGCATTGCGGCGCATTGAGAGACCAATTGACAATTGTGCAGTTGAAGCTCTCTCGCTTGACTCTGTAGGGAATGTAATCGAATCGTCATTGTAAGGGAGCCTACAATGCTACCGTCTCCAAGCTCGCGACGCCGGACCCTGCAGGCGGGGCACGGATGAAACACGAAACAGCACAGCGCACTGCTGGCCAGAGAGCATCTCGAACGGCCACCTTGGCGCCCTGCGTCACCAAAGATGCCATAACAGCACGCCGCGACGATGCCATCCGCGTACAGATTACTCGCAGGCCTCGCAGGCCTGGCGCCAGCGCTGGCACTGGGCACAGGCCAGAAATTCAAGATTGTCGACGGCGGACGGTCCTTCGACCGCTTCATCACAATATGGCTCGAGAACCAGGTGCGCCTTTCCTTGCCTCGCATCCTCTGCCTCTTACTCCAGCCCGCGCAAAGATGGGTGCGTTACTGACAGCCCGAGCAACGCCAGGACTTTGACAAGGTCGTCAAGGACGCCCATTTCGCCGACCTGAAGAGGGAGGGCATCTCGCTCACCAAATTCTATGCCCAGACCCACCCCTCGCAACCCAACTACATCGCAGCCATTGGTGGCGACTACTTCGGCATGAACCACGATGACCACGTTCGCATACCGGAGAACGTCTCGAGTGTGGTGGATTTATTAGACACAAAAGAGATTTCCTGGGGAGGTTACTTTGAAGACCTCCCTGGGCCTGGATACATGGGCCTTGCGAGCGAGGGAAGCACGGGGAACGGAACATGGGATTACGTTAGGAAACACAAGTACGTTTCCACAAATGCGCTTCGACGGCCTCCGTGTCGCTGAAGGTAGCCGATAGACTGACCTCTCGACCTCTAGCCCCTTCGTATCCTATGACAACATCGCCAACAACGGGACCCGCCTCTGGTCCGTCGGCTCGTTCGACGACTTCAAGCGAGACCTGGCAACCAACCAGGTGCCGCAGTTCGTCTTCATGTCGCCCAACATGATGAACGACGGGCACAACACCACTCTTGAATACGCGACGTCATGGGCACACCACTTCATCGAGCCGCTCCTGGCCGACGGCGTCTTCAAGGAGCGCACCCTCATCATGCTCACTTACGACGAGAGCGAATCATACGAGATTCCCAACAAGATCGGGTCCCTGCTCCTCGGCAATGCTGTCCCTGGCGCCTTGAAGGGCTCTGAGGACGACACCTACTACACACACTATTCTATACTAGCAACACTGCAGAACAACTGGGAGCTACCCTGCCTAGGGCGATACGACGTTGGCGCCAACGTCTTCCAGCACGTCGCCACCTCCACGGGCTACCAGAACCCCGGCGACCCGGACAACTTCGCGGGTATCAACAACAGCGTATCATACCCTGGCGCCTTCCACACCGACCCCACGAAGCGCAAGCCTATACCGCCGCCGAACCTGAAGCTTGTGGGTGCCGGTGGGCTGCCGGTGCTTGAGCAGGTGTATAATAAGTGGCGGTTCCACGAGGACGACTTAAGCCCTTACGATGGTTCTGGTGAGGCCTTTGATGGGGCGACGTACTTGCCTGAGTATTTTGCACAGGAGCCGAATATGGTCCTGCCTACGTGATATATATATGTGGACCAAAATAAAATTTACATTCTGTTCTAGGATCTAGGAAGCTTCGACATTGTGCAGGAATGTGCATGTAGGCAAGCAACTGAGCGCATCAAGCCATCAGCAACATGAAGCCCGACGTGAAAGCAACAACCACCGTCGAAACAACGAGTGCAACAGACGCCAGCTGCGGGTTCCTAGAGTTCGCTGAAGCAGCCGAGGACGGAGACGAAGTGGAAGACGACGTCGGCGAAGATGTACCAGTAGCCCCAGCGGTTTCCGTAGCATCATGGACCAGATACAGCATCTCTACAGCTGAAACGCCAATATAGTCCTCTACAGGGGTCTCAAGCGTCATGGTCTCGGTTGTGATAGTGCCGGTCCCCGTGACTGTGAATGCCGACCCGGTTAAGGTGGTGCCCCAAATGCTGAGAGTTGTGTTGACAAAATCACCGCCGGCATCCCCAGCCACGATCCTCCTGCAGTACTCCGGGGGGACGCTATAGGTTGGCACAAGAGAAGTGCATCTCCCCAAAGGGTCGGCAGTGAATGAGCTAAGCCCCCGAGTCTCGTCAGTAAAGGAGCACCTGGAGAGAATGAAGACGTAAGACCGAGACGCACCTTGGGCAACACAATACAGCCGCGTCACCATCGTCCATCCCAGCCAGAACGACATTCGGGCCCACATTCTGGACGTAGGAGAGGTCCTCATCGTCGAGCGGCGAAGGGCTAGCAAACCCTACGCCGGAGCTCGTGATGGAGCCTCCCTCGGTCTTGGTCGCAACGCCGACGGTGTCCCAGCCAGACGGGCAGGCCAGGCCCGGGGAATAGTACCCGAGCGTGTAACCCGTCTGCACCACGTCGGTGCCTATCGAACTGTAGTCCTCGTCGAGCTTTGCGCCTGACGGCAGGCAGCTTCCAATTGTTGGGTAGGGTTGGTCGCATGAGATGCCCACGGGCACGACTGAAGTGGCATTGGTGTCTGAAAAAGTCCATCGCTGTCCGACTTGGACGTAGGAATAATCTGTCGAACAGGACGGTGGCGCCGTGTAGGTCGTTGTCAAAGGACCCTGGCCGTTGTCAGTGTGCAGGACGCCGAACGTCTGTGCCAATTCAGCTTACAATGTTGGTCACAGTCCATCCGGACACGAGAGTCGAATGCATGATTTGAGCGAGTTGTGAAAATGAAGCTTGGGTTTGAAATTGAGAGCACACGTCAACAAAGGCAGAGAGTTGTGCCACAAATTGTGAGGTGAAGCGGAAAGGATCACTAGATGGGCGGTCGAGGGAAAAGAAAATACACAATTGTGGAGGCCAATGAGCGCTTAGCTGCTCCTTCGAAGCAAATTGTAGTTGAAAGCGGGCTAGCATATGCAGTCAGACATCCGCCTGGGCAATTCAACCTTATTCCAGGCAGATACGGCCCTATTCGGTTAGTACGAGGTATTCCTTCTCGAAGCGATCCTGAATGACAGGCAGGATTCCCCTGGCCCCTGCGTTCTGCCTCTCTTTCTTTGATGTTGCCGATCCTTAGCCAAGCACACAATGGTCGTCCTGCCCAGCCTCTAGGCTCACTGTAAGCGCATCAGCTGCCACGTAGCAATGGACGCGTAGCGCGCCACCAGCGTCAGGCCCACCGAGAGAAAAGCTGAGATGATAATCAATCCCAACCTATATGCAAGCATTAGACTCAACTTGGAGGAAAGGCCATCAGGTGACCTCAATTACTATAATGGTGAATTTCATGGATTCTTAGTAGGAAGAACAAGCGTTATGAGAGGCAATCAAATGAAGAACATCACCTACCTATCAGCCTTAACTCGTGATAGCTCTGATCTAGTCACGCTCGGACACAAATGTCACGATATACTGGATATACTGGCAAGCTGATGGCTCCGGCCCAACGTAATTCATAAGATGAAAGCTCATGAAAGTACCCGTCCCGTATTGGTCCCTGAGGATATGGTCCCATTTTGATGCCCTATTTCGGAGAGCTCATGTGCATCGTTACAATTATGCGGGATGCAGGTGGTTAGCATATGGCCTCTAATCCGAGAACGGAAGCAATGTATCGATTGTTATCTGGCACCTTCGACCGGTTGCTGGAAGGGACTCCAAATATCGGTGCGTGGCTAAGCTGAAACATCATTCCGGTAGGAAAACCACACGGGATCGGGCATTCTACCCGTAACAAGCTTGTGCTCTATCATTTTTAAGATCATGTATGCCTCGCAGACTTCCTGCAAGCTGCAATAACAAAAAAAAAACAGCTTTTAAGAGAATGACAAGGACGGAAAGCCTTTGAGCAAGTTGTCCACGTCGACTCGTCCATGGCTGCTTGCGTTGAAATTGCTACAATGAGGAGGACGCCGATATCAAACCCGGAATATAGCCTTTGACACTCAACGGGGTTGATGGGTCTGCACTTGATTTGGATCCGTGATACAACCACTTGGCAATAATACCCCTGAGCGGAAAGGTATCCTCAATCTTGAGACAGTCTGAGTACGACAAGGGTTCGCTGAAGTCATACCATGATCCAACTTGCGTCCCCACCATAGTTTCCACCGTACGGTGGATTACGTTGAGATTCTGGAACGCAAGCACTGGCTCAGTGGCCCTCGAGCTTCTCCTAGCTTCGTAAGACGACAAACGTGGCAATGCAAGGCTCAAAAGCAGGTAGCCACCACTGGAACAACACAAGATGTCTGAAGATCAATTCTCAACTTGCAACGTTTCCGACCCGAGGGAGTCCAACATCTGATATCTTGTATGTACGAAGCAGCGCCGAAGTTGCAAAACTTCTCTTCGTTACAAAATTCAAATTGATACAGTGCAATGAAAGCTTCCATGCTCATGGGAACTTGTTTTCATCCCCAAGATGCCTTGATAAGATGACCGCGGGAAATAGCTGGCTGCGAATGTTTCGTATATGGTTCGAGAAGGGATCTTTGCTTCTCTGAGGCAACTAGTCAATTCCACTCAAACGATGTCGAGGATTGCACTGAAAATTCTCCGGAAAAGACTATGCGGCACATCACAATGTTGAACGAGGGCTTGATACCGCACGTTGTCCATTTAGTGCGCCAACACCAGCGTCCTCCTGCCCAAACAAACCAAATCATGTTCTGAATGTACAGACCGGACCGCCGAGGCCTATGTGATCTCAATCGATCCATTTGGTGTCCTATCTTTAAGCGTAGCTGGGAGTGACCCGAGCTTGCGAGGGGCGCTCCCGGCTGCGGTTGAGTTCATAGTACGTCTATGATCCTCGAATACCCTAGTCCAGACTCGGCTGCTGGTCGATTTGTCATGGCTTCTTGAGTATCCTAAGGAGGAGTCTAGCCTCGTACCACCATGAAGTGACTGGCCTGTCCGAGCACTTCGGTGTCCGGCGATCTGGGAGAGGGCGGATTCCGGGCTGCTCGCGGGCGCTGGGCTTTCTAAGAACACATGTACGCCGTTTAATCCAATTCATGGTAGCGTACGACGCAGTCACTGAGCCCCAAGTGACGCGGCGTTCCCGTCACGTAGTGCAAGTCCGGTTGCGTTGGAGGTGATGTGGCAAGGAAACGTGCTCGGAAAATCAACGGATGCACGAAATGTGGGGAGCCGAAGCAAGCATAGGTCGACTTTAATGCATGCATATAGGCTTTGCACGACGATACGGCCGCCCATTGGTAGTCCTGAGACAGTGCACACATGTGTGCTACATTGAATGTGGGATCATGGACCGGCGGGATCGACGCATAGATTCCGGTGCACCCCTTATCTGCGTTCTCCTAGATCCAGATCTCTTTGGGCGGGCCTGGGCCATTATAACGGATGTTTTCCTGCAGTAATACTCGGCAATACTGGCATGCCGCCCATAGGGTTTGCCGGAATGAGGTCATGCTAGGCCCACAGAGGTGCCTCAACGGTCTGTGCTACATACGCGCTGTGCTGCACGAAACAGGTGGATCTTATCGTATGACTGTCACAACATGATCATAGTCTTTCCAAATATGGTCATACAAGCTTCCAGCCCGGTCGACTGATGGTCCAACAAAACGCCGGGTCGGACGGTTTCGTTCTCGAAAGGACCGCCGCGATGGTTTCAACCACAGCCCCTTCGGCTTGCAGAAGCCACTCCGCAACTGAATTGATATCAAGTACATATACTGCTCTCTTCCTGGCCATTACAGCATGATCTTTTCTAGCAGAAACAACACTCATCGATCACACATCAAAGACAACCAAAACCAACAAATCTGTCCACCTCGTCTACACAATTTTCAAGGCTCTACAAAGAACAAAAACATCGCAGAAATGAATTCCCAAGTCTGGCAGCCAACTCGTCGCGTTGTGGTTCAGACCGCTCGCTCTGCCCCTTCCATCTCCCGGGGTGCATCATCCGCAACGTCAAACCAGTCATTCTACCAATACGCATCACACGGGCTCCGCAAGCTTGCCAGGCAACGGCAGGAAGTCCGAGCTCCTGCGGATTGGATGAGCCTGATCCGAAATGCTGGACGTGGTCTCCCGATGTAGGTATTTGGTCTCTACTCCAAATCTGGACTGTTACACATGGTTTGCTGCAGATGCGCTGACACTTAAACAAAGATACGTTCCAGCGACGGCGGCTGCGATATTCTGGCCAGTTGCTGTCATGAAGTACGCGGAGTCGAGAAACAAATGAGGACTCGGAGATTGAGCGATTCATTCAGTGCCGGTTGATGGACTGGTGACATGGAAACGCTACCGAAATCCCGCCCAAATTGAAGACCGGAACAATGGATCTCTCAAGGAGGGACTTGAACATGGCCCTGACTCGGAACAAAGTGCCCGGTTGCTCCTATCGGTGAACCCAGGGGCCCCAGAGTTTGGCGAGTTGCGGAACGGTCTTTCTCTCATGTTGATTTCTGGACACATCGTTGAAGTTGGTCTTCATACCATTTCCTTGATGATTTGCCTTTGGGGCTGGACCCGAACAGGCCACGGAAATTGAGGAACTCCGAAATTTGCCATTCCAGGATAGAAGCTGCTCGGAATGGTTCAATATGGACAATCAGACACGGCACCTGCAGCTGCAAACACGATCATGGCGTGTCGTTAGCCAAAAGAGGCGACTCAGACAGCATCGTGAATACCTAGGTAGTCCAATGGTAGATGACTCGAGCAAAGGCGTGCATGACAGAGACTTCCGGGTTGATTCTTCGCAATGAGACCACAATGTGCTTCTAGTCGCCTATCGGGACTGCAGCTCGCCGCTGTCGCCGTCGACAGGTCGTAGATGGTACCTCACCTCGTGGTGGCCGGCCGCGTCGCTGTGTCCTTAGCCGGGCAGTCGGGCCGGCAGAAGAGTCACTGTTGGAGACCGGCGTGTCACGATGGCAAGTGAGATATAAAGCACAGCTTTACATAAAACAAGCCCGGTTTAGGAACGAAATGAACATGGGTATATGTCACGAGAAAAATGCGACTATTATGGGGCTGAATTGGGTATATAAATGGGGCCCAGAGAGCCCCCCTCTGTACGTACTTTCTGAGAAATTTAGAGCCTTCTTTTCCCTCGTTTTTTTCGTGTGACAGTATATTCTCCTAAAGTGTAGCCCTAAACTACCTGATGCTCTCTCTCAACTGCTCTACATGGTTTCTAAATAGCTGGGTTTCTACTCTTGCCTCTGCCTCTTCCTTGCCCTGTCTGTCTCATCCTCTGCCCCATCCGCTACCACCTCCTCATCTTTCATCGTCCTCATCATTATCTACATCTTGGCTACCATCGTCCGCTTCGCCGTTATCTATATCCTCATTCCGCATTTCATCTACATCCATCACATTGCTAGGGTCCTCCTCCTCAGCATCATCATTAGCGCCGAGTATGAAATTATACCCATCCTTCCGGTCATCCAAAGGCACCGTTAACGCCGTCCGCGTCTGCATACGGTGGAAGGTGACAACGTCAACTGGGTTCCCGTCATCGAGCAGCACGTAGTTGTGTGTGGTACAGGTCTGGCCATTCCGATTAATCCGGGCAAACAACTGTGACTCTTCTCCGCGACTCCTCAGGGGGTGAGGTAGCGATACAGTAGTTGCAGCGTATCAGGTTAAGTCCGGACCCTATGAAACTGATCGTGCTGATGAGTGCAATTGGATCGTCTTCCTGGCTGTCTTCCATGTGGACCTTGTTGGTTTTCCGTGAGAATGGCGCCATCAGCTTGCTCCGTAACACCGCGGACATGCCGGCTCCGACAAATGTAAAGTTGTGATTACGATATTTCTTAAAGAGAAACGTGATGAGTATGAAGCCCTGCCAGGCGTGTGGCACACAAATAACAGCCTTTTTCCTCAGTGGCGCGGCGTTTTTCGGCAGGGATTCATGACGCTCCCTATCTTGTAGCATCTCGTCAATTATCTCGCAGATCCTGGCGACCTTAGGCTGGAGCAATCCCGAACCAGGTCGCTGGCAGAATGCGTTTGGCACCATGTCCCAATATTCTGAACTCCTGACTGCATCGCGCTGTGTTGTAACAGCACTGCTAAAGATGTCTTGGACCTCATCAGAACGAAACTTTCTTGTTGGGGCTGTCCTTGCGTTTAAGTACTTCTGTGGCCATGCCCGGTATAAACCCTATCAGGCTTGTATCAATCTGAAAGGTGTTCTGTGCCGCACCGAGAGATGCATCTAGAACGAACATATAGTCTGCAAACTTTGGCTTTGGCCCTCTAGTGTTCTCTGGTTCCCTTCTCCAGGACCGCATTATCCCTCGCCACCGGAGCCTTAGGTATTCTTTATAGTTATTAGCAACCTGCTTCTGTACATTACCCATAGGTGTATTGAATCTGTGGATTCGTGGCTTTCTGTTATAGGTTGTTGAGTACGCAGGGAGAGGGTAGCCAAGGTAGTCGCCTGTGCTGCCGCGCTGGAGTAGAGGCAGGACATCTGTGTACCTGTGGCAGGCCTCGTCGTAACGTCTGAGCAGGTTGTGGGCCTCTCTTTTGTCGTCGTCAGTCAATTGACGCCCCTCCTTAGCAAGGTTGATGTTGTCGTCAATGCGGACCTCCTTAGCCAGATCTATAAAGTCCTTACTATGAAGATCTAGATCGTGTTTGTATCGAGCAAGAGTGTCTTCGCCATACCATTCCCCCATCTTTTTGTGTATAGCCAGGTCTTCAGCCAGGTTGAAGTCTTCAGGGCCATTAGAGATGGGAGTGCCTGACATGGCAACAACATGGACTGGCTTCTCGGCTAGTGTCATCAGCCCTTTGATGACCACCATGGCGTTGTGATCCAGTGACTTTGTTTCGTGCATTTCGTCCCAGACAATGATACTAGGTTGATGATAGAGCTGTTGCACCTCCCCTTTCCCAAGCGCTAAGGCGGTGTCTGTTAGGCAATTTGTGTTTGCAACCACAAATATGTTACCAAGGCCACCGTCATTCTGTGGTTCAGTAAGAAGAAATTTCTTAATCTTCACTTTTTTCTGATTTTGATCCTGCTTGTTGAATACATTAAAAGGTTTGTTGTTGTGTGGCAGACGGGCTGTAGTGCTAAGAAATTGCTTGATCTCGTCGGTCCATTGTTGTACAATACCATTTGGGACAATGGCCAACATATATCCTGGAGCAAAAGAGTGAAGGTCGACATTACGCAATGGCGAATTTTTGATACATTGGCATATAAACCCATACTTGGACAATGTGTCTGCGGTACACTTTTCGTTGATCTTGAAAAGAGGATGTTCCTCTTCGTGGATGTGAAGGGGTGGGTCTTCACTTGATGAGAGGTTCTTTCGTTCGTTCTCGATGGCAATTGCGTTTGAGAGTATCATGGTGACCCTAACCATGAGTTCCACAGCCTCATAGGTCTTACCTAGGCCAGGCATATCGGCTAGGTAATGCAAGATCCTCTTACTATCCCCCAACACCCATCCTGTGGGGTATGTCTGGTGTGGGTCAAGTCTTATTCGGGAGTATGGCGGCTGATATGCATGTTCTGGCACTCTTACATCACGTCTGTTTGTCTCAATCCCGGCAATCTGTGCATATAGGTTATGAAAGCGCTCGTCGTGACCGCTCCTCCGTCGGTTGAGCCCTTCGCCAAATACCTGCTCAACCCGATCTTCAAACTCGGGCTCTTCGAGGGGCACCACAAGTTGCGGCAACACGGTGTTTGGGGCCTCCTGAGGGGGGCTGTCCCGCTGGGGTGTGCGGAGCAGGGCGTCCTGATGACTGTCTTCCCTATGCGGCGGCTGAGGCTCCGGCGGCCGCTGTCGAAACCGTTGGGGTGGTGGGGACGGTGGTCGAGCATCGCGCCCGGCAATGTCGCGGGGGAGACTGGGTACGTTGGGATCATCAGCCGGGTGCCTGTGCCCGGAGGAAAGATTGGACTCGCTGACAGGCCTACCCTCGGGAGAACCTTTTGGTTTTGCCAGAAAACGAAGAAGAGGCGGATAAGTCATTGACGGGTCGTCTCCTGCGTATGGAACAGGAATGCCCCCAAGGTATGTGATGGCCAAGAGGAGCCTGCGAAACGACTGGGCGTCAGGAATCTCAACAGACCCGGCGCCAGCATACGCCTCAAACCAGAGGCCGTACGGTGCAAGCCCCCTGGGCCCCGTGAGCTGGGTCTCAAGCTTGTTGAAGTCATACTGGAGCACTGGGCTCTGGGCAGCCGCCTCTGGGCCCTTCTTGACGATCTCCAGGACATCAAAGGCCTTTGGTACCACCTCATCCTGTGAATAAACACTGATGTATAGCTGATCCAGCCTGGCCTTTACAACTGACTTTGCAAGGCATCGACAGTATGCCCATTCGGGGCCTGCAGCTCCATGGTATGCCCGATCCATACTGCAATATAAAGTGTGTAGGGGAAACCAGACTGCAGGGTGCGTGTATCCTCGTGTGGTGTGGGGTGCTTGAATTGCCGCTATTTGCTGCTACTTGGGGGGTCTGCAGAGGGGCTTAAGTACTGCCTAAATTGGATGCCTCAGGGATCCACAGGTGTTCATCAATTAAAGCGTCAATTATGAGACCACATAATATGTATTTTGAAGCCTATTGTCTCCATACAAGCAAATAGCATTTGAAGCAGACTAATGGGGGACAGCCAAGCACTTATCAATCCAGTAGTTCGTAATTACAGCTGGGGCTGCTTGAGGAGTAGTATCCTGAGCGGGAGCAAAGGCGGCCGTGTCTTTGAATAAAGGTGGCTGCAAACGTCTCCTTGGCTGCAAACATCTTCTATGCTCCGTCCGTTCAACACCCCCCCCCCGGAAAATGCCACAGTCACCTTACTACCAAATAGATATTACATCCCTGTCGCAAGAACTAAGGCCCCAATTACTAAAAGCAGCTTGATCTGCAGTGCTTAAAATGTACAGATAATGAGCCAGATACGCATAATTCAGTAGACATTCCTGGCCTGGTCTCCTCCATTTACCATTCTCATCCCACTATGCTCACATAGTTCCCTAGTGCACGACAACTACTGGGCTGTTCAGTGGTTGTATACACAAGTTGAGCCAGTGCAGCAGCGGTGCGAATGTTGACTCACGGTGCTACCAACACTTTGTCATAATTCAAGCATCCGCCACAGATAGAGCGAATCAGATGGAATCGTTGTCTTCCATTGCAGGACCATGAGGACCACCTCTGTGGGAAATTCCACGAGTGCTCTCTTGCCCCTTGTTGATACTGACCAGTCCGCGGGCGAGATGGGCACGAACATCAATGTCGGAGTTCAAGGGCCCAGAAAGGGCTGTGCCAGCCAGAGTGGCAAAAAAGAAGTGCGAACCTCATTGTACGGCCGAATGCACAAGATTGTAACGATTGTAAGAGAGCAGATGTTTTGTGCGCTGCAGGGAAAGGACAGCCATCCTACAGGTACTGCTGGATTCGGCGGGTTGACCTGGTATATATATTCTGCATAGCGTCTAAAACACGCACATAGCAAGTATTACCATGGGAAACTAGCAGATACGAGCAGCGCATGGGTGTGGCACAAGATTCCTTGAAGTGAGTGACCTTCAACACCTCTGACTGAATGAGGAAAGTGGCCCGGGCCACCCACAAATGATGGCTGCAGGTTAGGGGTACAGTCATTGCTGCTTAAACAGATTCCACAACGTCAGACTAGAATTCTCCAAGTAGTATGGTTAATCAGATATGCTTGTCTGCGAATCACCGCGGGTTGGGGACATTATGCGATATGGCGGCCTGGAATGAGGTGTCACGGCCGCATATCACGAAGACTGTTATCGAGCTTTTTTGCACTGGATACCAATCTCTCAAAAGCTGATCGGTCATGGGCCGAGGGGATCTATGGAGGGACGCTGGCATATTGGCCATCATTAAAGATGGTTCATTTTGGCGCTGGCCCGTGACGCTCCGGGGTGGTCACAAGCCCCTGGTCAGACGAGTTGCAGCACCCGCCCCTCCATCTCGCACTACGAACGGTTCGCCGAGCCTGAGGAGCAAACCAGAGAAGAATTTGCATGAATCATTGCGGTGCTCCAACACACTTCTCTGCGGGATAATTGCTTGAATTATATTAATACACGGGAGAGAAATGAGTGGACATTGGGGTGCTGGGTCAAGGACTCGGAGTTGAGATATACCCAGAACGGTCACGTCGATCATTGCTTCACATGTTAAGCACTTGGTGCATATCCAAAATTCACAGTAAGCTGGATAGAAAATTGCTAGATCTGAGCTCTTCTGTGTTGATCAGCTGCCAAATGCGTTGCGACGAAAGGGATGAGGGTAGCAATTCGATTGGAGCACGCCCTCGATGAACACATTTTCGGGGTTGGGTGTGTACGGAAATCTCGGTTAAAGCAGCCATTGCAGCTGTAACCTCCGTCAATGAGAACGGCCGATGCTCCCCAAGCGAATGTTCGTTCTTCCCAGGAAGTGGAAGAAAGACGGGGCCGGGGGTAGCGCACAGCAGCTCTGCTCGAAGTATGATGTTCCATCCGTCTTTGTACAAGTTCTCTATGAGTCCGGGTGCCAATGATGCTCAAGTGCTCCCGGAAAGACCGGAAATAGAAGAGGAGGAAAGTCTACGGCCTGAAGTCTGAACATGGGCCTGCTACAGGATCTGTTAGCAAACTTTGGTGACGGCCCAGGTCTGGTGCGATAGTCTACATTGTATGTGTGGTATTACGATGTTGTGTGCGGCCTACTCGAGTTGCCCATAGATTTTGAGCAAGAATTTGTGATCGTTGTCGCTGCACCCTTTTTGATGGGGGCGTCAGTAGGGACAGCAAAGAGATAGGCAGGAACATTTCCAAACTATCACAGCCCTCTTGTAGAAACTCACACATTTACAATTCACTGAGCCAGCATTAATTGTGAGAATCTTATTCTTGTGTATGATGACGTCTAGCGATCGACGACATTCGTCGCTGAACTGTGGTGGACCGTCATTGAACTTGATGCCCTACCTCGTGTCCACTCACTAGGTAAGTCACAGGATACGGCACTTGAATAGCTCTGGTGAAGCAATTTCGGACTCATTTTAGACATTTTCGCTCTTCTGTCTTTCCTTTTTGGCGTGCCTGTGCCGTACTCAAGTGTCTTCACTCAGCTTGAATCCACATGGGGTTGACACATGTCCTGGGACTCGAGAGGAATCACAGTCAATTCTCAAGTCACAGCCGGAACTCTTTGAAACCAGGCAACCTTATGGAGGCAAAATCACGCCTCTGCAATACGGGTCACATGTTATGTCCGGCAATTTTGGTCGCAGCATCGGCACGTTTGCTGTCATTGAACATGATGTTAATTGCAATATGAGTACATAGGTTTGATCGTAGGCCCCTCCTCAACCTGGGTGATCTGTTTGGGAAGTCCGTACAGTCGAAATCCCCAAGGTGAATGGTCGTTTTGAGCTCCGGATGTAACAAGCGTGAGCCACAACTTCAGACCAAAAGTTTCTGTCTCTGCTCAACCCTTCGGGTTACCGTTGAAAGCAACAAAATTGACGGTGTCATCTTTATTCTCGGGATCAGTCATTACCGGGCTTGCTGTCTTCACCATGTAGTCGCACAAAGTCTTTGGGTCCTTGTGCCCGGAGGAGAGGAGGCAGGCGGCAAGGCCGGCAATATGGGGAGCGGCCATCGAAGTACCATTCCCCAAAGCCTGAAAGTCAACGTGTCAGCATTGGAGATTAAAAACACACTTCTTCGTATAATTACGACTATGACCTCGGGGTGAATGGCCTACCCAAGCAGTTGTGCTGGTATTGAAAGCAGAAAGAACGTCGACTCCCGGTGCCATGATGTCTACCACAGAACCGTGATTGGAGAATTCAGCCATGCGATTGTTATTGTCCGTAGCGCCTACGGTACAGAGACTCGGCTCAGATGCGGGAGAAACGCGGCTCGCGTTTCTGTTACCGTTGCCAGCAGCGACGACGACGAAGACACCCGCGTTGAGGAGGAGATCCTTGGCCAAATCATTGGCGGCTTGAGAAAATCCACCTCTGAAAGACATGTTGGCAACGGTTCCGTTTGGGCAGTGCCGCGTCTGGCTGTCATTTGCAACAAATGCCATTCCTTTCAAGACATTGGAAAGGATGGCGTTGCTGCTTCTGACCTGGTTGCTTCTGACCTCACTGCTTGGGGGCGCAGGGTCATGCAGCACCTTGACAGAGTATAGCCTAACTTTCTTGGCCACACCGTAGGTTGCTCCACCGACTGATATTGTATTAGCATAGGTTGGCAATTGTTACGCACTGAGCGCGCCTTTCTTGGTTTTGCAAACTTACTGGTGCCGGCAACATGGGTCCCATGTGAACCATCATCTTCGCCGCCTGCGAAATTCGCCAGAAACTCGGCACGACCCCTGAACTCCTGTGAATCAAAAATTAGATCCCGTGGATGTAAAGAATACGATAAACACTTACTTCGTGATCGATACGAATGCCCGTATCAAGGACATAAGCACACACGCCTTCGCCGGCAGAAGCTTCATAGACGTATGTGGTGTTGTCTGTGAAGCTCCTAGGGCCCTTGTGGGAGATTCGTCCAAGGCCCCAGGGGGCTCCATGTTGTGATACGTAGTTGCAAGCAGGAAGTAACACATCCCTTTCGACATAGTCGACCTTCGCTGTGGTGTCAGAATTGTTCATATCCCGAGACAAGACTGATGCAAAACGTGTCAATGAACTTACACCTGGATGCGCGCGTACAGACTCAAGAGAAGCATCGTCGAGCTTTCCGGCAAGGCCCTTGAACGAAGTGACATTGTAGAAGTAGTCGACTCCATCCATGAGGCTCTCAACCTCGCTTGCTGTGTCTGTGTTGATATCGTTCTTCAACTTCACAACAAACTTGCCCGGAATAGGCGTGACACTGGGATCTCGGTCCTCGTAGAGAGGTGCCAACGCCGCGGCAGGGCAATTGCCGCCGCAATGGTGAGGAATCTGTTGAAATTCATGGTGGAGGTAAAGTGTTCTGAGTGAGCGAAGTTGACGCTTTCCAGGTAGTCGGACAGGCAGTGATAGAAGATTCTGCAAAAGTTGATGTTGGATATCGTTGGTGTGTTTGTTTTTTGTTTGTTTCCAAACTTCGTGTTGACTCCGGAGGGAGCCTGCCGAGTCTCAAATGGTCCTGGCGTGCTGGAGAGAAAGTGTCTTCCTACTCGGCCTGCGGTGCATCGACCGGTTCATGACCTCGAGGGAAAGAGCTTGGCAGATAGACGGAGAGCTGTGCTAGTGTAGGCCGTGCCCTTCGACCCAATTCTCAACTGCTCGGGGAGGAACGAGCCAGAAACCCCAGGGAAACGCGCAAGCATGCGTCAGTTCAATTGCTTCTCATCCGTAATGGTCATGCAAGGCTTCCTTCCCTTTTTGAAGTAGCTAGGGTCCAGGCCCTCGGTCGAGTCAAGGAACTGTGAAGTCAAGATGTTGGCTGCTAATCACATCGATGCGATGTTTGCCCATGTGATCTTGAAGTAGAGCAATGCAAGAGTTAAACAATTAATTCTAATGATTTTATCAATTGGTTTGTAGCCACCTTTGCTCTTTCCTTGGCCGGAGTGCTCATGCCCCAAAGGTGTCCGCAGAGCAAAGTCCTCGCTGTCCCAACCTTCTCAATCAGTACTTGCTTTCAGCGATCATTCTATGCTACTGCTGAGATTTGAGACGGCTTCAGGTCAACCGTCACTGGTGCACATTCGACGTTCCTGCTCGAGTAAATCTGGCCCAGAGTCCAGTTTGTGTTTTGCCAGGTAGTGTCAGTGCAGTCCAGCGTCAGGTTGACCTGCCCAGAGGCAGAAAACGTGATACTGGATCCACAACATGTCAGCTAGGAGATACTTAGGTGCCGCCGGGAAGGAGAGCATCGGGAAAACTTACGGGTACTGAGGGTCTTGATCGCGACAAACCCACTTTTGGTCGATGACCAGTTCACCAGAGGGTCGGCTGAATGTGAACTTAGCCGGTGCTGGTCCCGGCTGGCCCACTTGTCCATCGAAGGTGCAGTTGTACTGCATGGTGCCGTAGAAGAAATCCGAGAGCTGGCTGCTTGCTGCGTTGCATGAAGCCAGGAGATCCGGCACTGCAGGGTTCGACAGGTTGAAGTTCACATAGCCCCATGAGTTCTGGTGTGCAGGGGTAGTGAAGATGTATGAAGCGTGGTAGTCGAAGTCTTGTACTGTCCATTCGAAGTCGCCGAACGAGGTCTCTGAGCAGCCGGCCGAGTAGTCTCGGATGGCGTTTTCGAGGGGTGTGCAAGCAACACACGCGGCGTAGGCCACGAAAGAGGAGATAAGTCGATACATTATGTCAATCTGCGTGAGAGGGTGGCGAGTAGTGTTTCTGGACGATATGATCAGGTAGTGTGTATTGTAGTAAACTTGAATACTCAATCTTGGGAACTTAGGCCGGTGTGATCATGTCTCGATATGCACAAACTGAACAGACTTTGACAAGAGGATGCGCTTAAATATATTGGCGTCCCTCTCCGCAGCCATCGTGACTCCTACACAAATGAAGAGTGAGCTGTTTGATCTCGTAATGGACGACTGAAGGTGCCTGCATGCGGAAAAGCCCTAGAAGCTGATCTGCCCCCGCCGTGAGTGGCCGGCAGGGTGACGTCGGCCGGTGATCGCTGATGCCAAGGCCTCGTATTCCCTGGCCGCTTCCCAATATTCAACGTCACTTGCGGGATCCCGCTCCCATCCTTTCGGGCTCGTAGCTGCCGACAACGCTTTATGGACATGTCTTAGATTTTTGACTCGTGTCGAATCGCACCTGGCGCTTCTTTCATCGTCGTACGGCCCATGGACCACGCTTGCATAAGTCGCATCACCAACCAACCTGATGGTGTTGTCAAAAACCAGTCGAGTCGCACGGGACCAATGATTCCTGACCGCTAATCTAGTGTACCGCTATCTGTGCCGCCTTCTTCTACGGCGGCCATAGGCACTCTGTCGCTCTGGTACCTGCTGTGTACGGAGGAACCAGGGGCGTTGGTCACACAGATGATCCTCGTAATGGTGTCCCCGAGTTCCGCTGGACCTGCTCTCCGGGTGTCACAAAATGCAGCTGTGGCGAAGCTTTCGCAGTGCCTCTAGCTGACAGCGGCTTAAGTATTGACAATACATTCCTCAAATGTTTCGGCATATCATGGAACGTTGTATTCACTTGATGCCAATTCTTGCCATCGTCCATTTCTCGCCATCGTCCATGTGACGTGCACCCGTGGGAATGGTTCAGGTCGTGATTTCACAGATGGTGATCAATTTCATGCGTGCACCCAACAAATCCCTCGTTGAATATTATCCGGAGCTCATGGACGCCTAATATCGGCGGGAAAGCCATCTATTGTGTCTCATAAAATGTTAGCTGAGAATTGTTGGTTACATAATTCCTAAGGCTCAACTTGAAGTCGCTCCACGATATCGCCGCCGTGAGGCTCCAATCACCACGTCGCCAGGAGAGGGCCACTAACATATTCAATTGCCCCGTCCATATAGGATATTCTTCCAATCGAAGGACCCGAGACAGTCCTCCACCGTGGCCAATTCGTCACCAGTGACGCCGAGGTCGTGCGGATACAAAGTCTTGCCTTCTTGCCCAGCATCAACAAATGCGTCGTCCAGTAACTCATAGTACTGGAACATAGCAGCCTTTTGTGTGGCTACAGACCCCCAGATAGCCTCACTCTCCTGCAGCGATATGTTTGCATACGCCACCTGCGTCTCGTTTCCGAGCTGCTCTTTGACGACTCTATCGAGTGCCTCCACGTCCTGACTCATTGTTGTTCTGTGCGCTTCGCCTACGACCCATCTGTCGTAGCTCCTCTCTCCGCTGCGAAGAATAGCACGAACAAGAATACCAACGTTCTTGCGCTCGTCTCCAATGCTTGAAAATGAGGCATCGGGACGAAGGGGTAGCTTCACAACGAATTTCTTGGCAGATGTCTTGCATCACGTCAGTGAGTGTAGTCAAGGTACCGAACCAGAACTTACCTCGTAAATAGGTACGTATCCTGGATTCTTCAAATTAGATCCATACATTCCGACAGCCAACATCGTAGTCTTCTTGGCGAGCTCCGGCTCGTTGCGGATGAATTGAGCCGCGGCAACTTTGGACTGGAAGTGGTGGATGTGCAATTTGCCATCAGTCCTCTTCCAGCCATCTGGCAGGGTGGACCACACCAGGTGCTTCAGAGTCGTGACATGTGCGAGTGCGTGGGCCATCCTCAAGGCAGTCTTGGACTCTGCCTCCTCCGCGGCTGCAGCTCCCTGGGAGACAAAGACGTCTGGAGGAAAGGCAGTATTTGCGAAGACTGCTTCCGCACCTTCCAGTGCTGCTCGAATGCTGGCCTCTGATCCTATGTCGACCTCGACCACTTCAACCCCGGTTCTCGAGAGCTCCCTGGCTGCATCACTCGATTTGTTAGAGGTGAGCCCGCGAATGTGGTACGCAGGACTGTGGGAGGACTGCAAGGCCGACACCACGCTGCGACCCTGGGTACCAGTTGCTCCGAAGACGGCCAGTACGGGCATTTCTGGGAGAGCCATCGACATCGACATTTAATCTTGTGGAAGTAAGTGGACCTTTGAAAGCTTTGCGACCAAGAGACAAGCACTCAGTCAGGGAGCAACGAGAGCGAAATTCGCACTTCGTTCTCGCAGACTATACATACTTCTGAGCTTCATCTATAATCAACGTCATATATGATGAAAGACTGTATTGTTTATTAATAGCCAGATCGGCTTACCTGATCAGCAGCATAGAGGTCCCACAGAGGGGCCGACTGTAGAACCGCAATACATGAGGCTGATTCGCAGACAGCTGACCCAATTTTGATATGTGTGCTCTGTGTGGGCTTCTTCGTCTCGCTGACCAACACTATCAGTTGGTTGATCTTGTGGTTTGCTAAGTTGGTTGGTAATTATTTATTCGACATTATACAGTTGGTTCCCATTTGGGTCTAGTATTTCTTTCCAATCCCAGAGGCGGGTCAATTTGCTGAAGTGGTCTAATGCAGGGTATGAAAGTTTTCCCTCATTTGTTTGTCATCACCAAATTAGTCAGTATTGTCACTCCATGGCGGCTGACCTCGGGCGCCACGCTCTCCAACGTTTTTCGCGGAGGTCAGGTCCCAGCGAACCAGAAGGGCTTAGATAACCACCGCATACCTAGCTACATTACAAGCTTGAGTTGTAGAGCGCAGTCGGCAGGGCATGTCGTCCTGGACGCAGAGGCTTGTTTTGAAGTGTCTGGGTATAACCTGCAAATAGATATCGAGATACACACAGTAGTAGTGGCTGTAACAGATCAGAGTGCCACCCCAAAACCTCATCCATACCGGATTCGGGTTAGCATGATCCTTTCCTCTTTCCAGCACAGACACAAATCCTGTGGCTGTGCTTTATGCTTTGGAGTATTTGCCTCCCACAAACCAAACTCGACACTCTGCATGGTGTTGCCATATACCTCTTACACACATGGTTTGTATCCTTTTCCTGCGGCTCATGTGCGTGCCAGGGTAATTACGACGCGAGTACATGACATGTCCAATCTGCGAATGTAAATCTTGATGTTTCTGTACCGTCTGCTCGCTGCGGTGGTACCGAATGCACGAACGGCAGAGGTAAATCCCCGAACAAGGGTCTTTTGAGCTTAAAAAAAACCCTGGTGTTTTGACCTGAATTTGTGACACAGTCCACCCTCGGCAGCCGGAACTGCACGTAGCCAAGGATATGGGGGCCACTTTCCCAGTTGCCATTATCTGCCGGCATCAAGGTTAGCAGGGCGCTGGAGTCGATCATCTGGGTATGCTGCAACTGCTATAGCAGGGTTCGCTGAGGAGGTTTTCAAGCCTTTTCCCCGGCATCTGCATGTGGGCAGATTGTCTTTGGTGGTTTGTGATGATTGGTGTATGAATAAGGATGCATGGGAACTCCAACACCATTCAAAACGTCGACAAACTGCTCGTAGTACCTGGGGCACGATTCTGGTTTCCGTTGGGTGGGCGCTTTACTTCTTCGAGAAAAAGCATAGAAGATCTCCCAACATCGAACACAGCAAGATTGGGCAAAGTCACGAACATCAAATGATTAATGCTAGAGTCTAAGAGGGAATGAAAACCTTGGCCCGTTTAGGCCACCAGTTCGAAATCAGCTGAGCTGAGGATGTCGCCGTTGGTTCAGCACGGCTGTTCTCATCTGAAGTCGTCCCCAATCACATCTCACCTGCCCGGCGGCAAAAATTCCCCAAGATTGGGGTGTGGAGGCGTGTGTGAGACCCACCCCCGGCTGTGCACACTGGCACAGCTGCTCGGACACTACACATCCGTGCCAGTGGCTAGTGCTTGGTTTCGTTTGGACTGAAAATTCCACGTTTGGCCCGATGCTTTAGGCCAACGCTTACCCCATGCAAAGTCGGCCTGCCCAGCAGACCCATGCCTGCACACAAGTGCCTGGCGTTTGAGAGTCGAAACGCCGCTGTGCCAGCTGCTGCCAACAATCCAGCAGCCTCCAATCACCACCTTCCCCCCCTGAGTCGGCTTGCGAACAATCCCAACACGGCAGATCTCCCATGGGATAGATTGGGTTCCAAAGAGGCCGAACACATATGTCAGTTGACGGGAGTTTAAAGGTTGCATGGCAATGCTAGCAAGGGGGGCCACAGACGGGGGGGGGGTCAGGAGAAGCGAGCACATCAGCCCAAGTGTGCCAGTGCCAACCCCCCGCCCGCCGAGGATGTTTCACCACCAGGGTCGTCGACAGCAAGCACAGATGCCTTCTGAATCCGGGCCGGCCTGGCTTTTCATATGTTTCTTTCTGCCGCTAGACAAGCCCTTAATGTACTCGGTCCCCAGCAAACCGTGTTTCCCCGGGCCCGCTTCTCTTCTAAGCCTCCGAGCGCTCGCATCACCGGACACGATGCTTCGATTGTGGTGACGGGTTTAATTACGGTATCGAGGATCGATCAGCGTCAGCCGATATTTTATTTTCTGGAGCTCGCCACAGCGGTCGCGACTCATGTCGGCCTGGAGTATGGGAGTCCTTCGACGGCCCCAGGGCAGCTTCATGCCCGCACAACGTCGACAAGAAGGAAACAAGGAGGGACGTGATGAGGATGGAAACGGGGGTGGCGGCGGCGGGGGAGGAGGAGGCGATGGGAAAGGAAATAATGGTGGTGGAGGCAACGGCGGAGATGGGCAGCGAGGCGGAGGTGAAGGCCAGTCAAGACCCGACGGCCCTGATCGACAAGGCCCTCCACAGGACGGCGGCCCAGATCGACAGTCTTCCAACGGCGGTGGAGGAGGGGGACAGGGCCCCGAGGGAGGCAACGGTCAGGGAGAGGGACGAGGTCAAGGCCAAGGCCAAGGCCAAGGTCAAGGACGGCCGCCATCCGCACAAGGTGGCCAAGGTCCCGATGCTGATCGACAACGAGACCAGGTCAACGGACCACCGAACGGAGGGCAGCCGGGAGGTCAACAAGACCCAAACCGGAACCAAGGCGGCGGTGGGAACCAAGGGCAAGGCCAAGGCCAGGGGCAGAATAATCAGAACGGGAACCAGAATCAAGGCGACCGAGGACAAGGCCAACAGAATCAGGGCCAGAAAGGGCAGGGCCAACAAAACCAAGGTTCGAACCAAGGCCAGAACAACAACAACAACAACCAGGGGCAGAACAACAACAATCAAGGCCAGAATAACAATAACAACAACCAAGGCCAGAACAACAACAACCAAGGTCAGAATAAGGATGGGAATCGAGGTCAAGGCCAGCAGAACCAGAACCAGGGACAGCAAAACCAGGGCGGCAATAGGGGACAAGGACAGACGCAAAACCAGGGGCAGTTTCCGGACAACAACAACAACAACAACAATAACAATAATAATAATGGCAACAACAACCAGTCCAAGTCAGAAGAGTCTACGTCGACGACCCAGGAGCAGACTTCGACTGCCGAGCAGACCACGACGTCCACCCCCGAGGCCCAGCCGACAGAACAACCTCCTCCTCCTCCCCCTCCCGCCCCGGAAGCGCCGCCCCTGCCGCCACCACCGCCGCCTCCAGAACAAACTACGACCTCTACGACTTTGACGACGACCTCTTCGACCTCGAGCACACCTGCAGCATCGACCAGCACGACGCAGCAGCAACAACAACCGGCGGCTTCTTCACCCAGTACCTCAATAGTACCTCTGGCTGCCCAAACCCAGGTCTCACTCTCACCACAAACCACTCCTCCACCTGTGCCACTGCCCGTCGTCGTGCCGACCCCGGCTGGCGGGTCCCCGATTGCTGAGCTGGCTCCCCCACCGTCTCTGGCATCAGTACCTATACAATCTGCGGTAGCCAACAATAATGATACCTCCTCACCTGGACCTGTCATGTCATCTGGAAAGATGGCAGGGATAGCTGGTAAGTTCAGTAATGACTCTGGATATCTGAGCAGTTGGCTGACTTGACTTGATAGTTGGGAGCGTTTCTGCTGTAGCAATTATTGGCACTTTAATTCTGATCCTGTTCCGTCTCAGGAGGAGAGGGTATCTGCGATCTTTCAAGCGGCCATTCAAGAGCGCCCGAAGTGGGCTCACGGGACGCGCCAGGAGGCTTCCAAGCCGCACGTCTACCCCTGAGCCAGAAATGAGCGAGACGCGCATGTCCGCTGCCGCACCCCCAGCAGACAGACTGAGCAGGGCCCGGTCGCCGTCTGCATGGGATTACGACGACGATGATGACAGATCAGCCTCCCCTTCGATCCTCGAGAGGCCGCTGCCAGTCATCCAAAAGTCCTTGAAGGGCCTGGTCGGCCGCGGCGGAGCAAAGCCAAGGACCGCGGAACGAGACTTGGACGGCTTCTTCGTCGGGAGCACGCTGTCCCCGGTACCCGAAGCTCGGTCGGTCATGTCACAGACCACCGACGCAACCCTCGTAGTACCGCCCTCGCCCGTGCTGCAAGGCACCGAGTCGCGCGAGCCCCTGGCGCAACAGCCCGAGCCTGCAGCTTCCGTCAACTGCCCGGTGCAAAAGCTGCAGAACAAGCTCCGCCTGCACAACTCCACCGACCCGCGCCCATGTACGAAACACCCCGGCCACCAGGCAGCAGACCGAGGCAGCGTCTCATCCGTGTCGTCATGCACGACGTGCGGCGGCTCGTCGCCCAGGGAAAGCCGCTTCTCTTTTGCCTTCCTCCTGCAGCCACCCCTGGACTTGTTCAAATCCAAGGGAGGCTCTTCGGATGATGACAGCAGGAAGTCAGGCTGGTCGTTGTGGTTCAGGACCGAGGATAGCAAGAGGGACAAGCCGGAACCAAGTAATATGCAAGAGAAGAAATGAGAGGCTCGCTGGCGTGTCCATGGAAACAGTGTCTGATTGTAAAGTACCAATGACATATAGTTGTGGAGCCGACACATTCAAATCATCGAAGTCGTTGTTAAGCGGCTTGGATTCAAATTCAACAGAGCCTCACCTGCGAACAATTTGTTGTGAATCAGCGCCTTAGAAGACCAGTGTACCACTTGCGTAATACCTCTGCCCAATTACACGCAGAAACACTTTCCTTGGGAATACGAAGATTCGTCCCTACAAAAACGGAGGGTACACCGGTACATCACTTGCGCCACAGCTGAAGCCCATCACCTAGGCCTAATTCGCACACCTATTACACCACACACCTAACACCTTACACACCCAATTTATTGTACCTAATTTACACACTTGATTCATATACCTTTTGTGTAAATTGGGTGTGGGTGTTCTGTGTGCGAATTCTCACGCGGTTTAGTGCTGGCGATGTGCCCTCCGTTTTTGCAGGTGCAAATCTCTTATTTTTCTCCTTGGGGGGTTTTACCTGCTCCTTCACAGGCCTGGAACGGTAAACAGGGCTTGTGCACGAGACCTTGAGCTCCATGGGACTAGGCCTGGGCTGGCTTCCCAACCTGGTAGGGTGAGTATATGACAATCCCGGCCGATACCACGGGGTCACCGTCGCTTTATTGACAACAAGGAAGCCCCAGCTGGGTGGAAGATTGGTGTTTCCGAACGCGATAAGAACGCGATGGAAGACGCGCTCCATTATTCCTGGTATGCCCGGGGACATGGAGTCAGCGTACGCCCACCCAGCTTCTACAGTACGCCCACCTAGCTTCTAGCGTTGGCCCACCCAGTATAAGGAAATTAGCTGTATGCGCTATAAAACATTAGTACTGCGGGGTTCCCAATAAGCTAGGGTAGCTATTTTTTAATTTAAGCAATACTTTAAAAATATAAGCCTAAAAACCCCAGAGCGCCCAGGAGCCCCCAGAGCCCCCAGAGCCCCTAGAGCGCCCAGAGCCCCCAGAGCGCCCAGAGGGCCGCAGAGCGCCCAGAGGGCCGCAGAGCGCTAAGAGGCTGCAGAGGGCGCTAGAGGGTGCAGAGCCCCAAGAGGCCGCAGAGGGCGCTAGAGGCCGCAGAGGGCGCCAGAGGGCTGCAGAGGGCTGCAGAGGGTGCAGAGGGTGCAGAGGGTGCAGAGGGTGCAGAGGGTGCAGAGGGTGCAAAGGGTGCAGAGGGCAGAAGTAAACTTTAAGTTGCGAATAAAGGGTTAGCTATAAGACCCCTTTAGGATAGCTATAAGACCCCTTTAGGATAGCTATAAGACCCCTTTAAAATAGCTATAGCTTTGCTAACTTAGGAACCCCGCAATACTTGCATTTTAGTGCGGATGCAGCTAATTTCCTTGTACTGGGTGGGCCAACGCTGGAAGCTGGGTGGGCGTACTGTAGAAGCTGGGTGGGCGTACGCTGACTCGGGGACATGCTGCATTCAGGCCGGCACAGCTTGCTCCGGCGGAAGTTGACGTAGGATTTATACTTTCTTCACGGCGAATACAGCTCGGCATATCGAGACGGACCATTCACGCAATGTCAAAGCCGGAACAGGTGAAGCCGACCAGGAGCTGCTCTAAGGTAGAAGAAACGTTCACAGTCACGTAAGGTTAGCGAATGAGAAGCAAGGTGATCGTGAGAAACGTACACTGGCTACGACAGTGCATGCAGTGGGCTGGTGGCACCTGAGCAAACACTTCAAGGATGGATCAAAGAGTTTTCAGCCCATTTGGCCACTCTGACGGTGAGCGGATAATTATTCTCGTTTCCCGCGTGAATTTTCGTAGGCTGGCTGAGGGCACTGTAGTCTGTGGGAGACTCCCACGCGAATTTGATGCGAATGTTGAAACAACAGTCAGTTTGAAACCCCTATTCATAGCATTCACGAAGCCAGGGTAGTGCTTGGCAAATATGGCAAGTAAGGCCAGGCACGATGTCGTGCTCAGCGGCCACTCAGAATGAGAATCATGAAGACAGTGAACAGTGGGATGTCATTGTCGCCACAGGTGTTTCTAAACGGAAGCCGCTATCGGTCTCGCTCGGCTGCAAGGACAGACTTTCCAGCTCTAGGCGTCTCGGCCAGAGAACCATGGTTATAATGGCGTGCTAGTCAAATAGCGGACGGAGAGCTATAGACCAGGCGATATTGTTTAAGACTGCAGAAGAGTGTGCAGTGGGAGGCACTCCGTGGTCTTCCACTTGTATGAAACTTACACCGTTATCGAAGACTTTTGAGCAGGATTGAGAAAAAGTTTCGCAGACTTTTCCTCCAAAGTCAACCGCGTCTCGCTGCTCCCTGTTGGCACACAAGCAGAAGAAGACAGGGGATGGGGGTATGGCTGGACATGATTTGTGCTAACCGGGTTACCTAGAGATCTGGGGACTTCTTTTTGTTGATTTTTGTGTTGGGGGAGAGTGGAATATACCCGCCATTAGCACAGCTCCATGTCCGAATGGTAACAGCTCTAAGAGGTACGGAATGTTTGTAGGCGACGCGAGGGAATGAGGATCTTGGATTAGCTGCAAATGTGTCCGCACATCTGTCAAGTCACGGATGGAGTGGCGGAGAGGGTAGCTGTTGCCATGGGCCATCGGGCAAGTCGAATTCACATTGACAAGAGGCAGGATGGTTCGATTGACTTTGGTTTTGTTCCGCGTCATCATAGCTAAGACACTAACTGACATTAAGCCCTTGCCCTCGTTACTCATAAATTCATGCATCGGATCCTATTTACAATAAATGACTAGATCCGGAGCGAAGCGATATTCTCCTTGATAAAGGCATAGGTGTCACTCCTGAAATCATCAGCCAGGTAGTTTTGCGACAAGGCGTAAAACTGGACGAGCTGGTTCCCGTTCCCGGTGTCTTTCCACTGCGGCCAGTTCGGGTAACTCCCGTAACCGACGTTGGGGTCGAGGTTGTACAAGAAGTTGTAGTAGTATGTCCGTATACTCCTCGCAGCGTAGTTGTCGTAGATCCCGAAGAACACCTGCAGCAGGTCGCTCCCGTGGAATGTGCCCAGGAAAGGAGTTCCGTAGTTGTAGCTTGCCAGGTAGCTCCATGATGGCACGCTCGGGTTGGCGGCGTTTGTATTCTCGAGGAAGCCCCGGCGAGAGAGTGTGAAGACCAGATCACCGAGCAACGCGGATATCCGCTTGAATTGAGGGTACACCTCATTGAGTATTCCGGTCCTGAACGGCGATCCTTGAGTGATGTCCTGAGGATATGTCTCGAGCAGGGCAGTCAATTGCGCAGTCGAGGCACTCTTGAAGTAATAAGTCGCCAGGTACTCCAACAGGTCCTGAGTCGTCGTCAAATTCGAGGTGAAGAGGGTGAATATCGTGCCCTCGTCCTCTTGGTCACCGTTGATCATGGGCACTGCGGCGTATCGACCTTGAGCCGCCAGCACGTCAGGGCTGTCAGGGAGCACAGTGCCATCCGGCCTTGGGAGGTATGACAGAGCCACGGATTGGTATCCAAGGAAGCCTGGGACCGAATTGGCGGCGTCCAGGAACTTTTCGTACGGAAGAGCCCGGAGACACGCCAGTGTGTCGCTCGCTCCAGAGCAGCCTCCCTCGCTCACAACGGTGTCATAGATGACCTGTCCCTTTGGGCAGTCCACAGGGTCCGCAGGTACGATGCTGCCAGAGTCCATGATGGCACCCCGGAACAATGGCTTGCCGTTGTAGGTGTTATCCCCTCCGTATAGAGCCATCTGGTCAAAGACACTGATAGCCCCTGCGGACTCGCCCCAGAGTGTCACCTTGGTCGGGTCGCCTCCAAACGCCTCGATGTTGTCAGCTACCCACTCCAGAGCCAATCTCTGGTCAAGAAGACCCAGGTTGGAAGAGCCATCGGCCAGGATCTCCTTGCCGGGCATAAAGCCGAATCCAGCAACGCGATAGTTGACCGCTACAAAAATGTAGGGCTGATCTTGGCTGATGGCTTGGTCAAGCAGGTCTGTTCCGTCGTACATGGCAGCCCATCCAAGCTGTCTTTTGGTCAGTATTTCGGCAACAAAATTCATGTGTGGGTGTTTGCCTTACCTCGAACGCGCCCCCAAAGATCCAGTACAGAACCGGCAATTTCGCACCGGCCTCCACACCTGCCGGGCGGATGACGCTGACCGTCAGGCAGTCCTCGCTCTGGTTTGTTGCAGCCTGGATGATGGGCAGGGTGACAAGATCACCAAGGATCTGGAGGAACAGGCTCTGGTTCTCGCCAGTCGACACAAGCATCTGTGGGCAGGCCGCTGCTGGGTTGATTGCATCATACGCATCGCCAAGGTTGGTTGACAACTTCTTGGGGGGCTTGAGTCGTAGGGACCCAGTGGGTGGGTCCGCAAACGGGATACCTGCAAACTTTTCAACCTTGCCGCTCGCCAGCCCAACAACGGTGTTGGACGGGGAGAGGACGACAGTCGGCGAGACTGCTCGTCCGTCGACCACGGGAGAAGAGCCCTGGCGAGCTGGCAGGGCCAGGACGCAGGCCGCCAGAGAGGCCCAAGCCGAGATGGAGAGTGCCTTCATGTTGCTCTGGGTTGACCGACTGAAGGAATTGCAAGAAGCTACCAGTCGAGGATGCTGGAGTCAGGCCGGCGCGCGAGACAAGTTCACCACGGCGAGACTGGCAGTGCTTCAGCCGAGAGCCATCGTGGGAAACAGAGAGGCCTAGCCGCCCATTTTATCTGCAAGATTGCTGATCGGATTGGTTCCCCCCCGACGCCGAGGCGTCTCTCCACATCTGCGGACGGTGATCATGCATAGCCGTGTGAAATGTACACCGTCTCTGCATGGGAATGCAATAGATTCCCGATTCGAGGTGCCCAAAAAAAGACCAGCTGACTGTCAAAGTGAATGGGCGTATCGACAATACGGGCGTAGTCTCCGGGTGCCACGCCGGACCGTTGCCCCTTTCGGGCAGGCTATCTGCCACGCTGCTTAGATCTCTGCAACGCTGCGCCGGGGAATGCGGGGATCCCAATTCAATACCCCGTGGGGTAGCAGAAGAGTACATGGGCCGCACAAGCTTTGAGTCCGGCGTGCCGGCACGAAGTTGCTCTGTAATTTCCCACAACGGCATATGCAGCAGGGGCTCGCCGGCAGTCGATATGTCCATGTCCTCATCAGAATTGTTGCGGAACAGGCAAGGTAAAAGACAGCACGTTGCACCCATAGGAAAAGGGCTCACCGAGGGTGTTTTGGTTGAATTTGGACGCCTGAAGGACTCGGGCGGATGGATTAGACTCGACCCTACCACGCGTTTCCCGTCCGCTCCGGCCAGCCCACACAGCCTGACAGCTCGTCAACGGCGCCCGGATACGACAGTCGATCAAGTGTGTGTGCCTGGAGCGGTCAAGGAAAGACGGACATGTGAAGATCTCTCATCCAAAGTCTCTGCAAATCACGACTAGACCTCGGCAGTGGAGAGGTTCATCCAACCTGACGTGCCACACCTTCTTGATAGTTCGGGCTGCCGGGCAGATCATGCAGGCCACAGCCCCACATACGTTGGAGTCCTGGCGCCTAGCAGACAAGATGGGGGGTAAGCAAGCTTCCAAGCTTCCTCCGCTGGCAAATGGGGGCCGGATGAGCTTGCCGACAGGCACAGCTAAGCGGGACGGGCGGGTTTGTCGAATCATGACCGCCGCCTCAAATCAACATCATTGCAAGCCATCCCCCGGGGCGGCTGGGTTAACCCTGAGAGGGCTGGAGAACGTGAGGAGACGAGTTCTCGAGAACCTGCGGGGACGGTGAGTCTGGATGGGGCTTGTTCAACGTGATCCCCACCTTGGGCCTCGAATTAGTCTATTAGACTTCGGTGACAGTCTTGCGCGAAGGCTTGTTAGTGTTGCTCGACACCGGTTTTAGCATCCCGTGTCTGGGTTCAGGTCAGATATTCCCCTGGCTGCCCTGGTTCCTGCGCGTAGTGCTGCATGGGTGCGCGGGCATGCGGCTGGGAGTGCACAACACCTCCAAGGTCAGCGACGATGCGGGGAAGTGGCTTAAATGCGGCGGCCAATACTTCCTGTTCCAGCGTCGACACGTCAGCTGACTGGCTGTGTTTACCGAGCGCGTCCGTGAAAAGACATAGTCTATTTGAATCATTCACAAGACAGGTTTGCAGATCATCTGAGTAGCGAATCTCGTCCACAACCTTGCGAGTCGTATTCGTATGTTCCGAGCAGCTCCAACTTGCGTCCGAAACACCAAGCTGCTCGCCGGGACTAGCAGGTCACGGTATGACACCCTCTCAGAGGGATGTAGTATTGTCGATGCGACGGAGGTAGAAAATGGCATGTGACAGTGAACATATTTGGTATTCAAATTCGAAAATGTGCGGGAGATTCGTAGCTTCGGGTGCATCCTCCGATCCGCGTTGAGCGAGTGCACTTCTCGTCACAAACTTCGCCTAGGCGAGACCAATGCGCTCAGAGTACTTTCCACACTCTGAGCATGAAATGAAACAAGGCGATCGAGCGGCTGGAAACTCCATTCTGAACCGCGTAAAATGTGCATATTGTCGCAGGCCTCTTGGGAGATAGCTGACACAGAATACGTACTCCTCTTTGCCAGCAATGAGAACGCATGTTTGGAAGCACGCTTCAACGCTTCCGCCGGCAAACACACACTACACGTTCGGACATTATGTGCCAGTATATTGCATCTGTAGTATGACATATTCAAAAGCATTAGCTCCAAGGTATCAGAGCATCGGGAATGGCACTACATGTGGCACAACGTCCGAGTGGCACGCCGCACGCAATATATTCTGCTTAGCTGATGAGGAGGTTCTGACACGAACACGAAGGATAAAATGTTATCCCACAGGAAGGTGCACCAGACGAGCCTTGGAAGTTATCCCAGAGTCGACTACCCCAGAGACCATTATCCCAGAGACCATTATCCTAGAGACCATTATCGCAAAGGCGACTACCCCAGAGGCGACTGACCCAGGGATAAGTATCCTAGAGACGACTACCCCAGACATAATGATCCTAGAGATCATTACTCCAGATGAGATTATCCTACAGGACAATATCCCACAGGAGACAGTTCCACAGAGGCTAATACACCTGCGCCAGAGGTCATCCCATAAGAGGCTAACCCAGACGATTCTCCCCACTAGAAGCTATCTCACAAGAGGGTGTTGCTCCAGCAGGTCATCCCACCGAGGATCGGTCGGCTCTGAAAGTAGCACTTCGCAATATATGAGGGGTCTGGCAGCAAAACTTTTAACGAGCTGACACCACCATAACATGTGACTTCGGCCGACGTGGTAATGTGACACACAATGTGCCAATCTTGCTCCTTCGCTCATGAGAACAGGTCTCTTTGTACGTATGCAGTGTTGTCTGGGGCAACAGATCATGTTTCATTCGCCTTTAGGAAAGCTAGTCCGTAATCAGACCGGATTCAGACGCTTCCCAGAAAGGCTCAGCGCAGAGTGCCGGTAAATATGATCAAAACAATCTCAGCAATGACCTCAGCCTGCTCATGTGTCTTGAAAATTCGCATATTCTCTCTGTCTATTATACTAAGTATGTAGTCTGTGTGTATCCACTGTAAACCTGCCAGACCTGTCGTTGCGCTGGGTATCGAGCTGTGAAAGCCTTCCTTCCATACGTGAGGCCCGTGAAGGCCGAAGTATTCCTCAAGTACGTCTCCACACCGAAAGAGACGTGCCTGCAGATGGTCACATGCCAGAGCAGCCGTGTCAGAACCCCTCTTCTTGATATGTGTCTTGTGTTTGTCGTTGCCGCGGCTGTGTTCGCTTCCTAAATCAAAGCTGGTCCTGAACGTGCTTATGATCGAGCTTTGGGGAGTCGCTGCTTGCCCATTCCTTGCAAAGCCGAAATGTCTTGAGCAGCCGGAATGCTGCTTGCCTCTGCTCCGCCTGGGGAATAGGCCGTCAGTATGAAGTTCTCCTGTGTTCGTACTTCCAGGATTTTTCTTGTCTCACCTGCTGCTCCCTCTCCAGCTCCAGCTCCTCCCTCTCCAGCTCCCGCACCACCTTCTCCAGCTCCAGCGCCTCCTTCGCCAGCGCCAGCACCACCTTCCGCACCTCCAGCACCGCCTTCGCCGCCGGCAGCACCGCCTTCGCCGCCGGCAGCACCGCCCTCGGCGGCTCCTCCCTCGGCTTCTCCGCCAAACGATATCTCTCCATCACCGACCACCAAGGCAGGAGAGTAAGCGCCAAGGTTGATATTAAGGGGTGCGCCTTGGGTCAGCCACGCAAGTGCGCCCAGGTAGAGGAGGATGCTGCGAGTATACATCTTGTGGGGTTTGGCTGACGAAAATGTGGGTATATGTGGGCTTATTATAATGTAGGAAGACGCGGTAATGAGCGGTTCCAGACCAGCTTGTAGACTTGAAGAAGAGAAGAGAATGACAGGATAGAGGTTGAGGATAATTGAAGCAAGTTGGGACGAGGGAACACTGGGGATCTTTATCAAGGACCCATCCGTTGAAACATCGCGGGCCAGTTCAAGGATGTGTTGCCTCAAGTGGGCTCGCTCGTGCTCCCACGGGGCTCCAAGGCCGGGGTGGCTGCGTGGGAGCGGTGCTAAGGGTGTCCAAATCGAGGTCCGTGAAGACAGTCCGGTGAATCAGTCAGTGTTTGACACCCTTACGAAAAAAAGTCTTGGAAAGAGGCAAGAAACAGGAACGCCTGGGCTCCGAGACCAGATGGTGCCGAAAAGTTCTGGGGAAGGACTCTGCTCAGACAGCTTGGCGGACCTTGGCTGCAGTCAACTTGGCGATCCAGCGCCCCGGGTGTCTGACCGACCTCCGGAGAGCCGACGGAATGGGGCCATGTCAAGCATTGCTATATGGCCTTTGCTACCAACCCAGCCGAGTCATTCCTTGTAATGGTGGTAGCGACGATGCCAAGAGCAGTTTTGCCAGCCTTTATGCTGACTCAAGTCCAGACGCCCAATTCGCCTCCCAACCAAGGTCAAAGCATCAATCAATCACGGTGCTGCAAAGCGCCGCGCCTCCTTAAACAAGACACCCGCGCCCGACACTGAAGCATGCCTAGTATCCTGCAAAAGAAACTAGAGCTGTATACGCGCCCATTGTAATCTGTTCCCGTCACCTAGGCCAAAGCATGTTCATCACCCGAGAGTCTGGATCTTGAAAGATCAGCTTCGTCTGAACTACTGGGCCCAAAAATATCTCAAGAGCGGGCCAAGAGTCCTCACGTTTGGGCTAGCCGGCAGGGATCAGCGGACCTGGCACTGTCCGAGACACGACTCCCGGGCGTCGAGCCTCACAAATCTCGACGCCCACAATTTTTTTGCTTAATCGCGGCCAAGCTTTCGCATAAAGCTAGGCTGCACCTCTGGAGGATAACCAAGAGTTTCGCCTATGATCTTGTCACTTCCAGAGTCGTCCGGGAGATCTCGCCAAGTCATGACAGTCGCTTCTGGCCGTGTGGAGGCATTAACAAGCCTTGGCCGCCGCGTCCCACAGACAGTGGCGAATCGGGGCGACTCAGCTGCAACCTGAGCTCAGGCCGTTGTTAGTCTCTACCTTTTCCGCGCCCAAAAAGTTTGTTGCGTTCAAGAACAGTTCTGTTCATGCGTTGTGGTGAACTAGCACGTTGCTTGTCTAGTACTTTAAACGTTAGCTTGACAGGAAGCCTAAATTTAGAGCCTTAGTGAGTAACACCGTGCATGTCAGAAAACACAGGGCAAGCCTGCGACATGAACCAGGAGCCAAGGCCTGGTGATTTGGCCAGAAGACTTGGTCAAAACGATTATATTTACTCTCGTCTCACGATGAACAATGGACTTGTTAGTTGCAGGTGCAAGCGTGGTTCTCAGCCCTGTGAGGGTTCTGGACCACGGACGCTCTCATGCTTTCCTCGACAACGCGAAATCCTCAATCATCGTTGTGAGCCAACGTGCGAGGACTGGCCCAGGGTCGGATGAGCGGAATTACTGATTGCTCTATTCTTATTCACGGGCCAGTTGATTCCGTAGGCTTTGGCGCGTATAGCTAGCTACTCACGGCCAGATCTCGGAGAGCGTTCGTCGACTGCTCGCATGCGATTCCGGGTGCTCACTGTCTAGATCGCAGGGATCCAGAAGACTGGGGGAAAGCTTGATCGTTCTGTGGGATCAACTCTTACAAGTCGACAAACTGGGATAACTAGGTAAGCACGTGTGGAAATTCCAGCTATGGGTTGGATTCAGTGGACATTGGCGCTGTTCTGAAAGTGCCTGGAGACTCTTGTATGTACTCTCATAGTGTTTGAATTGTAGATTATTGTCGCTTCCTGCCTCGATGTTGAATCTTGACAGTGTAAGCTTAAAAGAGCCGTCCTGCTTTGTGAAGGCTTTGGATCCATAGTTGCTCGTGGCTATGTATATATGATATTCTTGCGGGCTGGAATGTTTTCTGACTTCTCTCGAGACAAATATCTTACAAAATGGAGCCCGAGGATGATGCGTCTATGCCATTTACTATTCATGTTGGTTATGGTGCTTAAAACACCTCCTATTGCATCTGATATCTCAAGCTCGAGGTTGCCACATGTGAAGGCTAGACTTGGAAGTAGAGACAAAGTGCTTGTTCCTAAATGACAGCTGCTGGCATTCCTTTCATACAAAGTACCCCGAATAGCCTGTACAGAGGGCTACAGTGCAACAGTGTACTCCGTCTCGCGGAACGCCGTGTGCACAAAAGGCAGTCTCGAACTACCAGGAAGGAGTAACCGCTTATTGATTCACAATGGCCCATACCTCACATTCATAGAGTATGTCGCTTTTCGCCAGACTCGCGACTCCCACGACGGTGTCTGGAGGTCGGTGACCGTCAGCAGTCTTGTCCATGAATTCCATCCACAATCCCCCCCAACCGCGATCGACCACGTCCAGACGATCAACTTCTGCATTGCCAGTCTCCTTGACGATGTAGTGCTTGACCTGGTTGAAGCCCGTTGGTCAATACCTGCCTGCAGGTCAAGTGGGACGAAGACGAGAACAGGGGGACAGACGCTCTTACTTGAACAATGTCGCGAGGGGTGGCACCGGCAGCAGCAAGGGCCTGGCGAATATTCTCGTACGCAATAGGGGCTTGTTCTTGGACTGTGCGTGGGTTATCCGATCTTGCGGGGTCGCACCCGGTCATCCCAGCAAGCGTGATGAGTCGGGATGACGGGAGGAGAGGGGTCACCGCGACTTGACTGTACGTCGGAGGCGGCGCCCACACCCCTTCCGGGTTGAAGGTGCGCGGCTTTGTCGAGTCGACGTTGCTCGTCATGTCGATGATACTTGGGTTTGCCTCTGGTCACTTGCTGATTCGTCCTGGAGATCTCTGTCGGTGGGGTCGAATCTCAGGTGGATGCCCACTTTTTATGAACGGCTTGCGCCAAGCTTACGAATCGGGCTCGATTACGCAACCTGCACATTGCACCAAGAAACCCCAGGTTTGCAATAGTGTTGGGCGGCCCTTTGATCCGGTCTATGCTTGCAAATACGAGCGAACTCGCGTATCTCCCGGGGATTTTTTTTTTTTTTTTTTCTAATTCGCTGTAGACGATGACTTTGCATGTAGGGAGCCGTGAGACGTCTGTAACATCAATGTCTGTCTACCCAGATGTATTGTCACGGCCACATACACGTATTTTGCCACCGACGAAACAGTGCCACGCTTTCTTGTCAGTCCTTGTCTTCCAAGTAGATAGAAATGGCAAATCAAAATACGGAGTTCATCCGACTTGAAGATCGCCCTCGGCCGGGCAATTTTGGATCTGCCCGTCGTGGGGAGGGCCGCGTGGCAATACGGTTCAAGCATCAACTCGCTGGAACCCTTCCGGGTTCGATAAGGGGCAGGCTCAACTGATCCAATAGTGAAATTGCCGTGGTCCCTGGATTTTGTGCCAAATATTGAACTTCCCACGTCCATGGGTCCTCCCAACGCCGCAATTCTGGGCCCGAAGTATCGCGTCCTGTGGGTCCAGCCGTGTTCATCCATTGTAACAACACAGCCCCCTTGCGTACAACGTCAAAGTCATCCTAGCATGCTGGCCTACTTGGCATCTGCTATCCCAGAGTGAGCCCAGGTAATGAACGTGGATTTGTTGTACTTGAGTAGTGGACATTTGATGGCCTACTAGTATTGAGACCTCACTGACCACATCGTACAGAACGTGACGGCCGATCACTTACTTGCATACGCTCTGTTGGGAGAGTGCTCTTCGTAAGCTCTCCGGACAGCGGCACACCAAGCACAGGCACACACCAAGGCAGGGTTTCGGTGCTGACGAAATTCGTGCCGGATTGTGGGCGGATAGGAGAACATCCACCTTCAAGTCAGTAATAGCACGTTGCAAAGCCCGCATCGTCTTGTTGGCCTGCAAGATGTCTTGCAGCGAGAGCATACCACAATATAAGGACAGATCCACACTGTCATGCCTTGCATTCAATCTTTGGGTAGACTGCAACCGCCTGCACTCTCGTTGCCCGAATTGGCAAATACATTCATTTTTCGTATTTTTTTTCTCAGCTGCATTCACTCGCTATGTTTCTGTCATTCACTCACGTTGCCCTTTCTGGGCTTCTTGCGGTCTCTTCGTGTGCCCACGCACACCTCATACCTCGGCAAGACACTGAGACGTGTACCTCACTCAACCAAAGAAAGTCATGGTACATACATTGCACTCCAATTTTTAGCAGAATGATTCGTCTGACTTCTCTTCCAGGACTGCCCTGACCAACGAAGAAAAGCAAGCCTATATCGAGGCTGAACTGTGCCTTATTAGCTTGCCCCCAAAGACTGGCACAATTGAGGGTGCCATCACGCGATGGGATGAGCTTCACTACTCGCATATAGTCCAGACAAATGTGGTCCACGACACCGGGTCTTTTCTGCCATGGCACCGACTGTACATGCGAGCACACGAGATTCTCTTGCAGACCGAGTGCAACTACACGGGTGCGCAGCCATACTGGGACGAGTTGTCAACCACCGAGGCCATCGCTGCCGGAATTGCTTTCAATGAGTCCGCATTGTTTGATCCTGATACCGGATTTGGTGGCACTGGCACCGGTGATGACCTTTGTGTGACAGATGGTCCGTTTGCCAATCTGACCCTGCACATGAACCGCACGAGCAACTACGCCGATTACTGCCTCAGCCGAGATTTTAGTCCGACATCCATCCAGAATGGCAATAGCACATATGTCGATGCATGCTTCGCATCTTCCAATTACTCTGAAGCCTGGCAATGCTACAAGTCCAAGCCCCACATCGCTGGCCATGCAGCCATAGGCGGAACGGTGAGTGTCTCTTGCTCCCAGTTTATTCGCTATGTCATGCTTTAGGGTCTAATGAACTTTTACAGATGCTGGATGGATCGGGGAGCCCTGGAGATCCACTGTTCTTCCTGCACCATACCAACCCTGATCGACTCTGGTGGGAATGGCAGCAAGTCAACCTTGCAGCTCGATCGACAGATATGACTGGCCGCAATGTGCCTCTGGCAAACTTTCTTCTGACGAATGAGGTTCCGTATCCCAGCGCCGCCGTCCTGGACTATGATGGAGACCCGGGCAACACGACAACTCTGAATCACACACTTTGGATGGTTGGGATCATCCCGAACGCTACGATTGCAGATGTGATGGACTTTGGTGGAGATCTCATTTGCGCTGAGTATGTTTGAGGACATGAGATTGAGACTCATTTGACGAGGATTGTACACGCAAAAAGTTTGCCGAGTGGAATGGCTTAGCGGAAGTGATCCCATAAATTAATTGGACCTTTTCATGTAATATGTGCTACGCAAATCATCCCACAGACCTGGTTTTATGGACTGTTTTCATAGAAAGTCATCTGGGTAGAGACCAGATTACAAGGAAGGAAATCAACACCCATGGACTTCATAATCAGTAGCCTATACTGAGTATCATATTCATATTGGTATCACAGCATACAACCGGTTATCCCACAGCAGGTTATACTACAGCTGGTAACTTTTGGCTCATCATCCCACAGCCGGTTATCTTATGGCCTGCTATCCCAAGACTGATGTTGCCTTGGCCTGGTGACCTGCAGTAGCTTGTACCACAGTCAATTTTCCGATATCCCACAGTCGATTTTCCTGCTGTTAATTACCCAACAGCCGATTATTCCACAGCCAACTACCCCACATCCCACAGTCACATATCCCAGTGTGAATTATCCCATAGTCAATACCCCACAGCTACTATCCCACGGTCACTTATCCCATATCCCATAGTCCATTGTCCTACACTTAATTATCCTATAGTTAATTATCCCATAGTTAATTATCCCATAGTTAATTATCCCATAGTTAATTATCCCACTGTCGATTATCTCTCTGTCGATTATCTCTCTGTCGATTATCCCTCTGTCGATTATCCCTCTGTCGAGTATCCCTCTGTCGATCATCCTATGTCCCCTAGCCGACTATCCCTCTGTCGACTGTCCTGCTGTTGAGTACCCTGCACTCGAGTGTCTAACCGTCGATTATTTCACGAAGAGTACCTGATGCAACGATTGCGGAGGTGATGGACCTCGGCGGGGATCTCATATACGCTAAGTATGTCTGAGGTTCTGAGATCGATCTTTCTCAATAAGAGGAGTGCACAACGAACTTCCCGAAATGAACAACCTTATTTTGCTTAATATAACTTGCAACTGGCAATTCCACGGCCATACATTCCACAGCATGTTGATCACTGCAATAGTTCCTCATTAGTTGATCCTTACAGTTGTCCTTATCATTTTGAATCATCTATAATTTGTGCAGGGCGGGTGGGAAATAGGAAAGTTCACCAAGTACGTTAGGCTGGAGGGACGGTAGACAGACAAAACTTTTTTTTAAGATGCCGAGCTCAGAATTGATCATTTTCCGCTAGATTCAACCGATTTTACTCAAATACTGAGGATAAGAAGGTTGAATCGATGGTTGTTAGTTTTAAAGGCGAGTTCCACAGCAAAACGGCGAGTGGGCAAGTCGCAGTTCTAGGCGCAAACGCTCCCGCGAATTAAGAAAACAAAGTCATCGTATTATAATGCGTCTGTTCAGGGAAAAGAACGCATGGGTTGTTTATTGTTTAGAAATGGGAGCTGTCTGGTCCTATTTATATCTTGCCCTATTTATGTCTGGCCGTCTCGGCCCGAAGCGAAGTGGGTGGGGTGCTGGGCGCCGCAGCCACTACTTCAGCAGGTGGTGTGCAAAGGGGAGAACAACAATGCCGACAGCACCTTGAATGAGGTAAGGTAGGTAAAACAGGTTATCAGGGTCCCAGGATGGCAGTGGATGAATATTGGGGCAAGGTCTGGGTCATAAGAGGCTAGTCATCTAGCATAGTGTTGTCAGCCAGACGAGGAATATGATCAGAGTAAGCTGAGCTTTAATCTGCCATCTAGAGACTTAGGCTACTAGATATTCTGCTCTTATGGACCAGTTTAAACGTTCATATAATAAGCGTGATGCTATTTTGGTGGATTTGAAACACGGGAACCACGTAAGACTTTATAAAATGAGTCTCATATAAGACCATCTGGATAGTATTAGCACCAGTGGACATCGTGTCCACACTGGCACAGAAGAATGAGGAACGAGAACAGAGCATGTTTTAAATGATTCACAGCCTGCGAAAGAGAGGTAAGCTTTCATGCCGGTTGATACGACAATATCTGTAGTCCCAGGCACTCGTGTAAGAGTGGCATGCAGGATCGCTGGTTGATGGCTTGCTATCTCCTGAGCGGAGGCTTCACCGTTCAATGATCGATCTGAGATTTATATCTGTTCGTTCCATAGCTGGTAACCTAACAGCTGCTGCAGACCAGCTGGCCGCAGGAGAAAGTACGAGTTGAAGCTCTCATCGAGCAAGCCGATCAGATGACCCCACAGCGGTTTGCCATTTTGTGATCAGCCCAGTTCTCAGACGGTAAATATATATGATCAGGTTGATTCAGAAGCTCTTAAAGATAATCATGGAGCACTATGAATCAATACTTCCAAAGCCTGCTTAAGGGAGCAAAAGTTGGAGCTGAGGGTCCGCTCAAGCTTGAATTCACACGATTTATAAACTACCTTTTCTCAAGGATTTTACACGAACAGCTAGCTCAGGATTCATATAATGCCTAACGAACTCCAGGTATTATCAAGTATATCTCTAAAGTTAATCTTTATCTTTTTATCATTATCTTAAGTTATTAATATACTTTTAATAATAATTTTATTATAAAACTTATTTATAACATTTATTAAATAATTAAAGCTTATAACTATAATAATATAAGCTTATAAATTATTAATTATTCTTTTTATAATTTTAAAACAATTTAGTTTAAAATAATTTTTACTTTATTAATATTTTTTAAATTTTTTTAAAAAAAGAATTTAAATTAATTTTGTAAATTTAAAAGAAATAACAATAAAAGTAAGAGAATATAATAAGTTAAGTTATATAAAAAGAACTTAAAAAATTATAAACATAAAAGGATTAACGTGGTTTACCATTAAGTAATGCATATTATTAAGTGGCATACTTTTGCAATATCTGCCAACTTTTGCTATTTATAGCACCCACTTAATGCAAAGAAATTAATTAAATTTGGTATTAATTAATGCTAACTGCTTTTAATTATTTATTTTTAATTAATTTTGTTAATTTAAAGTAATTCGCGTGGATATAATATAAGTTTAAAATAAGCAACTTTTTAAAAAAAACTTGCATTTTATATTAAATAATGCTAATTATATTATTAAAAATGCAATTTATTATAAACCATTAAAATAAATATATTTGCATTAATTAATGCTAATTAAGCTAAATTTATTAAAGTATAATTAAAATTTAATTAATTAAATCCTTTTTTATTTTTCTTATAAGTTTTTATATTATGCTTAATCTTATTATAATTATTATATTATTATTTAATTAATTTATTATAAATTAATTCTTTAGCATTATTATTTATTTTATTAACTAGCTGCTTTCCTTTTTATTTATTTTTAAATAAAGGCTTAAGATTCCTTAATTATAAGTGCTTTTTTAAGTTATATTTAACTTTTTTTAGCCCTTTTATGCTTAATAAATGCTATATTAATATCCTTAAATATATAAACTTAATCCTTTAAAATTATAATTTTATATGCTATTACTTATACACCCTTTGCCATATAATTAATATAAAAAAGCTGCCTTAATAAGTGGAAATCCTGCCCTTAATAAAACTTAATTATTAAATAATTTATTAAGTATTTAATAATATTTAAAACTCTTACTTTTAAGGAAAAATAAAAAGGGATTATATTAAAGTTTATAAGCAAATATTAAGCTTAAAAATCATAAATTTAAGGTTTTAAAGAAAAATCCTAGCTTTTTTAAATATAAACTTAATATTCTTTATTATAAAAGTTTTATTACAAGCTACCTTAAATATATAAAAGAGCTTAAACTTAATAATATAATTAATTAAGGTTGTTATGGGCTAACCCTGGGTTATTTGCTATAAGGTGCCTAAATAAGGTTTATATTTAAAGTACAAAGGAAGAAATCTGCTTTCCGTTTATACCCACGCCAAAGCCTATTCTTATAGGGCTAAAGCCTGCTAATTAATTATAATGGGCAAAGCTTAAACTATAATATATCCTCTTTTTCTAAGTCTTTATAATGGGCTTTAAAGGGTAGCTATATAATAAAAAATAAAGGATATTATATTTTAATTATAAATTAAATATTATTTTTTGCTTAGCTATTTAATTATACCTTAATGCTTTTTAAATATATTAAAGGCTTAGCTTATTTTCTATAATTAATATGCCTTTAACCCTTATAATTTAATATATTAATTAAAGCAAGTTAATAAGAAATGATTATTTAAGTATAAATTAACGGCTAAATTAATGGTATTTTTATAATCCTTTAATTTAAGCCTTTTATATAAGCTTCTTTATTTAAAATCTTAAAATTATAAATTTATTATATAATTTATAATTAATTAGTGTTTAATTATAAGTAATTTACTTTATTAATAAGAAATTCTTAAATTTTAAGTATTTTATAATATTAAATTAATTAATATATAATTAGCTTACTTTAAGCTTAAGTTAGCATTAAGTTAATAAGTTTTAAGCTTTATTTTATAAAAAACATTTTACGCCCCCTTAAATAAACTCCTTTTTTTACTAGCCTTAATTAATAAAAGCTATATCTTTATTTTTTTATAATAATTAAGATAATTATACTTATAATAATTAAATTAATTATATATAAAATACTTAACTTTATTTATTAAAATTATTATAATATTAATATTTATTATTTTATCATTTTAAAATTAAATATTATCTTTCCTTATTATAATATTAAAAATACTCTTATATTGCTATAAAATAAAGCAAAAGGCCTTAAATATATTTAATTATTTTTTATAATTAAGTTAAGCTTTTATTATAAAGATTAAGTTATTAGCTATTAATAATATTTTATATTTATTTAATTAACTTTAAGTTTTTATTATATAAGTTAATTAATTAAATTAAGTAAGAAATTTTGCTTTTTCTTTTTATAATATTATTATAATATAATTAAGCTAAGCTTAATATATTTTTATTTAAAAAAGTTTTTAAATGCAAAGTAAACTTTCTTTAAAAAGCTTTTTAGCTGCTCTTTAAATATCTTT